ATATATTTTGTTTTGTTCAATTCACATTGCTTGAGTGAAAATTGTTTAAGAACTTGCTATGCAAAATCAAAAAATAATTTAATCTTCTTCTTTTCATTATTGTATGTTAAATTTAACATTATAAATTTATCTGATTGAAAGGAATTTCGTGTTGCGAAAGACGCAAGTGAAGTGAGCGCCAAAGCTAGGCCGCAATCAAAATCGAAATTGCACAAAGACTCAATTGATACATTGGAAACAATCGGCGTTTGCCGCCTTCATTTGGTTCCCCTGAGCTTAGGCCATTTACGCTCGAGGATATTTGTGGCCCGAAATGTAGACATTTTGTTTGCGCATTGAGTTCAATTACCAACACATCGTGCATATTTTATGAGCTGCGGCAAAAGGGAAGCGAAAGATGCGCGGTGCTGCTAGCTGGAATAATTTATTATTTACTTAGTTCGTGTCACACTCCTGACTGAGCTCCTGAGTGGGCTCGTCCTTAGCACCCAGTGTTCTGCATCTTTAAGCGCCGCTATTGTCGGGTATTTGGGTCAAAGTGCGAATTAGCATGCAGGTTGTGTCTGTCCTTTCCGCCATCCGACTAACAAGGCGTATACGTAACGCCAGCGTTTAGCCGACATGTATGTACACACATATATCTCTAGCTGTCTATGCGCTTTGTGTTGTCGCGTTGGCGTGTGAAGTGTCTTCAATTTGGGGCAATAAGCGAAGATTTGATGCTAAAAATAGCAAAAGCTACAGCAGCAGCAGCAGCAACGACAGCCACCGCTGAAATATTCATTAAATGTTTGACTCGCAGCTCCTTAAAGCATGCAGCAATATTTTTCAAAATGAAATTACAGCCGAGTGCCATTAAAAGCAACGGAAACTGCCGTAAAGATAACAAGCATGAGAAGGCGCCATAAAAAGTATGCCTCACACAGCAGAAGAACAAAAAATGAAGACAGCAAAAAAAAACAGAAGCAGCGCCGCGTAAGATGATAAAGGTAAACAATTTTCAGGTAAATATTGAAAGAAAGTGAACCGGCCGGAGGGGAGCTCATGGAGCCCAGTTGGCGCAGTCACGGGTGGCAAACATATAAAGACATGTGCCGGCAAATGCTCAAAATGGAATTATGCTCAGCGAGAAGTCATCGGAGAGATGAAAAACGCTGCAAGAATTTCACACAAGCTTTTAATACCCTAACGAGAGTATTTGCCTGTGGTGTCTCGCCATGCCAGACACACATGTCCCTAAAATAAAGTTTATATTTATTTCTTATTTAGTTTTGTTAATACAAGAACAAAAAGTTATGGCCTGTTTGCTTAATGGGTCGCAGACATGCGTTGCTGCCATTAGCCAGGCTTTGGCCTAATGCAAGAACAAATTTATGCGAAAGTATAAACGGCTTAATGGTTTGCTTATTTATATATTATGTATATATATTTAGATATATATAATGTAACATAAGGGATTAATATATTTTGATCTTTCTTTAACTTCATATTGGATGTGTTAGAGATCCAATGATGAGCAGTCCGAAAGACTATACTTTTTTATATGGATCCATAAGGTACATAGATGATATTGATTCTATAGATATCCTAGGATAAATAGATTACTTTATTACCTAGCATGCACTGAGTTTGAATGAGACCTTAGTCAATGAATCTAATCTGATTCTTTATTTCATATAGATGACTCTTTATATACAAACAATTTGCTTAAGCAAATTTTTTAGCTTAAAGTTTGCTAGATTACGCAGGCTTTCAGTTGTACAAGTAATATAAATGCCACAAGACAATGAGAATTCGATCAGGCACTTGGCTTAAGTAGAATTTGACTTAGGAAAACATATTTGATATTAGATCAGCTCCATTCACAAGGCCTCGGTAGCGCAGTAGGCAGCGCGTAAGTCTCATAATCTTAAGGTCGTGAGTTCGATCCTCACCCGGGGCATGTATTTTTTTTGCAATTCATTAAGTTCTCTGAAGCTTAGTATATGAGGGAAATGTTATATTAAGTGTTCAAGCAGCAAGAGTTAATAAAAGAGACTTCAAATACGAAGCGATATCTTTGAAAACATAAATCAAAGCAAAAAAAAAAAGTCATCTCTTGGCAAAACTCAGCAGGGTCTTCCCCTTGCGGTTGATTCTCATTAAAAAATTAAGTTTTGTGCTAAAGAAAAACTTTGTTAAGCTCAGCTGCATAGAAGAGTTGCCTAAGATTAAGGAAATATGCTTGTTAAAGGCGAAACGTTAATCAGCGCTCATTTTGCCTCGGACCTTTTAGTTAAGGTGTTATTACATTCGGCAAGCAGCAAGCGCTGTCAGCCTCTAATTGTTTTTTTGTTCACGCTGTTTGCCTTTTGGCTCGTGTGCTCTTTGGGCGTGGTTATGAGCCGCAGAAGATTAATTGTGCTCCTGTTTTCTTGGGCACAAGTCACCCACCTTCTAACTCCCTCTGTCTCTCTTACACCAGTCATTACCCTTCGCGTGGGACAAATTAAAGCGCCTCCCATCATAAAAATCCTTTCCGCTGCGGAAAGCGTCCTTCCCGCTCTGCTATTAGCTGAAAGCATAATGTGGCAGAAAACATACAAAAGTTGGCCGAAAATTGGGAGGGTATTAATAAGTGAGGGCCACGGCGGCTAAATATAAATAGCCAATGGCCAAGAATAGCTAAAAGAGTCGAAGAACAATAAAAAAAATACAAAGAAAAGCGAAGTGAAAATAGAAAACGCAAACTTAATTAAATATGGACAGTCGAATAGAGCAGCAAATAAACAGAACTTAAAAGGCAACAAGAAGCAGTCGGAGCAGGGACTACGTGACTGCGGCTGGGACTGGCAACGCACACAATTGTTATTTTCTATTTCACTGGGGGCCAACGGGACGAATGCGCAACAGCGGCAAATAAAAATCACACATACGCCTGGTTGCCTGAGAATAATATCATTTCGAATGCTAAGCATTTGTAGTCGGCTATCAGCAGGAAATTAGGTCACTGGATACGTATTTTTAGGCATTGTCAAATACACATATGATGCGCCCACAGGGCACAGCAATCGCCTTCGCCTTTGCCTTTGCCTTTGCCTCAGTCTTCTGACGTATTTCGTCAGCAAAGCAGAATTTATGACTTGTCCGAAGAAAAAACTGTTTTGATTGCCTGTCTGACACGCTAATTTGTTGCCTTAAGAGTGTATTGAATGTTGAACTAACGACTGGTACGAGGCGAATGGAGCGTATGCGTAATGTTCTTTGATATGGAAGAGCGTTTGCCTGACATTTCTAGTGAAGCACTTTACATTATTACTAAGCGGACTATTAAAAATAATGAGATCGAATTATTATTATAAATATATGATTTACGATAGATTCGATAGCATTAAACTATATGAACTCGACCGAAGGCTTGGATACGATTTTAACAGCTTTTCATATTAGTTAACTTGGCCATAAATCGTGCTCTATAACAATTGATTATAATTTGTCACGAATCTCCCTTCAATTTCGCGAATATAGATCATATTTCCATCGTGGAAAAGCAACTGAAAAGCAATAGAAATTTGAGCAGATCATCAAAACGCTCTAAAAGCCTTGACGCATTTGTCATATTTATTAGGTAATTATTTCCATGCCAGTTCGTTTGCCAATTCAGTTGGAATAATGTTAATCAAATTTCTCGGGCTTAGGCCAGGCCAGACTGTGTCTACGTCAGGCTTGACTTGTTGTAAATTCAAACAAGGGACACGCATTTCGCACACATAAATTTCCATAAACATTTTATGGCGTTTGCCTGGCAACGATATACATCAGCGTAATAAGTACTCTCCATATATATATATATATATATATGCGTATGTGTGTGAAAAATATTGATGCTGATTCCTTACCAATCACTGACCTACTTTTCTTTATGCCGGCTGAGTAGGCAGTGGCAGCGACAGCGGCAGCGGCAGCGGCACATAAATGTAATCAGGCCTGCCATACGCGACGTATACGCAATGTGCAAAAGGGCTTCTGTTCTGTAATTAGCCTTGATTCACTGTAATTGTTATTTTCGCTTCTTTATTTGCCAACTTCTCGAGCTGCGCCAAGTGGGTCACCCGTTATAGCCAAAGTTTCCCAATGCGTGTTTATTTTTATGCCAAAATCAAATCAGATTAAACTATTTTTGGTGTAAATTATTTTCTCTCGTTTTATTGAACTGCTGTGTGAATGAAATACTCATTTTTAGCTGCTTCTATTTGTTGTTGGTAAATAGTTAACTTATGATTAAGTAAATATGTATATATATCATTATAATCGGCTGTATATATGTATGTATAACTGTATTGCTTATGCCATTATCTCTGTTTAATCATATATATGTGTATATATATAGTTGAGTTCTTAGATTGTTTGTTCATTATAAGTACATTACGGTAAAGTTATGCACGTGTATATGGTATATATATGTATATATTTGTTGTCTTTATATTCAGTTTTGAATTGCAATGCTTGGTTAGTTAGTACATTTCTCATAGCATCTAGGTGAAGCCCTACGACTGAAGAGTGCGAGACGAAAAAAAATTTATTTCAAAATTTACGAGCAAAATCTTAACTATCGAATGAAGTTTACATATATACGAAAACATAGTTAAAGTACTTAAATATTTATATATATATATATATATATATAGTTAGATAGACTATAGTATATTTAACTGAGAAAATTTTGATCCCATTACAGCAACTAATCGAGTACGTATATAAGACGACGACGAAGATCTATAATAATTTTAATTATAATTAAAAATGAAGTTTTTTGTTTTTAATTTTGGGATAAAGGCACGAATGTACAATAAATTGATTATATAATAATTGTGTTTAATTTTATTATTATAATTTTAATTAAATTTAAGCAAGTTTCTTTTCGAACAATACAAAACCTTCCCAGGGGACAGTCTTTCGTACGGTTTGTTCAATCGAAAGCCGTGTGGAAAACATTTCTATTTCCATTTGCTAAAGTCTTGGAAAATGCATTTTTCTTTTGGGTTTTCTTGGTGAAATGAGCGTGTGATCTGCTGTGGATATGAAAGGTAATTGTATCACAGTTTTTCGAAATGAATGGGCATGGCTTTTGGCACTATCTAGTAAAGTGAGCTGTGTGAACTCTGTGAGCTATGTGAACTACTATCAACTGCTATTGGCTATGAACGATAGATACTGAACTATTTTTGGCTGGTTTCTAGCGCCGGGCGTATTGGCAGCAGACGGAGCTGCGCGGCACCCGCTGAGTCGGCAGGCCGGACATGCCCTTTAGATATGTATAGGAGACGGGCTGACGTAAAATGCGCTGTGGCGGCGGCTTCGACTTGCTGTGCTTCGTTTGTGTGCCGGAGCATGTGGATGAGGTGGAGCAGGCGCTGGAGCTGCTCGTTGATTTGGTGGCCGTTTTGTGCTGACGCTGATGCAGCTCGACATTTGAAGCCGATTTCAGAGCGGACTTCAGTGGCAATGGCGGCTGCTGCTGCTGCTGATGATGTTGTGGGTGTGGCTGTGAGGGTGGCGAGGGGCCGCTGCACGACATCGAGCGAGATGTCAGCGAGAGACTCTCAAAGGCGCGTCGCAGTGACGATGTGGACCGGCGTTGCATTCGGGACAAGCTCGTGCGAGTCAACGATTTGCGCTTGTCTTGCGGCTGCCGCTGCTGCCGCTGCTGCTGCTGCTGCTGGTGTTGCTGTTGCTCCTGCTCCTCGATGTCAATGGTGCTGCTCGTCTCGCTGGAGGCGCAGGACATCAACTCTAAACGTGCTGCAGCTAAGCCGCGGCTAGCCGATGAATACGAATCGGTCGATGAACTGTGTGCATCCTCTTCCTGTGCAGCTGCATCAACTAGGTCAACGCTTGACCTCAGCCCAAAGCGTCGGCTGAGCAGCTGAAAGAAGCCCATGTTACGCTCGTAGCGAGGCGTTGGCGATAGGCTGGGCGAGTGCTGTGGCGGCTGCAGCTCCAATTCCAACCAATTTTTGCCATTGTTGTTGTTGTTGTTGTGTGGTTGCTGCTGCTGCAGCTCGTCCGCAAAGCAGACATGTGGCGTGCCCATTGCAGCGAGTGCTTACTGTACCTCAGTATGCAGTAGAAAAGGCTGCACTTCCGCTTTGTGTCTGCAGAGTTTACTGTAGTCTTTTTGTGTTATCGTTAGCGAGTGTTAACTGTAGTTCAAAGGCTATCTAGATAAGATTTATAAAGACGCTGCACTTCCGCTGCCTTTGTTGTACTTCAAGCAGCATAAAGACTGCACTTCCGCTTTCTCTTTGTCTATGGCTTTGTTATTGCCGGTCAAACACACACATACATAAACACTCTCACACACATGCACTGTGTTTACTTTGTCGGCGTTTTTTGTTGAGCGCTTCGTGTGTACACACAGACGTTGTCCTTTCGCGTTTGAGTCGGCAAATCGTTTGCCGCTTGCTTTTATAGACTCGCCCGGTCTGCAGACTGCGGTCGCTGCAAACAGCCGCTAGAGAGCGCTCTCTTACACACGCTCTCTTTTTCTCTCTCTCTCTCTGTCTGTCGCTGCGTGTGCCTGTCTGCCCCTGCTCCTCTCGCTCGCTCTTGTTGCTTTACTGCGTTGTGCATTATTATGATTATTTGGCTGTTGCTGTTGCCTAATACATAATGGCAGCAAAGCATTTGAATTGTGGCATTTGTTTACCTATTGTTTTTGTTGTTTGTTTGCTCTGCCTGCCGCCAGGTGGTGGCACTTGCCATATTTGCTTTGTCGCTTGTGGGTGCACTTTAATTGCTTTTTGCAGCGCAATTGCAAAATGTTTACGCATCGATTTGTCTACATTTTCCTTTGGCTTTAAAAATAAACCCGCTTCAGTTTATTTCTAAACTTTTAATTGTCGCACAGATATATCCAGAGTGCGTGGGTGGCCCCGTTGCCTGACTGGCTGCAGGTGCTAGCTGCTTTCAGCTGCGCGAAGATGTCGCCAAGAAAATTCATAAGCCGCAATTACAGCCGTCAAAAATAGATTACAGCCATTGTCCTCACTTTCGCGACGTTGTTGTTGTCGTTATTGTTTTTTTATTATTTAATTACGCACAAAATTGATTTTAATGCTCTATAAATAAAACTGACTGCCAATTTTACGCCTCGTTGCGGTTGGGTTTGAGAAAGCGGCGCAAAGGACGTAGGGTGAGCGGCGAAGGGCGAATGCTGGATATTTGTCTATGGCGATTTAATGAAATCCGTTGTTTTAATAGCTTTGTGTGTGCGTGTATGTGTGGGAGACTGCGATAATTGTTCCTGTCGTGTTCTGCTGTTGTTTATCTTCTAATTAAAAGGCGTAATTCTTGCGCCCCTGACGTCAATCCCATTAACAGCCTTTTGTTCATTTGCCAGAGCAAAGCTCTAAATATAATTGACATCCAGGCAATTACAAATATTTGTTAACTATCAATTTATATATAGAATAGTAGTGGTTAGCCACCTACGTATCAAATCAACTGCTATTACTGAAAACATTTTCTTTCAACTCTTTTTTTAAGTCTATTCGCGGGAAGGGTATTATATATATGTGTATATATATTATTATTATTAGTTTTGTATAGGCATAAGCTTTTTAGGCTAATATGGAGAACACCTCTTAGTTGATCTACTATAATTCAAGTTAGACTGTGGCAGATACATGTACTGTTAATAAAAAGCATGGACAAAGGCATACAAAGGCAAAGCTGCATTCAAGTCTTTAGTGCATATACCATTCTATACACGAATTTGACACGAGTGTCTCAGCAGCCACTCCCTCTCTGTTAGTCGCTCACTTTGACGCAGGCAGCGAAGGCCAGAGAGCTCTGACAGGCTCGTAGAAACGATTGAACATTCTTCATTCTTCACTATAAAATTATATACATACATACCTCTTTATTTGATGTTTAGCTTCTTATACCTCACTCAAATCATGAAATATATTTGTCATACTTGGTTCAAATTGATTGTCGTTCACTCTAATTTTATAATTTGTACAACTTTGTTAATTCCCGGTGTGATGTCTTTCGTCTATCACCATTTGCTATTTTCGACTGTCTGCGTTCACTTCGCCCATTGAAATCATAACGGATCTGACCGAAGTAACAAAGTAGCTATCTCGCTCTCACACAGCAACACAAGGGACTGCGTTCAGCAATAGCTATCTTTGTCTCTGTCTCTCTAAGCGAGCAACTCTACCGCAAACTCAATTGGATAACATTTTTACAAGAACTCTATGCAAGCTCTCAGCTTATCACTAATACTACTGCAAGCTAACGAATGGAGCCAATCACAATAAAATGAACCGAATTAAGAATTTGTAAACACCAATGACAGAGGCAGAGCAACAACGAAGCAACAAGAAAATCTTAATATAATAGAAATTCTATTATGTATAAACATTTTATAATTTTGTTAATAACAGCTTCATAGGTTTCAAAATTACGAAAGTCACTGTTATTACTTGGAAGCCCTACAAAGCTATTAATATTAAGACACTTAATAATATATATTTAAATATTTTTATTTGTAGCCGTCGATTAGCTCAAATTGTCATATCAGCTAAGCAGCTTTAGTGATTGCATCACATAGATGCGAGAAGAAACTCGAATCGCTTGAATTTTCTATACATGCATCAATTATGGTGTGTTGACGTCGTGTTGCAATTGCGAAACACAATTTAACTATAAATTAGCTATCTCTATTTGCATATTAACTTGCATTGTCTGAGCTAAGTGCTGGATATGTTAAGCTGCCTAAAAATTAATAATGCGTGCGGCGGCTTAGCGAGCTCTTGGAACGTGCAACAACAGTAGCTGCCGCAGCGGTAGCCGATTAACGTCATCCATCGAGCTTGAATATGCAGTTTAGCTCATGCAGACGACATGATATCGTATGTCAAAACTATAAGGTCGAGTCCTTCAGCCACTTGAAAATTGAGGACTTTACCTACATCAGCAAACGCAAGGCGACACCAGAAGCCAAACTGTACCCAGGCACAGTGGGCGCACTGTTCTCAGGGCTAGCCAAGGCGCAAGCGCATACAAGAGCTTTTGCCAAAGCTTTCAGCACTTAACCGTTAAGAATTTTAAATATTCACATGAAATAAATAAGAGCAGAGTTTTTTCATCAGATTGTTTATTATTTATTGACAGCTAGACTTATTCTTAGGGTTATATGCTCTAAAAATATATAGGGTATTTTTACTTAGGTGCTAAACTCTTTTTACTTTTGTTTTCTTCATTTGGTATTTAGTTTGGAGAAAAGAAAAGTGAAAATTTATAATAAATAAATAAATAATAATATTTTAATTGTTTCTTGTTTTTTTTTTTTGTACAATTTTGGAATATTTTAGATAAATTCGTAATTTTGTCTAGTCAAGTGCCCATTGAAATAAGTGCAAAATATATTTGGAAATAACAAACGTTTTTTTCGAAGATTTTTCTCTTTTATTTAATAATTTTTGATTTGAGCCTAGCTCCAAAAAGTTGAGTTTTAAAACTACTTGGGAAGATATGTGTGTGTGTGTTCTGTGTGTGTGTGTGTGTGTGTGTGTGTGTTTGGGTAAGCTATATACTTATATATTATTAACTAAATTTTAGCTACTGTGTAAACTGAGAGTCTCTAAATATCGAATAGCTTTGCACACATATGTTTTCGTTTTAATAATTCAAATACATGGAAACTGTTTGTTTTTTTTCTCAATATTTCTTCAGATATTGTTCTCTTTGGCATATTTATAAAATATGCTGCGCTGCTGCATTTCCCATCGCTTGTTTTTATTCTTGTAGGCACTACATCACGTTTTACTTTACTTTTACTGTTCACTATAAACTACCCACCCAGACTCGATTTCGAGAGCGTTTTGTTGCTGCTGTTGCGTTGGCCTTCACCCGGAAATTGCGCTGGGCAATGTCCTCGGCGCGATGACGTTTTCGCCGCTGCTCTGTCTAGTACATGTGGTGCAGCGTATAGGGGCAGCAGGCGGCATAGCTGGGCACGCGGGAGTATAGCCCGGACATGCCCTTCATGTAGACATACTGCACTGGAGGTCGCAGTATGCTCTGCTGTTTCTTGTCCTTTTTGGCTGATTTTTTTGCTGAGTTGCTGCTGCTGCTGCTGCTGTTGCTGCTGCTGTTGCGGCTGTTGCTGCTGCTGTTGCTGCTGCAGCTGCTGCTGTGGCTGTTGTTGCTGTTGTGCGACGTCAGCAGCTTCTTTGCCCGCATCAGCGAGGAGACGTCGCGCTGTCGGAGTGGCGTGCTGCTGCAGGATAGGGAGCGCAGCGAAGCCGTTGCCGTTGTGGCTGCCGATGTGGAGAAGTGCTGCAGCATGCGGCTGACCGATGAGGAGATGGAGATGCGACTCAGATGTAGCCCGGCCTTGTTGCCAGTCGACGCCGATGAGGCTGAGCGCGGCTGTGGCTTTAGCTGATCCAAATTCTCATTCTCATCCACATGCTCTCGCTGACGCTGCTGCTGATGCTGCTGATGCTGCTGCTCATGTTCGTCTTCATGTTCATTTTCGTCGTCATCCGCGCCGCTGCTGCTGCTGTCGTCGTAGTGATGCGGATGCAGTTGCTCCATGGCGCTGCCGGGTCGATAGACAGTTTCCACATAGATATGCGTATTGTTGTCGTAGAACTCCAGTCCAGGCGAATACGAAGCTGAGGATGTGCGCGAAGTGTTCTCCAAGTCGAGACTGGAGCCACCGTTGAGCACCTCCAGACACTCGTTGCGCGAGCCGCTCAAACTGAACGAATCCGTGGAGGAGCTGCGTATATCATCCTGACTGCTGTAGACCGTGTCGTTCTGCTGATGATGATGGTGATGCTGGAAGTGCCTGCCCAGGTGTCTGCTGAGCAACTGCAGCAGGCTGCGAGATCGCGACAGTTTCTGACCACGCGAGCCCCGTTTCGGCTGCTTCAGCTGCTTCTCGCCCAGATCCATCGACGAATTGGAATTGGAACTTGACTTGGAGCTCGACTTGGAGCAATTATTGGTGGTTAGCGTATCCATCTCACGTTTGAGTTTCAACTCTTGAATAGTTATTGGCTCAAAGTTGGCTAAGTTAAGTTTGCTTCACTTTCACTTGGAATGCGTTTCGCGACGTTTGCTGACATCAACTGCTGGGGCAGGCGTTGCTGCTGTCGCTTTTATAGCTGCACTCAATGTCGACGGCTGCTCGAAAAGCTTCGCGTTTAACCTTCGTGCGGCCCCCTTTCGGCCGCTCGCACATCCTGCCCACAGGACGAGGACACTTCGTGCGCTGGCTGCCCGTCGCCCAGCTCCGAGCCAGCAGTAACCACGCAGCTGTCGTGGCAGCCACAACGTGAGCAGCAGCCACAGCAGCAGCGGCAGCATTTCATTTCTCGCCTCTCCTCGATATTTACGCGCTGTTCGTGCTACCTGTTGCCTCTTTGGATTTCCTGCTTCCTGCTGTCAACGTGATTGTTGCTGCCTGCCTGGCGCCCACCGTTTTGGTGCCATTGTTCTGGCTGTGGAAAACTCAAACACTTTTGCACTTTTTGAGCTTTTACCCTTTGATTGGCTGCGTGATGAAGAACGTGACCCTTGCGCGTCATACTCGAGCCACGGCTCGAACACCTTTGGCTATTGCTCACAGCCAGCAATTTGCAACTTTCAACTGACGTTGCTTCCGCCGTTTTACACGTGAAACACACCTGCCTTCAGCTGGCTGACAGAGCTCTGAAGCCTCAAATGTGCCAATTGTTGATACCTGTGGGTTGGAAGCAACAGCAGCACCACCAGCAACAGCAGCAACAGCAGCAGCAGCAGCAGCTGAAGCAAAGCTGAAAATATTCCTGGAATTGGGTCATCCATTAGACTTAGCTAGCATCTATTAAAAATCGATTTAATGAGAATATCTGCTCAGATTGGTCTGCATTAATAAAACAAATAATAATATTCATATATCAAATTATTATATTTGATATTTTGTATCAATTTCGTTTTGCCAAAGCCCAAAAATTTGCCTTAACTCTTTTGTCATCATTTTTTGTGTCGCTCCAGACTTCGCAGAATTTTCTTTGAAGCATAGAGCATTAGGTAACAGAGCAGTGCTTGCTTCAAGTAGCAATATTCCATGTGCCAGGCCTACATTTTATAGCCGAACTTCATATTATAATTTCACATTTTACTTTTTTTCACAGAGAAATTTCCAAATGAGAATTTTCAAAACATTAGCTTGAGACGGCATAAAAAAGTGAATTCCCTTTAACTTGAAGCGAACTGTTTAAGCATTAGCTTCCATATTATATATATATATATATATATATATATATATATATATATATATATATATATTTCCATATTCTATATTTAAATATTCTACGCCAAATGCGCAACATTTGCCTAGTTTGAAAATGTTCTCCATCATAGCCAAAACGTGACTTTTCATGGCCTAAGAACATATTAATATTATTTGTTTGTAAAGTAAACTTAATTAATTATTTATTTTATTTATGCTATCTGTCTATATATATTATAAGTTTAATTTGTTTCCCAAGCGGAAAATCTTGTGCTATTCCAAAAACAATTCTAGCTAAATGAGTCCTCTAAAGTGTCTAACAAGTTGAAGTGCGAGCTACACACACTCTAAATATTCAGAGTAGGCAAATATGTTATGGTTGTGTACTCAGTGTATTAAATATACTTTGAAAAATGTTTTTCCTTCACTAAAATATTTAGTTACAAATCTTACAAATTCTGACTCAAATTCTTAGTTCATAGCTGTAATCAAAATTACAAAAATGTCAAAAATGTTTGCTCTAATTTAATATAGTTAAGTTGACAGTTTCTAACTATAATTTTTATTTATAATAATATATAAGCTATAAAGACAACTGGGTAAAGCTATGTTAAATATTTATATTATATTATATATAAAACTATTTGAAATATTATATATATATATATATGTATAAATATATTTCTATATTATTTAAAATTGATTTAGTATTAAAGTAAATCTTTGACGAGTGCCTAAGATGTATACAAATCTTAAGCACTCATCAAAGATTTCCATTAGTTGCACATCTAAGCCAAGTTTGTCTCTATTTGGCCTAGTTTGCCAGTCTCCTGCTAGTGCCCTCCTGCAGGTCTACTTTTGCTAACCTTCTCCTGCTAGCCTACTTCTGCTAGTCTCCTCTAATCCTTTTTATGAAAACTTTCGTCGAACGACTTTAAGCATTAAGACCCCCTGTAGCTGTGGGTTGAGCTCTTTAACTCAATGTGCTAATGTATTCAGCTGCAACTGCGACAACAAACTATGAAAAACTTTTAGAAGAAAGTTTCAACTCTCACGATGCAGTCGTATGCATAAGAAAAGCAGAGAGTCTGAAAGAAAAGCAAAGTATTTTGACTAAAGAGACAATGAATAAGATACAAGCATATACAAAACATAATATAAAATATAAGTATATATGTAAATCTACTCATGTATAATTTGTTAACAATTGAAGCATATTTTGACTTCTTCTGCTACTTTATTGCTGTTCAATTAGTTCGCAACGCTTGACTTTAGGAAGGCTAAAGCTACATATACAATTTGAATGACAAACAGATACAGATACATTCTGCCTGACTCAAGGAACACCTTTCTTTCTCTAGCTGTCACTGCTATTTACTCTAAGCAGCTACTCCCGTTTCCTCATTTAAGTAGTTCAAGCTTTGGCTCAGCGCCCACGCGCTAGTTAACAGCGCCTTAAACAAGTCAAATCAGTTTATTAGCTGAACAATTGGCTTTACATAAAGGCTCTATTAGTGAGCTCTCTCATGGCTAATACTGTGTGTCTGCTTAACTGCAATTCGCTTGACTTGAGCTGGCTCCAGTTGCGACTCGCACGTTGCTGCCACGCATCGCGGTTATGCATGCAGCATTTGCCATGGCTGTGGGTTCTCGTGCTGCTGCTGCTGCTGCTGCTGCTGCTCCTGATGAGAATAGAACACCAGAGCACCTATAAATAGGACGCTCTCGATGTAATCAGCTTGCTACTTGACTAAACTTCAGCGTGCAGCTTACCTAAGTGCACATTTTGTCCTCAGTTCCCGTTTCACGGCATTGTTAACTGTCTTTGAAATATCCTTTAGTGCATGCTGTCAAGGTCGTTAGCTTCTGGAGAGACATATATATAAGACAATGTCACGTAGCAGCGACTTGGTCACCTGTTTTAAGATTTCGTGTGAAGCTCAGCATTGCTTGGATTTCGAAAAACTTGACAACTGTTGCGAGAATGTTCCAGGAATAGCATTAGATACTAAGCCAAAGCCAAGACGCTAATGTCTCCAAGAAGGCTGTGTTCACCCTCATCCCACTGCACAGCCTGTGCTTCTGGGAAATAGTTCTGAGCTCCAGATGTTTACCTCAAATGTGAGCAGTGCTCCCAATTAAGCTGGGGAATTGCAGCGCCTTAGATAGTTGTGCATTAGGTTGGCTTTGAGTTCTGTGGAAGTCTTGATTGCTGCTACCTTTGTGACCACTTGTGACAGTTGCTTACCTGAGGGCCTAACTCACGCTTTAGCGCTTTGCATTTTGGCCTTGCACTGCGCATTTGTGGTTGATCCGAAGCTCTTCTGCCCTTCTCCACAGCCTCTTCCTTCATGTAAAACTTGTTTTGCTAGCAACTGACACTGATATCGCGCAAAAATCAACTAACAAACGAGATTAACAATTTCTCATTGCTTTGCATAAGGTTTATGTCTGGACACCAGTCTCTGCTTGCATAAGCAACTGTTAGAGAAAAGACGACTTGCTAATGCTCTTAGTCTTTGTGAAGGGAGACGTGTTTACTGGTCTAGCTGTCCCTCCGATGGCCCGTCGCATAGACAACCAAACATATAGTAGATATATACAGAATTCTATTCAATCTGTCTCAAAATACTTTGCGTCCGTTGATTGCTTTAGTTAGTGTATGAAAAGCAATCAAACATTAATTAATTTATGCGATTATTTTGTTCGAGTTGGTTGTTTTTTTCGTACAGCATTTGCGTGCGTATTGCGCTCCGGACACCCACATATCCATGTGACCGGCGGCTGGTCACGTTTTTGGACGTGTTGAAAGCAAAACGCAAAAGTTTCCAAAGCAAAAACGGAAAATCAAACGAGCGTGTTTTTGCTCTACGGCGGATTTATTGCATTGCAATTGCTACGGCTTCCATGTGCACAGCGACGACTGCTGCAAGGGCTGTGACGTGCTGGTGCACGCTTCCAATTGGACGATGCTTCCTATGGGATCATGATGATTTATTTTAAACGTCACATCGAGGCGGGGGGTTCAAGGTGCGGCGGGTTCATATGAGACGGCTAAAACTACGATGCTATTGTGCCCGGTGGCTGGGCATGAATTGTTGACGCTTGTGTCGAGGCCAACATCTGAAAGTTCATTAGACCAGAGGGCAGACACTTTAGGTAGGGAAATTGTTTTGATGCATTGTCCATCAGACAATGTGAATACAATTTAACACGCAAAAAAAACGAGACCTTTCGGGCTGATAAACTTTATTCGAATTTCACGCTTAATTATTTCCCCCTTTTTCAAAGGAGATACTCATAGGTCAAAGGCTTATAGTCCGCACGATATTGCTGTTGATAGGAGTTGTCTGTCTCCACGCTGTGATACACCTGCGACTGTATGGCCGGCGAGATCAGGCGTCGAGTGTAGGCCAAAGGCAAGGCATACGCCAGTCCAGGTGCGCTATAGTAGCTATAGCTGGGCGTATAGATTAGATCATGGCTAAGCGCCAAGCCCAGCAGACAGGCAAAGATAATTAGCTGAAAGATAATAATAGTTGTATTATTATATAAGTTAAGTTCAGTTTGTCGTGATCTCTTTTTTTCGTTTCACCATTTGCCTTTTAGACTAGCCATTGAAATCATAACGGATCGGTCTGAATGCCCTAAGTAGCTATCTCGCTCTCGCTCAGTAACGGCAGATGCTATGTTCAGCAACAGCTATGTTTGTCTCTCTCTCTCTCTTGGAAAGCGAACAAGTAAAACGCAAACTTAATTGGATATTATTTTTACTGAAACTCTATACAAGCCCTCAATCTTTCACTAATACTATTGCAAGCTGGGTACTGGAGCCAATCACGACAAAATTGCACAGTTTTGGAAACTGCTAGCTGTGCTTAGGCTCTCTCTCTCCTCTTCTCTCCTTTTTTTCTACTTTGTTCACTCTCAATTGCTTCAGCTTCAGTGGCCAGCTTTTTAGCATTATCTGCATTATCTTCATTATGTATCTATTTCTTTTACTAAATTTCTGATTTCATTTTAGCTAACATTGGGCCTCTTCATAGCTTCACTGGACAAGCCTTTGCTTCACTTTAATTACTCGCTTCACTTACCAGCTTCATGGTCTTCTTCTGTAGACAAACTGAATGCTAGCCGAGTCGCACAGCTCCCTTTTATAGGCTGCAGGCTGTGTGTCCATTCCAAGGTCAAAGGCATTTGCGGCGGCAGCTCCAAAAGAAGCCCTTAACTCACTTTGAATGGAGCTGCAATTGCAAATGTACTTCACAGATCGATTGACTGCAGTCCAAAGGAGACAAAGCTGACTTAAGAAAAGCTAGGCTTAATGAAAGGGAAGACATAGAAATACCCTACGATACTGAGATACCTTATGCTCAAGTTATACAATATACAAAATCCTCAACTCTTTAGTTCCACATACCCCCATCTTACCGCTCATAGTTACAGAGTATAAGGAGTTGAACCTGTTGTCCGTCTTGGCAGTCAGTTGGAGCGCTGATCGTCGTGCGCATCCAGCAAGATAGGCTTACAGAACTTGCCACAGCAATGCAGTCGCATGCAACTAGTTCCGCGCTTCCTCAATCATTCACACTCAGAGGATGAGTCTCTGTTCGATACGAATTTTAATTCCATTTCCATTTCCATTTCCATTCTTTGTCAGTTTCTTCTTGTGGCAATTGGTAAATATTTTGCTCTTAGCTGTTTACAAATTTTTCGTTTGTTTTGCCAAAATCAACAAAAGGCGCTGTAAGGCGTAAGTGGGCGTGCTCGTACGCATTGATGATTTCAAGGTCAGCCTCTGCTACAGCTTCCGCATTGGTGGGCGTATTACGCATCTGCCCTTGAAATTATACGCAAATTGTGAGAAGTTGGCCAAGTGCGCAACGCTTTGTTTTCCCATTGCGGTTCCTTTGGCCGGACCCAGTCGAAGGTAGGTCCGAAAACAAACGCCTACGCATTAGTCAATTAATGTGCTACTATATATATTTATGTACATATATATCGTACATATTATTCAGTATATTTTTGCGTAGTATTTACTGTTTTGGTCAGTTCCGGTCAGTTGTTGACTGGAAGCCAATGCGCAGCTTCATTTACTCCTGTGGGTGAGACTTCACAGACTGCCAAAATGCAACCATTCAACACTTGTTCAATACATTCAATTACTTTATGATCTGTAAAGCGCTTCGCCATTCAATGTCCATGGCACACAAAGTGGTGCAAGTTTCGGGCCTGGCGGTTAAGAGTGTGCAACACGAGTCGAGTGAGCTCAAGTCATTCACTTATGAAATGTGAGCTGCACCAAAAACCGAACAAAGCTGGCTAAGATATCAAAGCACGAAGGTCGAGCATTGGGTTACATGTAGTCCATAGACCACCGCCCATCGCTTGGTGCTTGCAACTTGTTATATAAAGGCTGCAGTCTGTGCAGCTAATCAACGAGTCTTCTGACAGCTACGCAACGAGTTTCAGTTCTATTCGCAACCCGAACGCCCTCAACATGTACAAGCTGGTGGGTAATGGTTAGCTTTGTATATTTATTTTATTTCTGATTTGCATACACATTTGGCAGTTGGTTTTGCTGTCGCTGTGCGTGGCCGTTGCCTATGCGGCCCCTGGACTGCTGCATGCCACGCCGATTCTGGGCAGCGCCTCGTATCATGGCTGGCCGGGACAGACGCTGCAGACGGTGCAGGTGGTGCGTCCCATTTGGCCCACACACAGCATTGTGCGACCCATTGGACATGGCTACGGCCATGGTTACAGCTGGCTTTAGATGAGCTGCATTCATCTAAGGCGAAAGGCCTGAAATGAAATAAATTCCTTGAGCTTGATTGGAAAGTCTGCTAAGTGTTTCTTCTTTCGGGGCTCTGGGGGTTTCGTGGCTCTGCCTATAAAAGTCGCGGCATTAGCTGCCGGCTGCTGCAGTTAGTTTACAGCCATCCTGGCGAAATGGCCTGGTCAGTAAGTAAGCGTCTTTTAATTTGGACATACATCTGTAGCTTCATCTTTGGCGCAGTGGCTTCGGATGCTGTGGTTCTGTGTGACTGTGATGCTGCAACTGCGATACGCTGTGCCCCTTCATCTATATGTGCTCACGCCCACGCTGCGCAGCGCTCAGCCTGGAAGTTGGCCTGCACATGAGAGAGAGCTGCAACTTCGTGTGGTCCAGGGCAAGGATTTATTACAGGACGTGCAGCAGATGATGCACAGCTTCTATCATTTGATGCAGCCAAACAATACCTCTAAGAAAAAGAAGAAGCCTCCGTTTTCATTTCCATTTCCATTTCATTACAAGCCGTTGTTGGATCGATTGGCGTTCGGTAACCTAACGCTGAATCTTGCATTTACGTTTAATTTCATGAACACCAACACCTTTGGATTTGGTAATTAAGTATGAAACCAGCTTCAAGTGTTAATTATAAATTAATTTAGAGTAATAAAGACTCGGAGAGATTGCTCCAAAAATAGTGCAAAAACCAGAAAGAAAGAGGGAGACAAACATTACTCTTCATGTCTCAAGTCGGCAAAAACAACAACGCTAACAGCTGCACCAACAATGCAAATCTAACGGTAATTTTTTGTTTTCCGTTGTAATAGTCTGTATTTCGGGCATGCTCGAATGCCAAAATGAAATAGACACACATTACGAATATTTGTTTTCCTCGCACTCAAGGCGGCACAAGAACCGTTAATAACCGACAACAAATCATGATCGTCTGCATTGCGTGTGTTAAGAAAGAAGGAGATACACATTTCCTCCACTAATTTATTTCGCGTTCTCTCTCGTGGCGCAAGCGGCCTGTGGCGTCTGAAAAAAAATGGTGTTTGTGCTTAAAATGATGGCTGAAAAAAACAGTAATTTTTAAATATTTCGTATTGCTTGTTGCGCTTTGTACTCAACGGCCTGTCATAAGGGTTAAGCCAATCGAAAATTATGTAGCTAACTTTTAGGCTGCTGATAAATATAAATGCAAATATTTAAGTTGGGTTTTCAACATTTTATTTCTGCCTTAAATCATGATCAATTTTTTAGTTCCAGTGATTCAGTGAGCAGTTCGTTTACTTCTTCAACAGCAGAGGGGCTGCGCTGTAGGCGGCGGCATAGGGCGAAGCCACATACGGAGAGGCAACGTATGGGGATGCCACATATGGAGACGCCACATAGGGAGATGCCACATATGGGGATGCCACGTAGGGAGATGCCACGTAGGGAGCCGCGAATTTGCCATGGTATTCGGAGCTGTAGACGGCAGCGGCTGGTGCGGCAGCCACCAATGGTGCGGAGTAAGCAAGGCCAGGCTTGGCGGCAGCGCAGGCAATCAGGGCGAGGACCACAACAGCGATGAACTTGAACATTTTTAGTTAGTTGTTTGGTTGGTTGACGGTTGTTGATGAAACAAATGTAACTGATACTCAAACTAGTGTCGAGCCATGGCTTATATACGCAAATTGGACTCAAGCAGTACGTTGAGACCTTGGCCAATGTGTATGGTGTATTCTGTTGGGCAATTGGCCAGGCATTGCACGTAGCAGTCCAATTGGCAGTTGTATGCGTAAGTGGCTTAAGCACTTGGTACGCTTAGCTCTGCTTGGCTCATTAGCTGGGCCAGCACGCAGTCTGCGCCAAGGCTCTACCTATTAGCGGGCTGGTGTATAAAAGCCATAGCTCAAGCAGCTGTCGTCATCAGTTCCGTTCAGCAGCAGCTCAACCAACAAACAAAAAAACAACTCAAGATGTTCAAGTCAATCATCCTCGCCGTCTTCGCTCTGATTGCCTGCGCTGCAGCCAAGCCAGGAATCGTGGCTCCACTCGCCTACGCCTCACCCTATGTGGCATCGCCCTATGTGGCTTCATCGTACGTGGCATCCCCCTATGTGGCATCCCCCTATGTGGCATCTCCATATGTGGCATCTCCATATGTAGCATCGCCCTATGCTGCCGCCTACAGCGCAGCTCCACTGCTGCTCCGGAAGTAGATAAAACCGACCCGGCAATAAACAGATCTGCAAAAATTGAATACGAATAAAAAAAACTGAAACTCGGAATCAAATTGTTTTTTCTCAATTTATCTTTTATATACAATATATATATATATAGACAGACATATATATATAGACAGTAATCGGGGCTCTGCTCAAGGTCTTTGCCTGTCGCTTATCTCAACTGCCCGCAGGAAGTCTGTGTCGAGGCTTTACGCCTTTTATCTGCCCCACCATTTGGTTGTTTGCTCTAAAAGATTTCCTGGTTGTAGTCTTATCATATATACAAATATATATATATTTATAAATTGTATTTGCTTAAATCTGACTTTGATTTTGGCTATATGCTAGGCGTGCATTGTGGCATTCGAATGGAAGACAATGCTGCTGCGATTGTAGAAGCCCGAGCGTTGAGCCTTGCGCCAATGCAGCGTTATCACCGCCACCAAGGAGATCAGGATCACTGCACCCATGACATAGAAGAAGAACTTTATGAAGTGCAAGTGCAGCTCGAGATTATGTGAGTGGGCGCGCAACAACTCCAGTTGCTTGTGCAATGACTGCATTGGTTCCTCCTGGATGGCGCCCTGCTTGGATGCAGGATTCACGGAGGATAAACTAATGCAGGAGACATCACGTATGTGGGGGGTCTCATCGGTGCTGTTATCCGGTTCGATGTGCAGCGTCACAGTCTCCGCAAGGTAGGGCGGTATCAGCAGATGGTGCAGGTAGGAGCAATTGAAGCGGTTCCTTGAAATGCCCAGTTTCTGCAGCAAGGGAAAAGCCTGAGCGAAGCTGCGATTGCCCTGCACCTCGCTGAGTGAATTGCCGTCGACGAAGAACTGCTTGAGGTTCGTTAGATAGGGCACAAATAGATCCAGATTGAGGTGGGTCAGGTTGTTGAAGGACAGATCGAGTATCTCCAAGTACTTCTGCTTGGAGAACATGCCGAACTGCAGCTCCCGCACACCGTTCGAGCGCAGATAGAGATTTCGCAGACGCTTCAGCTGATCAAAGGTGCTTACGCTCAAGGATCCAATGGGATTGTAGGACAGATCCAGATGGAGCAGCGCAGTTAGATTGGTTATATTCGCTATGCTAGCCAGCCGATTGCCACGCAGCTCCAATGTCTCCAGCTGCAGCGCCTGATGCATGTGAATCGAGCTTATGTTGTTGAAATTGGCGCGCACAAAGCGAGTTGCATTGATCGTGAGGTTGGTCAGGTGATTGTAGTCCAGGTGAAGCTGATGTACAATGTTCTTGTTGGTCAGCTGAAAGGCGTCCAGCGAGTTGGTAGCCAGCAAGAGGCTCTCCAAGCTGGCAGCCTCCGTGAACGTGTCCGGATGAATGCGTATTAGCTTGTTGTTGGATAGATTAACCTCCTTGATGCGGCGCATGCGGCTGAAGACCTCCGGCTGGATGAAGGTTAACAGATTGCCCTCGAACGAAACCGATTCCAGGTACTCGTTGTCCTTGAAGATGTCCTTGTGCAGATCGGTCAAGCGATTGCCCGTCAGCTGCAGCTTGTTGAGGTTGTGCAGCCCGCAGAAGGCATTCTCGCTCAGCTGCGCTATTCGGTTGTACGACAAGTCCAGGCGCATCAGTGCATTGGCGCCGATAAACACAGACGTCTGCACGGAAGTCAAGTTGTTGTAGCTCAGATTCAAATAGGACAAGTTGCTCGCGGCGCTGAAAGTGTTGCGCGTCAGCTCCAAGATGCTCGTGTAGGACACATCCAGCGTTTTCAGATGGGTGAATGTCTCGAACAGATGAAAGGGCACCGAGAGCAGCGTCGAGTCGTAGAACTTCATAAACTTCACCATGTTGCCGGGCAGAAAGTTCTTCACCACAATGTTTTGACTGTGGGTCACAACGAAGCCCGTCACGGTACAGAAGGCATCGCTGGCATCCATGTACATGTGCTGTTCGAACTCATCGCAGCTCATGTAGACATCGCCCGACAGAGCAGGATCGCTGCTTCCAAGGACCAGCAGCAGCAGTAGCAGCAGGCAAGCATTTCCCATACGCATTGTGAACCGCGCGCAGCGAAGACTTTCCGCAAACTGTAAGACAATCGTCGAACTGCAAATGCTTTTGCAACGGAATTTGTGGCACGACGAAAAGACTGCCGATTGATATATAAATATCATATATATATATTATATGCAGATTGTCGTTGTTTGCAATACTCTTTTGAAGACTAAAGCTGGAGTCTGCTCGATCTTTGTAGAGTTTTTTTTTTGTTTTATGACAGATGTACACAAATATTCTTATCCCTAGCTGTTCACACCTCAACTGTGCGGCTATCTACAGAAACTCGGGAAGTATTTAGTCAACTTACCAAAGCAGCTCCTCTCTAGGCTAGGCTTACTATGCTGCCTACTATATGATATGTGCCTAAGATCTTCTATCTTAACATGGGAACTAGTGAATGAAGTTATCTAGAACAAGCCCTTAGAGTTTTTCCTTAAGCAAACCATCTTGTGTTTCCGAACCTGCTGACTCAACTGAGCTATAGATTATATAACTTTTATAGAACTCTTCACGGAGTAAGCTTAGTTCGAGTTCTATATACTGTCCTTAAAACAACCAGTTTTTTGTTTCCACTCCTGTCGGATATCTTATAAGTCTTAAGAACTCTTCACAGAGTCAACTGCTCTCAACCTGTGATGCTTCTTTAATAAGAGTAAATAACAAATTTTCAAAGAACTTTCTTTAAAATTATTTTCTTAAACAAACACGCTTAAGTTTCAAAATTCTTCTTCACCTTCAAAAGTGAAAAATACTAGTTTATCTAGTATTTATTATCTATTATTTATTTATCTAGTATTATCTTAAGAACTCTCTAGAGAATAGTTCAGAGACTAAGCTTTAGTTGAGTTAGTTCAATCTAAGTTTATTCGCTTATAAAATTATAAAAAATATTTCTGTAAATTTAGCAGTCTACAGGGCATCTTTCAGTCGCGCCCAATCGAACTGGAGCATTGATATATTTATTTAAGTTACGTCTACCAGCTTTCATGTGATAAGAAATGTCGGCCTGGGCTTTGTTTTCTTTTTGCTTTTTTGCGATTACGAAAGAAGTTTTAATTGTTATGTGGCAAGTGAACAGATGGCATCGAGTAGCTGTAATGGGCTTAAGGCCCACGCAGTAGGCTCTTGTTGCATGGCCATGGGGCCATTGATGCAACATGACTGCAGTCATCAATGCTGCAACATGGATTAAAAGTGTATTGACTGGCCGAAAAGAGCTGATTGCATAAGTAAATTGCACAGTCAGTGCTTGACCTTGGTTCGAGTGAAATATATGCAATCCGATTAGTTGCATGCCACAGCCCAGCGAGTCAGCCCAACCCCAAGGGCAGGTCAGTTAACTGAACGCCTAAATGTTAATCGGAACAGCTACTGTTTCGTATATTTCTATATATATATAATTTATGTGTCCAATGTTCGTTCGTTTTTTTGGTGGCTGCCTTCAAAACTTTTTATGGTCTCACATTTTGGCGACGTGCTCGACATACCCAAAGCAAAAGACCTTTCCAGCTGCCTTTAGCTGGGCACGTAGCCAGGCAGGCGCTCGGCGCGTCTTTTATATTTTGTATTGCTTCTAATTTTTGTGTTGTGTAGAATTCATCCACATCGCATATTGTCGCGGCTATAAAACTGCAATCGTACTACTTTCTGGCATAGTCTACTTCGTTAGCTCTACCCAGCAATTTCAACATGTTCAAACTGGTGCGTTTTTCATTTGAAGTTAGTTTTCGCTGAATTCTAATTGGTTTTCGTTTGCAGTCTGCTGCCCTTTTCGTGCTCTGCGCTGTGCTCGCCTGCAGCCTGGCTGAGGCGAAGCCTGCGGTGCTTGTGGATGCGGCTCCTGCTGTTGTCACCGCCACCAGCTCACAGTATGTGGCACGCAACTTCAATGGCATCGCTGCCGCACCCATTGTTGCTGCCGCCGCTCCCGTTGCCGCCGCGTACACTGCACCAATTGCTGCTGCTCCCATTGCCAGCGCCGCTTACACAGCGCCTCTCGCTTATCCCTATAGCTATCCCTACACCGCTGCCTACACCACATACCTGTAAATGATGCATTCCACGGTTTGACTCAACTTTTTTTTGGAATAAAAAAACAGTTGCTCAAAGGAATTATTTGTTATATGAATTTATTTTTGTGAAAGAAGCGCTAGGATGTTGAAGTAGTGGAAATACAGAAATACATTTGGGGCGAATAAAACAGATATTTGCCATTAAATATATCTGTTATGTGTATGCAGCTTATGAAAGCTTTATTATTCTCTTTTGATGTAGTTAGCTGGTAGAGTTTCATGTTAAGCTTGAACTTTTAACATATAGAAACAATTTGGGTTTCAGCTGCTAAATTTAAATTCGATAGCAGCTTTGGTAGATAGGCTATTCTAGCAAATACTTTAGATGAGCAGCATTATTCATAGAAGACGACTATCATCTATGTTCCGGGTATGAGCAACACTGTGCAATTCTAATTCTGTCATTGAAAGCCATAAAACATAATTGTTTCTATTAAATTTGTAGTTTAAAGCAAAGCAAATAATTTAAAAATATATATTATATATTTTTAATAAATAATAAATTTAATAGTATCATAACTGTGCTCAATAACAAAATTCCCTGTATGCTATCATTCACCATTTGCTTTTATAGACCGGCCATCTCTTTCGTCCATTAAAACCTTAACGGATCTATCTGAAGGGCCCAAGCAGCCATCTCGCTCTCACTCAGCAGCACCCAGGACTATGCTCAGCTGCAGTTTTCCTTGCTTCTCTCACTTCTCTCACTCGAATTCTATTTTTAGAGCTCTGCATAAGCTCAACCTTTCACTAATACTACTGCAGCAGGAGAAGCCAATCACAGAGAAGACTCAACAAAGCTAGGAAACTGTATACAGCAATGCCAGAGAGGAAGATCAGCAAAGAAAATAGATTTTTGTTATATATGTGTTAAATTAATATTATATATTATTATTATTATTATTATATTGTATAACTTTTATATGAATTCGAGCTCATTCATTCACTTTCACAGAATTCTATTATGCACAAATGTTTTCATTTTGTTATATATACTAGTATTATATATTTATAAATTAAATTCGATTTAAACTTTACTATGCTTACAATAATTGATATTAACAACAACAACGCGTTTTGGCAACGACTTGCAATCTATGTCTGGCTAAGGATTCAGAGGCTGGCAGCCACTGGCTGCCTGTTTGGCAGCAGCTGTGTTTGGCTGTTTGCTGTTGTGGTTGACTGTGGTGTGCTGCTGCTGCAGCTTGCTGCATAATTTTGCATTGCAACGCGCGTATAGCGCCCACGCAGCTGGGCAGTACGAGTGAGGCGGTGCAGAGCTGACAGAGTCTAGAGCGATCCTCCCCCGATTCGCAGCAACAGCAGCAGCAACATGTGGTGCAGCAGGTGGTGCAACAGTTTTTCGCTTCAGCTGACACTACAGTTGCTCGTTGGCTTTTAGACTCCTCCAGATCTTTGACAATGTGCGTTTTATCCGAACTGCGCTTGAAACTTAGCAATTTCTTATACATAATTGTGTTCTAAGCGCTTCCCACTGATCAAATGAAACAGCATGTGGGGCAGTCGCTTGGCTTTATAAATTCATTTATGGATGTTCGATTCGATGGATGTGCGAGTGGGTCACAAACCCAAGCGCAAGCTTCGTATGCCGAGCACGTGTCAGTTCGATTTGCTGATCGGCGTTTTATATTTTTATTTTCTGCGTCACGTTTATAAATACTTATTGCGTCTGGCTGGACAGCGACCCCGCACCCTTCACACTCGCCGCACGCCGTCCATAGTCCATACGCTAATGAAACTAAAAGTAAAGTGCAAATTTGGTCGCCGAGATTCTCCTTGGCGTGAATTGATACGACAAGCCGTCGGCTCAATTGGCAGGCAAGAGCATCCAAACGCCTCGCCGTGCATAATAATTAATAATTTCATTAGTTTCGTTTATTTTTCTTCTTCTTTTTTTTTGTTTTGGGCAGCCTCAAATCTTTTGTGCATTTCGGGTATATAAGTTCGTGCAAATGCTGCTGTAGGCATCAGTCAAGTTCTCCAGAACAAGCAGCTCGTTACAAGCCAACTAGCAAAACCTAATCAAAAAACTTCAAAATGTTCAAATTCGTAAGTTTTAATTGTTCGACGCTGAAAAACTTACTCTACAATTGAATCCTTTACATAGTTCGCTCTGTGCCTGCTCGCCGTTGTCGCTTGCGTCGCCGCCAAGCCCGCCATTGTTGCTGCCCCGTTGGCCTACAGCGCCTACACCGCAGCTGCACCAGTCGCTTACAGCGCGCCCTACACCGCCGCCTACACCGCTGCCGCTGCCTATCCCTACTCCGCCTACCCCTATGCTGCTGCCTACTCTGCCTATCCTTATGCCGCCTACTACCGTTAAGCAAGGATAACAACTTGACAACTTGATCTGGATTCTGTGCACACGCAATTTATATTTCCTCGAGCAATCCTTTGACTCTTGCTTTATTCGGTTTTTGTTTTATCTTTTTGATTTTCCCTTTTTTTTGAGTTTTTAGTATTATTTAATGATGGTTAGAGCGGAAATATTATTGTTGGAATAAATGCATTTTGCGTAAAACGTAATATCTTATTGAGATTATTTAATTTCTTAGCTATTGCAATTGTGTTTTCATATATTTATATATTTTTCAAAGATTAGGTTGGTCTAGGAAGTCTTCTATGAAGCTTATTACTCGAATAAATTTTAATTTCCTTAGGAAGTTTTTCAGCCTTAAGGAACTACTTCATCTTCTAGAAAGTTTTCTTTTCTCTGAAAAGTCTTTCTTTCTGTCGGAAGTCGTCCCAACTTCAGGAAGTTTTGCTTTGTCTCAAAAAAAGTTTTCTTTGAAGTCTTTTTTCATTGAAAAAGTTTTACTTCCTCTATAAAGTCTAACTGGGCTTAGGGAGTTTCATTAACTCCAGTAAGTATTGGTTTCTATGGGAAGCTTTCTTCTTATTCGTACTCTCTCTAGAAAATGTTGAACTTTTCTGTCTCATATGAGGCTTATCTTCCGCTAGGAAATTTTCCTTTTCCAATAAGTTTTCTTTGCTTAGAATGTTTTTCATGCTCTCATGCTGCTTCATCTCTGTCTAAAATTTAATACATTTCAATGATTCTTGAATCTAAGTAATATAAATTGTTATTTGAAATATTTGTTATACTTTGCCACTGGCTTGCGCTTTTTTCATTGCAAAGCCCCATTTTAGATCCAGTTGACCTCTGCAAGGACACTCGCCGGTATTTTTTTCCTTCACCTTGGGTGCACAGCTGTTTGCCAACCCTCGGCTCAATCGTTTTCTATTTTTAATTTGAATTACAATTAAAATGCACAGTCCGCAGTCCGCAGTTCCAGTAGCTGATGGAATATATGTACTTGCAACTGGGTTACGTTAAAATGACGGGCACGTAAACAGTACGTTGTCGACAGCAGTTTGTGGCTGATCAGAGGATTGGTAAGCGTTTAATTATGCTAATCGTATCCACAGAAGGCAGTAGTTGCTGCTGCTGCTGCTGACGACAGCTCGAGCCGGCTTCGAGACGGAAGTGACTAAGCTCTTGAGTTAGGAATGTGGATTATCGTGTAGTGTAGCAAACGATTTGTATTTGGTTAGGATTTGCTGGCCTTGTTTGAACAAGCGTTTTAGCTGAGGTAGTAAAGTCCAACCAAACTGAGTGTTTGGCCCTGGTTTGGTAATATTTCAATTATTCAGTGCAGGTAGAGCAGACAGTGCTCGGCCGTTGCCATGAGCCACGTTGCGGCTATTTGTCGTAATTATGAGCAGCTTAAACAGCACTTGTTATTGCATGCCACACGTGCCACTCAGCCAAGTAAACAACATCCTGGGTCCCTAAAAGCCCTGGACCCTAGAGTTCATTGGCATCGATGCTGACTTTGAGGCATTGCATAATCCTCGAGCACTGTTGTGAGGGAGCAGCACTCTAACTGTTTACTAGTTGTGAGCTGTCAGCCATGATTTTTAGCTATACCCTGTAAAAGTTGAATAGGGTTAATAGGGAAGTTATCTACGATGGAGTTATGTATTGATTGCCTAGAAAACTACTTGAGAGAGCGAGGGAGAGCAACTGTCTCTTAGTCTAATAGCTGTTTCTTTTCTCTGACAGAAACTGATAATATTAAATATATATATATATATATATATATATATATATATATATATATATATATATATATATATATATATATATATATATATATATATATATATATATACATATATATAAGTTGTTTTATTTATGATCTAGGGTATTTCATCTTTCGACTATTCATAGTTTCATTAACTGCTAGTTATACCCTGCAGTCTTTGAGCATATGTAATAGAGGTATATTTGACTATGTTTGCTGAGCTGTTTGATCTAGAAGAAACTAGACCGATATCATAGTTCATCTATAGTAACATATTTCTATCTAGATATCTAATCTACTTCAGATAATATCTGAATTCTGTTCAAAAGATACATTTTAGTTCACTCTGATCTATATTTTAGATCAGTTTGAAGTGCAGCTTCAGTTTAGACCTGCTTCTGTCTGTCTAGAAACTACAGAATCTGCAAGGCTTATTTCACATAAATATATATGCCTGTACCTAAGATAGACCAAGTATATGACTCGATATCTTCAAACAATTTCCCAAATATCCATCTAAATAACACTTCGAACTGAGTTTCTTAAGCACAACTCGAGCAGACCTTCAGCTAGGCATCTCAATCACACTCTCTGCCTCTGTCATACACACTCTTAATATACCCCACTTAACTAATCTAGGGTATGTTAACGTCTACAACTGAAGCTGCTTCATTCTTGGCTTATTTTTAATTGAAACGTGCCCCGTTTGTTGCGTGTGGCAGCAACAGCTGCTGCAGAGCTTGCCGCATCTAGTCGCTGCCGCTGCTGCTGCTGTTGCTGCTGGCGCATTTAATTAAAAGGCGCCACTAGCATATAGACGCGACTCTCAAATCTCAAGCATCAGTTGAATGGGCCTTGCCACTCCTTGTAGCAAGTGCATTAATCATACGCCGCGTGGTGCCGACAACGTTCTGCTCTGCTCATTTTTCTTACTTTGTATACGAAATGCATTTCATTAAAATGTTTAAATGTCGAACTGATTGCAAATTAAATCAAATGCGAGTTTTTTTCTTCTTAACAAGTTCTTTGGGTACTTTTTGCATGATTTTTGACGCCTACAAATTGGTTCTTTTTGCAGCCATTTACGAATCGGGTGAAGCGCCACGCCCACTGCGACGGCTTCATAAATGCTTATGGACTAACTGATTTAATACTTCCCAGGCAACTCGTTTGCCATTTTAATCAGCCCCCCTCCTGCTGTTGGCTGCATTAGGTCTTTTTTAATGGCTACAGTGTTGCCTGTCAGTTGGCGCACACAGTGCCAACAATTAGGCAACTGCCCAGCCAGCTGACACATTTCATTTGTGCAGACATCAATAAAGGTCGATCTTAATCGGCGCGCTGCTCGAGTGACAAAATTTTAATTGAATTTAATTTTTTAGCGCTCACTGTATGAGTCCATAAACCGGCTACAGCGTGCGCTTAGAATTGCCTGCTCTACTCAAGTAGCCAAAAACTAAACGAGTCACGAGTGAGCTAGTGTGTGTGCCGTGAAATACCCTAGAGAAGATGTTGGGCGGGGGCTTGTTGAGTAGAGATGGGCTAGGCATCGAAACTTGAAAACCGATATTTATCGATATTAGGATCTATCTATAAGGTATCAATATTTTCTTTTCTAGTAAATTATAATATTTAAACAATTTTCAGGATTTTATGCAGGCTATTTATATTGATCAAGCAAATGATATTTATCGATATAAATAAAGTGATAGGGAATATCGATCGATACATACCAAAAATTCTTGTAATGTATACACAGAAGAATATATTTCTGAAATTTCTATAAGCTCGTTAGAGATATACGTGGATCTGGATATTGATCTAACAATTGATGTTGATTGAAATAAGAAAAAGCGTAGAATCTATCGATCAAATATAATGTAATATAGAAAAATGTATCTATATCTTTAAGAAAATTTATCTAGATCTATATATATATATATGATAGAGCTTAGATACTGAATAGGCTTATCTGTGTGTAGCTCACCAGATAGTCTACTCCTGGCTCTGTCTGTTACATACTACGGTTCATTGCCCATATACCCCTTCTCATTAACTTGGACAAGGTATACAGGCACATAAATGTGTCGCCCACTTGGCAAACGCATTTGTATGCAAATATTTTGAATGGGCGTAAGTTACGCATAATCACAGAGCGTTGCAACTGCCCAGAGTCTGGCCATTGTCAAGCGGGCAGCCGCCTTTCCATTTGCTGAGGGGAGTTAAGATTTACGCAGCCAATTTCGCATTGCACCGCAGGGCGTTGAGGCGAGTGGCCAGGTGGTAGTGGTGCAGGTGGCACAGGTAGCCAACAGGCACAGGCACGGGCACAGGCCCAGGCACTTTAAAAACTTGGCCTCTTAAGTTTTACGTAAAGCTTGATCTGATTTATGCGTGTGGGGCGGCGAGGTGTGCTGCAATTAGCTGTCAGCTGCACCACCAGCAACAACAACAACAACAACAATAAATATGTATATTAGAATTATTACAGCAAAAATTTGCATTGTGCTCGCAGTTGATAGCTATGAATTTATGATTGCATTTAAAGTTTGTTATGAACAGCGGCTCAGCTGGCAGGGGCTCTCCTGGGTAAAGCCCCTCTCGAACGACCTTGCGACGCCGCTGACAGCTGCAGCAGCCGCCAGGCTTGCAGCAAACATCAGTTATCGACAATTGCCCTAGATAAAGTTGATCTAGAAGTCCGGCTCAAGCAATCAGCCTAACAACGCGCATTATGACACGCGTACACTGAGCGAAATGTGGCACAGCTGAAGCTAGAAAATGTTTTAGAAATTTAAATTACTTTTCATTGAAGACTTGAAGAGATACTGAAATAACTTCTGACTGAAGATTTGGGTGTTTCGTTAATTAGCTCATTAAATCAATGACATTTCAGCTACTATAACTGCTTCTAGTACTATTTCTACTACTACTTTTACTACTACTTTTATTGCTATTTTTACTACTAGTTTTACTGCTACTTCTACTACTTCTACCACTACTTCTACTATAACTTCTATTCCCACTTCTACTACTACTTATATTACTACTTCTACTACTACTTATGCTGCTACTTCTGCTACTACTACTATTTCTACTACTACTTCTACAAATACTTCTACTACTACTTATACTACTTCTTCTGCTACTAATTCTACTACTACTTCTACTACTAGTTCTACTAATAATTCTACTATTAGATCTACTACTAATTCTACTACTAATTCTACTACTAATTCTAGTACTACTTCTACTACTACTTCTACTACTACTTCTACTACTACTTCTACTACTGCTCCTTCTACTACTCCTACTACTACTCCTACTACTACTACTATTACTAACACTTTTACTACTATTATTACTTCTACTACTATTACTACTTTAAGATATCAAGCATGATATATGAATTTTTATGTATTTTATACAATCTACTTCTTCTAGCATTAACATCATTCATGGAATATCATTCAAGGAAAATTATTTCCTCACATAAATAACATTTTAAGTAATTTATTTGTATAACAAATATATATTTCTAGAACAGATAGATTTTCAGTTCGCCAATAATTCTCCTTTATATTCAATCAAAAGGCATTTAATAAATTTTTTACAATTTTCTCACATATTGTGCTCAGCGCTATTATCCACATTCAAGTACTTTGCTGGGGCTGTGGCTGTGACTGATCAATTTGGCTTTAGCCAAACGTTGTAATTAAGACTTAATCTTTAAAATCCTGCTAAATGACCAATTTACGCATTGCTCGAACCATTCGCTGGAAATGATAAATATCGAGCAATATCAAGCGCAACACGCACCGGCGACCAGTTCTTAAATGTTTTTTCGGAAACTCGTTCACACAGATTTCTTGATTATACATATAAATATACATATATATATACATATACATATATAAATATTGAGACTAAGTTGACTGTGCCAAACATCCGCATTGGCCGGGGCGGGTCTCTAACAGCCGCCGCCTGCACCGCCTGCGTCATCGGGCTGCAACCACGAGTTGCACTTTGCATGCGCACACGAAGTCTCGCAGCCTCCAACAAAAGTAAAAGTTCAGTTCTCGTTATAAAGATTTGAGTTGGCTTTTTGGGCCCGACTCGAATTTGGCTATAAAAGCATTTGAGCCCAGTTAGCAGGCATTATTAAACGTTGTGTTCTCGCCTCGTCTAAAACTCCATTTGCAACATGTTCAAATATGTAAGTTTTCACCTGGGTGAGCTAGCTCCGAGTCCAGCTCTAACTCTAACATCTTGCAGCTCCTGGTCGCCTTCTGCTGCTGCTTGGCCAGCGCTGCTGCTGCTCCTGGCTACTTGGGTGGCTTGGCTGCAGCTCCGGCTCTGTCTTTGGGCGCTGCCCCGGCCATCTCCTATGGCCACGCCTTGGCCGCACCTTCGATTGCCTCGTATGGTTTGGGCCCCAGGATTAGCTACGCTGCGCCTGCCTTGGCTCATGGCCCCGCTTTGTCTGCCTACGGCTTGGGTCCCAGGATTAGCTATGCTTCGCCAGCCATTGCTCATGCACCGCTTGGCCTGGCAGCCGCACCACTTGGCCTGGCCTCTCCACTCGGACTTGGCTACAGATCGTATGCTGCTGGTCCTGCCCTGAGCCTGGGTCATGGCTGGTAGAGACTGCCACATGGACGCCCAACCCCCGATTGCTTTTCATTTCGTTTGCACACAAAATTTTTGAGAGAAAGTGAATTTGATTTTGAATTAAACGCACATTTCGTATTGATCAAGAGTGAGTCTTAGCTTTATTGGATGCTGATTTACTGCTTTGCAGATTTGGGACTCTCACACGCTCTGCCTATGCTCACCAGCCGTAGCCATGGCCATAGCCATAGCCCAAACCCAAGCCCAGGCCCAGACCCAGGCCATGTCCGTAGAGACCATGTCCGTAGCCGCCCAGATAGCCATGGCCCAGGCCGTGGCCATAGCCGCCCAGATAGCTCTTGCCAATGATGGTCTTCGTGACGATGGGCGCTGCAATAGTCTTGATGATGGGCTCATGGTAGCCCAAGCCCAAGCCTAGACCCAAGCCGTAGTGCCCGCCATAGTGTCCGCCCAGGCCCAGGCCCAGACCGCCATAGCCCAGATGATAGTCATGTCCAAAGCTGGGCGCTGGAGCTGGTGCCGGAGCTGGTGCCGGAGCTGGAGCAGGTTCTGGCGCTGGTGCAGCCAGGCAGCAGCTCAGGCAAAGCGCTGCCAGCAGGAAAAGCTAGCGAGGATTAGGATTAGATTAGGTGTGCCTCGGCTCTAGTTTATGCTTGCACTTACTCCTTTGTACATTTTGCTATCAACTAGTTGGGTGCCACGTGATTTACTCCAAAAGCTGTGTTGTGCTTGTGCTGCTGCAGCTGCTCGCTGCGTGGGTCTTATATATGTTGCAGGAACCGGCGGCCCGGCAGTTGCCACCCAAATCGGGCTGTCGATGATCTAATGGGCACTGCATTTGGACACCATTGGCTGGCTGCTTCTGTTAATCTACTTTGTTAGTCTGCGTGCCTTTTTTCTTGTTTTTGGTCAAAGACATTTCACTCGTTTCGCGCATTGCTCATACGCAATGTGGTCCGGCATGCATTGGGCAAGTGTTTAATTTGCAACATGCCAGCAGGCGACAAAGTTTGGGCGTGACTGCAATTGCATTTCGAGCTGTGTTTTCCTGCTGCCACTTTGTCGCTAGAATCGTTAAAACAAATAGACAAACCCAGTTCGAAATAAGGTCAACGTGCTCTCAATATCTATCTCAGCCAAGTGTGACGCAATAATTTATGTATAAAGAGCAGATCAACAAAGAGATCTGTAATCAATTCTCTACGGCCCGAAGTGTTGATCGTAAACACATTGCTCAACCTGCCAGCAACACATTTAAGACAATAAAACCCAAATAGACAATGGCTAACTAAAAAGACACTGAATGAGCTCAGACGCTAACTAAAGCTGAAGAAGAATTAGTTTGATTAGAGTGCGCGACTGACAGATGCGCTGTAAAGCAAATTTTAATTCATCTATATATACCGAAAGTATACCAAAAATACTAAATGGAATATAATATAAAAGAGTTGTGGTATTAAAATACTGAAATAAATACTGAAATTATCTTAATGACTTTAAGACTTACTATTTAATAAATATATGCGCAAGCCTAGTTGACATCTTAGCTATGTAGTGTGAGCTTGGAGATTTTTAGAGAATATTTCTAGTACTCGATGCAAAAGCTGGAGAAGGCAAATATATTTGTGATATTTTATTATATTTTTTGTTATCTTTATATTAGTTATTATTATTTTTATGTGTTTAATTTTATTTATTTAACATTTTAACATTTTCAGTCTTTTGTAATGCACATGGCTAGATCAACACAGCTCTTTGCCCTGATCAAGAATATATTTATTCAATTTATCAAGAATATATTTATTCTAAATTCTACTCTCCTTCATTTAGTGGTCAGCCGCGCTACTATTTTTATGAACGCTGCTGTGCGTACGTCATAGAGTCCACCGCAGCTGCTTTTGCCTGTTACACATAAATTCTATAATAACTATAATGAACTGAATTTCCATTGTTAATAGGTTCACGGATTAAATAGGTTGTGTAAATTATTCATTATATTCAGTTATTCACATTTACGACACTCTTCTCTATATTTGCTTGGCTTCGCAAAGAACGATTTATGGCAGATGCCGCTAAGACAGGGGAATTTAATGGCATATTTAGGTAACTGTTTGATGACTAGCATATTTATTTTTGAGTATATAAAATAATATATTTGCATAACTAGCTCTGCCCGCATAGTACAGCTGTGTGAAATTCCCATCTAAATATTATTTTCGCTCATTTTCCGCCAGTGTCAGTGATTTCTTCGAAGCAGTAAAGCACGCACTTAACAGCTTTCTGTGTCAAACCCAACCACTTTTATATATAGAAAGCCCTGTTTCGAGCATGTCTTACGATTATGATACCCGCTCTTAAGCTAGTTTCTTCATTTTTAGGGTATACCACAAAAATTAAAATAAAAAAACTAAAATTACATTCATAAGCTCTACAAAAGAGTCACTGACACTTGGATAAGCCACAACAATAACAACAACAACAACAACAACTACGAGCGATCAGCGACGTGTTTAAACTTGAACTTGAAAACGAGTTTTGGGAATTCGTATGGTTGGAGTTTATATTGGAGATTGTTTGCTGTGGCTGCGGCTGCGACTGCGGCTGGAACTTTGCTTTGTGGCGTTGCAACTGGTTCCCGACCTGAAGTGCAGCCCGAAACCTGTTCAAGAAGCCACCAAGCAAATATTCTAACTGTACATGGAGGCAGGCCCCAAGAAGCAACCGCTTGACTCAGCGCTTAGTCGAACTGCAGTCAGAAAGTGGAACACAACAGAGAGCTCCCAGAATGCGTGCCTGCGTCACCTACACGATTCTCCTGCTGCTGGCCCTGCAAGAAGCTCGAGCTGCCACACTCGTTTATCATCAGCCGATGGCTGTGATTTATCGTCATCCCGCCACCGGCGAGGCGCAGCAGCATCCGGGCTATACCATTGTGGCACCACTCACAAAGATCGCACATGTCACCTACGACTCGGTGCCCATCTCCCACACGCCCTTCGAGCATGTGCCGCTCTTCCAGCGCATCGGACACGTGAAGCACGTGCGGCTTTGAGACTTAGTCTAAGACACTTCAAATAAATTGAATATAAAAATATTTATTCGCCAAGCACTTTGCTTACTAGTGTGTGTTTTGGTCTAAGGGTGTGTGGGGCTAAGTCTAAGCTAGGATGGGTTTGTAGCTGGAGTGTGTCTAGAAGAAGTAGGGAGCGGGTGCTGGGAATCTGGGTGCCACAGCCAGTGGTGCAGGCACGGGCGCGGCGAAGGGTGCTGCAGCAGGCAGTCCAAAGCGAGCGGGCGCGGCAAGGCCAAAAGGCGCGGCCAAAGGAGCGCCCAAAGGTGCAGCCAGAGGAGCAGCCAGAGGAGCAGCCAGAGGAGCAGGCGCAAAGGCAGGTGCGGCAAAAGCAGGCGCCGGTGCCAGAGCAGGAGCAGCAAATGCCACCTTGGGTGGTGCAGCGAAAGCCACTGGTGCTGGCACTGGGGCAGCCAGAGCCACTGGTGCAACTGGTGGTGCTACCGGGAAGGCAACGGCGTGGTTAATCCGATGAGCATTGAAGCTGGAGGCATAGGGCGCCACCACGCCGGCGGCAGCGAGTGGTGCAGGTGCAGCGGCAAAGGGCAGCAGACCCGCCTGGGCGCCAGCCACGCAGAGAGCAACGAGCTGTTAAGTGGAGCAGAGCTTAAATCCAAGTCCTTCAAGCAGGATCTCTCGACTTACCATAATTTTGGCGAACATTTTGCTTGGGTTTTTTGGTTGGTTGTGGTTGGGTGGTTGGCTTGAGTGCTAACTAAGCTTTGATGTTCAATTGTCAAGTGTTGGGCGTTTTTATAATTCTGCCATCTGCCATACTGTATTGACATTTGGGTGGTTGTGGTGGGGCATACCAAAATCAAATTGCAAGACTTTCTACATAAGGCCGTGGTGCGAAGGGCGTTTACTGTACTTAATAATCAATTGGCCAGCTGTTACGTAGTATCGACAACCACTTTCATAATTGCACGCCAAAACCAAGGCACCGACAACACCACCACCACCACCACCATGGCCTAGCCCAATGGCCGACATTCGGTTGAGCAAGTTTTCGTTTTATTTTGTTTTTGATTTGTTTTTGCTTTTTTTTATATATATTTTTAGTGGCATCGATATTCACCTACTAATGAGCCACATTTATCGGACGTGACACATAATGTGGTGTCAACTATCCAAGCCACTCTCTTGCTCTCTCTCTCCCTCTGTCTCTCTCTCTCTCTCTTTCTCTTGCTGTCGCTCTGTCTTTCAATTAATATTCAATTTCTTCACTGCAATTGTCGCGTGTACAAAATGTTTTTTCCTCGCTGCACCACCGACCGCTAGTGGTAGCCTTCATACATATGGCTCTACCATGGACTTCCTCTGTGCCCCACCTCCATCTCAGTTCACTGTCACTTTCTGTGTTTTGAATTCCTGATTTGGCTCGCTTGCAACTTTTTGTCTGCATTTTACACTGTCGCACAAGAAAATTGATTTCAATTTAGATATATATAAAATAAAATAAATATATATAAATAAAATAAACAGTTAAAGGTTTAATAAAGTATATCCTAAAGAGAAAAATTCTTCTATGATTTTGAACTCTTTTCTACTCCCTTCATCCACTTTCCCCTTCCTTTTCACATTACATTTTCAGTAACTTTTTCACCAATTCACAGTAAAAATTTTTTTAAGTTTTCGCTTTTCTATTTATATTTATATAAATTTATAAATACATAATTTACAATATATTTTTTACAATTTTCTAAACGACTCAAAACTTCTTTGGCTTCGTTCAATGCATACGAGTGATGTGAATAATTTCTATATAGACCTTCGATTCCCAATCCAACTTAATTTAGAATAGTGAATGATGATGATGATGATGAGCCAGCTTCAGTGGCAGAGCGCGCAGATGGGCGTGTGGTGCAGCCACGAACTTGGGAAAGGCGTAGCCAATGGAGACGCGGTGGGTCGTCTTCTTGGGTCCAGGAATGGCGCGATAGCTGTGACTAAATGGCACCGCCTCAAGCACAGGTGGCAGCACCTGGGTCACCGTGGGTAGATGCAGCTCGGCGGTTGGCAGCAGATGCGTGTGGGCTGCTGGCAGCAGTGGTGCAGGCGCGGGCAGCAGTGGAGCAGCAGCTGGCAGCAGTGGTGCAGGTGCAGGAACGGGCCAAACAGGTGCGGGTGCGGGTGCGGGTGCAAGTGGTGCAGACCAAAGTGGTGCTGGCGCCAATGGGGCAGGAGCGGGCCAAACTGGTGCTGGCGCCAATGGAGCTGGAGCGGGCCAAACTGGGGCTGGTGCAGGTGCGGGGGCGGCTGCAGGCCAGAGTGGTGCAGGTGCTAGTGGTGCTGGTACCGGAGCTGGTAAATAAGTTTCCTGCAGCTGCAACGGCGCTGCATAATCCACATGTTCCGGCAGCACATGTTCATGCAGTGGTGCATGATCGAAGTGGTTGAAGTGGCTCAAATGATGGTCAAAATGATCAAAGTGGTGCGATGGCTTGGCCTCAATGCAGACCAGAACCAGGGCCAAAATGAAAGACTGAAAGAGAAGGAAATGCGTTAGTCGAGTTGCTGCTGGGAGCCACTGTGGTGCAATAGTCCTACCAATTTCAGCTGCCACATCTTGCTTGTGTTTTGTATGAGTGGTGCGGGTGGTGCTGTCCTTGTGCTCAGTTGCTGTTGACTGCTCGAAGACGCAGCTATCAATGTGTGACAATGGAACAGCTCAATTAATTTATAGCTCAAATTCCGTTTAAGCCTGGCCAAATCAATTGGCCAGTGGCCAAATTGCACGTGCACTTCTTCACTTTCGTCGCGGAGCCACCACACCTCGCAGCGGCTTTATGGTCAAACGATTTGGTAACCACTTAAGTCACATTCCGAATCGTGACTCTGTTGTCATCGCTTCAACATTTGTTTAGAAGGCCCTTAGTTGGCGCTCTGTTTTCGTAGTTATGGTGGTGCAGACAGAAGGGGCCCAATAACTTCTTGCACCGCTCGTTATTATATAAGTGGATGGTTATTTGTGTGCAGCTCGAAATGGAAATCGATTATGACATTTTATATAAAATATTGCCAAGCTTAGATAGACGACCGAAACGATTGAAAGTTGAACGTGAACAGAGCAATTTATGAGCTACTCAATTAGAGGGTATAAAGCGGGTATACGCACTGTTAATAACTTGAATTTGCGTTAAATTATATGAAAATAAAGGTATAAAGATAAAATGTAAAAGAGTTAGCTGCATTAGGAATTTTTCTTGATGAATTTCAAGAATATTTTTACCTGAAAATTTGATATAGGGTATCTGGTAGTCGAGCGCGTTTCAGTATTCAGTATTCTTGAGTTGTTTTTAGTTTATAAATTCGATTTTATTTATTGAAAATTCGCTAGGAAACATGTTGGTTCTTTAAGACACGTCTAAACCACAACTGGAGCGGGGGCAGCAAAGCTGTAGGGCGCGGCGTAGGGTGAAGCCAGGGCGTAGGGCGAGGCATAAGGAGCAGCCAGTGGAGCAGCATAGGGAGAGGCAGCCAGAGGAGCAGCCAGTGGAGCAGCATAGGGAGAGGCAGCCAGAGGAGCAGCCAGCGGAGCAGCCAGTGGAGCAGCATAGGGAGAGGCAGCTAGAGGAGCAGCCAGTGGTGCGGCAGCATAGGCAGCTGGAATGCCCGAGACATAGCGGCTGGAGTAGGGTGGTGTCAGCTCGAAGGGCGCGGTGGTGTAGGAGGACTGGGTGCCGTCATAGTTGTTGCGAATATCCACCTGGCTGCTGCCGCCAGCGGCGTAGAGTGGTGCATTTGCATAGGCGACCGCAGCGGCTGCTAGTGGTGCAGCGACTGGTGCAGCAAGTGGTGCGACGACGCCTGGCTTGGCCACGGCGCAGGCAACGAGGGCGGCAATGATGAACTGTCAAATGAAGGTGGGTTAATAGTGGTTCCAGTGCAGCAATCGAAGCGGCGACTTACGAATTTGAACATGTTGGCTGTGGTTGTCAGGTGGTTAGAGCACTGGACTGATAATGTCTGTCATAGGCACTAACTGCGCTTTATATAGCCACTGCAGTATTCTGCTCGATTTTCGTGCATATTTTGGTCGCTTCTTTGTGTGGGGTGGCACGTGCTTGGCCTTTGATAGTGACACCAGCAGCCACCACCAACTGCCAGTTACCAGCCAGCGAACCACCAGCAGCAGTAGGAAGTCCAAATCGCAGTCGCCATCGCCGACGCATTCACGAATTTCGCAAAAAGTGCTCGCATTTGTATGCAGACAGCGCCGTCGAGTGGGTCAATTGTGTGGTTGCCAATTGGCGGTTTCAGCGGTTTAGCCTCAATTTTCAATTTCGAACTAAGTTGGCCATAAAAACGCGTGTCGCATTAGTGCCGCATTTAATGATCGGCCATAAAAATTCAATTGCGCCGCGCTGCCCTCGCATCCTGTGTCGACCTTGAGCCTAACTCAACAGCGGCAACAGGATGCGATGCGGTCAAAGCCGTAACTGTTTAAGCCATTATTCAGCAACGCAGCCACCGCGTCTTCTTCTGCCTCGAGCTGAAACCGGCTTGCGGACTTAATGAGCAATACGCTTGGATCTCGGCTGGTCACGTGCTTGCGGCGACGTCGTCATCAACTGCCTTGCCTCCTCCTCCTCTCACTCTTCATCTCTTCTCTTCTTTTGCTGTGTTTTGCATTGTTGCTCGAGATGAACTCAAGGCCTTGCTAGATGATCTGCTGAAGTGACCAGGGGCCAGCGCTTTATGCTACGTGGGTTATGTATATGTATGTATATATATATGTATATATATATGTAACTGTATTCACATTTTTATACTCTCCACATATTTAATGAGAGCCATAAGAATGCTGTGCTAAGCTTGAAATTCCTGTGAAACCTATGTGACTCGACTTCTCCTGGTCTTTAGCATGTGTAACTTAATATAGTGACATTGATCAACTTTTATTTTGCTCGTCATTCATGTCCTCTCTATATATATTTATCGACTGCTATTGCAGCTACCTTAATGAAATTTGTTCTATAAAGATTTAGCAGTCTCTCAAATCTATATATATCCTGATCAGCTTTAACAGTTTATTGGAAGTATATATAAATTATGCCATCTTATAGCCTATGTGAACTTGGCTGCCATGCAAACTAACTATATGAAATTTACTGTAAAGTCATCTGTGAATCCATTAAGTACAAATCTACCTTGATCAATATCAGTATTAGACGTCTGGCTTGATATATATCAATAGCTCTCCTAATATCACCCATGTGAACTCGACTTCTATGGTAGTTACTTTAATGAAATTTGGTGTAGAGCAAACTGAAAGCATTTCAAGCATTTATATGACTTGATCAGCCTCAACCACCGACTCTTTCTCTACATGTGCTATATGAACTTGGCTTCTACTAGAGATATCCTAAAAAAAAATTGTACAAGCATATCTAAGAGTCTCCAAGGCATAAATTTACAAAAATCAACATCATTGGCCTATTGGACAAAGCCTTATCCACTTAAATGTGTTTCTGGCCCATGTGAACTCGACTTTCCTTAAAGTAACATTGCTCAATTTCAGTAGATCGGCCTATTGTTACGACCGCTAACACGTAAATCAAAATCAAGCGAATCGTATTACTTTGTCATGCAGCCGCCATACAAATAGTCTATTGTAAATAACGATAATTTACCTTGTGTAGGCTTAAATTAAATAGTTTTGCATTGAATTTCAAGATTTTCTAACATTAAAAAGGCACATTTACATATTGTGACAATTGAAGGCAAGGGTATTCAGTGTTCGGCTTTGTTTTTGCCACACAAAACTCTTGATCAGCTCAAGCCAACCGCTCACTTCGGTGGCGTGTAAAAGATTCTTGACATCGAGCTTGGATCACGAGTTGTGCATGGGGTTAGTCAGTCATGTGGTGGGTATACGGAAATTCGGAAACTCGAGATCTTCCGCTCACTTCCTCGACGCCCAGACGCTCTCGTTTATAGCCATTTATGTAGACAATGTTTATATTCGAATCGAGTACCGTTTGCTTGGATTGTTTTCAAATTTTGGCTGCTGTTATTCCAGTTCTAAGTAAAAGTGGTTTCTCAATATCTGGAATCCAGATCGGAGTTCCGTTTGCTGATTAATCGCATATCCGCTTATCCGGTTAGACGGTGGATCCGCTGCTGGGGGGAGGGAGCTGGGCTTACGGCTAGTAAATCAATGCCAAGTTTAAGGCCTTACGAACAGCTCCTCGAGCACTGAAATAGCACTTTAAGCGCTTGTATGCTAATGAGGTGCTCATCATCTTTTTTCAATTTTAACATGAGCCGCCGCACCACCGCACAACACATAAACAAACATTGATCTTTGATAAGTAGCAGCTCGTAGGTGAAAGGTGCGATCGACAATCGACTCTGATGAAGACGTGGTCTTCTTCTTTTCTTTGTGGTAGCTGCTGCTGCTGCGACCTTCGACTCTTGATATGCAAATGTGCACCACCGAGAGACGGAGAGTTTTGCAGTGGTTCGACGGTTTGTCTGATGGTCATGAGCCTGTCACAAAAAAGCGATCTTTGAATTTAAGAGAGCTTTAAATGGCAAGTAGCTTTTACTTTATTTAATAGCATTTATATATTTCGTATACCTATCACTACGATTCACACACACACACACACTCTCTCACACACAGGCAAACTCAATCAGTCACAGAGGTAGTTAAACAGTCAGTTGGCTCTGTGATGAAAAGTTAAATCAACTAAAATCGATGCTTATGAAATCTATTTTACATATATAAATTGTGGTTGCTGTTGCTATGTGGTGCTTAGCGCCTTTGTATTTGCGCGGTGCCGTAGGAGGTCAGGCCGGTGGTGTGCGGCACTGTGGCATAGGAGGCGCCCGCTTGCAGCGGCAAATTCGCCACGTTCAAAGGCATCAGGCCAAAGGGCACAGGCAGCTTCAGATTTAGGGAATTGCTATCCGAATGGGTGGCTATGGCACGACCTGTTGCTGGTGCTGCTGCTGCTGCTGTCAGTGGTGCAGCGGCGGCTGCTGCGTTGCCGCCGAAAACATAGCCACGGCTGGTCAGCACCTGTGTGAATGCCGCATGCTCCAGCGCTGGCTCCACAAACTGACGTGCCACTTGCTGATGCGCCCGCTGTGGGGCACGTGGCACTGGGTAATGGTAGGCGCCCAGCTGAGTGCTAGGTGAGAAGGAATAGTCCAGGTGCGACACATCCGCTTGCACCACATTCAACTGCAGCGCCAGTCCGAAGAACAGCAGCAGAACCACAGATTTCTGAAAGAATCCGTTAGAGATTAGATCACATGCCAGGCACAACAAGCACACACACGCACACTCACTTTGTGAGACATTTTTGTGCCGTTGGTTTTTTGTTTCACTTTTATTGCACCTGAACACGAGTATTCAATAAATTATCGAATGCGTTTCGTTTGCGGTTTCAGTTGTGGACGAGCGCAGCTTTTCGTGCTGATTAAAATTTGTGCGCGAGCTGAAGATGCTTTTTATAGCTCAGATACTGAACAACGCCAAGCCACAGCTGAGCTTCAGTTGAGTTCTGCCTGCGGACAGGTGGGCAGACGAACGAGGCAGCAGGTGAGCCGTCGAACAGTCGCGATGACGACTCGACCAGTCCAAGAGCTAGCACATAGCCAAACAAGTGAGGCCTGAGCTGAGCAACGTCTGTCTCGACTACCAGCTACCCTGTTCAGTTAAGTTCAGTTAAGTTGAGTAGATGCGGAGCTATTATTATATAGTAGTTGGAGTTCCACATAAATTATATAATTATTATAAACTAATTATATATAAGTAATACAATTATTAAAAAATATATACATATATTTTTTTGTTATTTATATTCTTTATATATATCTATATACTTCATCAAATATATATTTTCAGCTTATTAATTCCATCAAATTTTAGTTATTTACTGAAGTTTTGCGTTATCAACAAACTTAACTCAACTCAGCATACCCGCTTCCTGCTTCACAGGGCATGCAAACAGAAAACAAAATGCGTTTGTGCTTCTGCCGCTACCTGCTGCCTCTGCTCGCTGTCGCTGCCAGCGTCGCTGCTGGCGGCAGAAGTATTTTGACTTTCAGCTTAGCTTAGTGGCGGCGGCTGGCTCTCTGCGCGCTTAACATATTTATTCTGCTTCTGTTTAACCGTTTGTTGTTGTTGTTGTCTCGCTCTTGCGCTCCTCTCTCACTCTCTCTCTCTCTCTACCTTTTGGGCTTTTGTATTTTGCTTTATTTTAATGGCATCGTTCCACTGCAGGCATTTACTACTGGCATTTACTGTTGTTCTTGTTGTTGCTTTTGCTGCTGTTTCTGTTGTCTTTCTTGTTGTTGTTTTTTGACTCTGTTTATATTTTCTGTGCTAAGTTGTTCGCTATTTGTATGAGCTGCTTTGCCAGTTGTTGCTGGCGCTGCCACTGCCGCCGCCACCTCTGCCTCTGTCGCTGTTGCTGTGGCTACTCTGGCTATTGAGCAGCGTCTATTGATAATATTTGGTTTGCCTTGCATATAAATCAATGTTGGTCATTTCGATTGGCATCCAAACTATGCAACAGGCCGCATCGATTCAGGCTCTCAGTCAGTCAGTCAGGGTCGTCGCCAAGGGGGTTATTAACTAGCTGCTAATGTCGAGTAACTGCTAATCGGTTGCTTAATATTCCAGCCAGAGCTAACGTTAATTAACTCTACGAGCATTGCATAGCTATCGAAAGTGTGCTTAGAATTTAAGGAAATTTTTAAGGGGCAATAAGTTTTAGTTAAAGAATATTAAAAAGTGATAAAAATAAATATATATTTAATTGGGTTAGCAGGGTAAATCCCAGCTTTTTATCTAAGTCTACCGATTTCAATAAACAGTCATTTCAATTTATCTTAGCCTGTCAACATAAAAGTCGCAGGCTAAGCTAAGCAGAGATGCTACCATCTGAGCCGCTTGCTTGTTGCCCCCTTCTGCAGGTGCGCACCTGGGCAGCGTTTAGTGCCAAACAAATAAAATAACTACAGCAATTTCGACACCTTGCCAGCATGTTGAGCATTTGAACAGTTGAGGATTTGGGCTTATTAAACACAAAGCGACAGTCGTGTGACATCAGCTACGAGACGGTCAGCCAATTGGCTAGTGCCATGGCAGCGACGCCAACTGCGACGCAGGCAGAGACTGCGAGCTTGCTCGTTGGCAGGCTAATAGGTCTTTAGTTAATGCTGTTTGGGAACTTAATTAAGACGGCAACCCCGAACAACAAATTGACGGCAGCACGCCGAGACCGAAGACCGAAGACCCAATCTCAATCTTTAACTCAAACAAGTAAGAAAGCTCTAGTCGGGGTGCCCGACTAGGAGATACCCTGATCCCAGTCCTCTGAGTTTTTTTTAAATTTTCCGTAGTTTGTATCGAGTATTCAAAAAAAAAAGAAAACAAATAAAAATCGACATTGCGAGACCAGGATTCGAACCCGGATTATTTGCGCAACGTGCACAAACTCTACCAACACCGCCACTTCATAACTAAAAAAAAAAATAGAACAATAAAAACATTTCATCTCCACTGGTCTCGAACCCGGCCCAAGCTGCATACGAGCGGCGTCTCTACCAACGCAGCCACTTCCCTTCTTATGCGAGATGTTGCAAATTTGAACATAAGTAGCAGCTAATAATTCAGCACAATTCAATCGCAATTTCAATTCTTGGAATAGAAAAGAATGCACGCATTTGAATGTATGTGTGCACACGCATAGGAAAAATGCGTGCGCGTGGCGCTGCTGACATGTGCTTTTGCAAATTGGCCAAACGTTTTGTTTAATAACTTCTGTTTCACTTAATGGATTTTAATGAAATTTTCAGCATATGATCTACATATCCTATTGGCTTGGTTGAGATGCAAACGCCTTCACATAATGGCCCTAGTTCCAACTAAACTTAAATTCTAAGAATTTGGGGGAATTTGGAGCCGGTATCCAAAATCCAACAAAAATCAAAATTGCATAAAATATACATAAGACTAAATACAAAATTTGGAAGCTCTAGCTCTTAAGACGTTCGAGATATAATTTATTTACTGCATTTCAATAATGTTTTTATTCGATAACAATTAAATGCGAATAGTTATCGAATATTTGAAACAAACTTGACCTGCGCGTGCTATACACGGACCTACAAAAAAAATTTCAAGTCTCTAGCTCTTATAGATGCTGAGATCCACGCGTTCACACATACGGACAGACGGACAGACGGACAGACGGACAGACGGACAGACGGACAGACGGACAGACAGACAGACGGACAGGGCTCAATCGACTCGGCTTGTCGTCCTGATCAAGAATATATATACTTTATGGGGTCTGCCACGCCTCCTTCTGCCTGTTACATACATTTGCACAAAACCATTATACCCTGATTTCCCATTTTTAATGGGATCAGGGTATAAAAACCAAAAGCAAATAACTGAAAATGTAGGAACGAGGCAGTTGAATGTTAACGACTGCGCGATACTTGTTCAGAGCAGAAAAATTGCTAAATTTATTAAAATATTTTATATAAAACAATTGAACAATTGCTGGAACATTTATGTATATTTAACAGTGGAATGAAAAGGAAATGGAGCAAGAGAACAAACAGAATCTGAATAGTGGAATCAAACAACGATATGGAACAGTGGAATTGAACATATTAATAAAACAATGGAAAAAGTACATGGAAATGAAATAATAGAACAAAACTTGGAACTGAAACGCAGTATGGAACTGTGAAATGGAACATGAGAATAAAGCAGATTATATTGATTGAATGGTATTGAAACAGTGGATGAAAGCAGATGAAATATGCTGAAATAGAACATGTGATATAAAGCAGATGAATGTTATTGAAATAGTGAAATGAAACAATGATATGAAATCTTAACAGGGAATCGTCTAATACAGTTATTCACAAACTTATTCCAAATTTAAAGTGTCTTGAAGCCAATATACTCGCTTCTAATATCTGAACGAGCATACAAAAGAGATTCGTGGAGTGGCTGACCTCCTCCGAAATGTATTCAGCTATAATTTGTGCTAATAAAATCGTTGGCTATGTTTATGCATGGATCGAATATATATACATATATATACATACTTATGTATGGTTGACCCATTTGATGGATTTCGATTTGCTTAACGCTGACAGCTTCAATGAATTTCGCATTGAGGTGGGTCAATCGAACGTCAGTTGGCTACATTAATAATATTTTTATTTATTTACGGTATCTCTCACAGCAGGTGGTTGATTCCTCACACATTTTTCGGTGGTGGTGGTGCTCTTGGTGGTGTTGGTGATGTTAGTGGTGGTGGCGCTATCTTAAGCACCATCCGTCGCATAATTAAACACGCTGGCGTTCTCGACGATGTTGTATGAATTCCGCGGAAGATGTTTGTTATCAACAAATATTAATCGTAGACTTATAAATTCTCGCTTAATTAATTGCCCCTCGATTAGCATTGAAATTAACATAATTATAGCTATATGGTGTGGTATGTCTGTGTCGGACGGGTCTCACCAGGCGTTGGTGTCGCATGGCAGCTCGGCCGGAACTGGAGCATGCGCCTCGTAGGTGACCACAGGTGGTGGGGCATGAACGGATAAACGGGTATAGGAAGGATGTGCGTGGTAGGTGATTGGTGGTGGTGGTGGAGGTGGTGGAGCATAACGAGCTACAACAACTGCCGGTGGTGGAGGTGGTGGCGGTGGAGCATAGCGGGCTACTATAACTGCCGGTGGTGGTGGTGGCGGTGGTGCTGAGTAGTGAACAACTGGCTGTGGTGCCGGTGCAACGTGTACAACAGGCTGTGGTGGCGGTGCAGGTGCAGCAAATCCAGAGTACGTGGTGGTTGTAGTGGTTACAGGTGGACCCAGCGAATACTTGATAACTGGAGCTGGCGCTGAGTAGGCGCTAATGTGTGGTGTGGCGTATTTAAAGTATTGTGGTGGTGCTGAATATGTAACGTGCGGAGGTGGTGCAGCAGCATAGGTTAGCGTAGGTGGTGCGCTGTAAACAGCAGGCACAGCAACGGGTGCGGGTGGGCCATGAGTGAAGCTGGCGTGGATGGATGAAGAGAGACAGATGAGGAACAGCGGACCGAGCTGCAAGAGATAGAGAGAGTTAGAATGAGAAGCATAAAATAACAGAACGATAAAATGCAGTAGAACAGTATGGAACAGTGTTTTGGAACAGTGGTATGGAACAGTGGTATGGAACAGTGGTATGGAACAGTGTTATGGAACAGTGGAATGGAACAGTGGTATGAAACATTGGTATGGAACAGTAGTATAGAACAGTGGTATGGAACAGTGGTATGGAACAGTGTTATGGAACAGTGGTATGGAACAGTGTTATGGAACAGTGGTATGAAACATTGGTAAGGAACAGTTGTATGGAACAGTGGTATGGAACAGTGGTATTAAACAATGGTATGTAAGTGTGGTATGGAACAGTGGTATGGAACAGTGTTATGGAACAGTGATGTCAAAGCATGGCAAACTTGAGCCTCACTTGCCGATGGGTAAAAGTTTTTATAAAGTATCTAGGTTTTCTAAAGATTTTATCTCCATTTACTCATAGCTGAGATACCACAGAAATAGAACACGCAGTCTTTTGGGTATATCAGCTTGTGAGATCGAAGATGCTCCCCACTTTCGCTATTAAAATGCTGTAATAGTTAAGCAGCCAAAATACTCACAATCTTCCACATTTCGAAGCACGGCAATTGTCGATTTGTATACGCGTTTATGGGTACGTTTGAACAATCAAAGACTTTCACATCAAATGAATTGTTTTGGTTAAACATCACAGGTTTTTATACTCTTACTCTAGTGGTTACGCAGTAGGTGACAGAAACTCCATTACGGGAGCATTTCACGCAGCCAAGGGCCACGTCCCATCGACAAGCAAATCGTGATGCCAAATGCACGCGACACGTTTCGCAATCCCATTGCACTGTCCCCACGAGGGGTCCACAGAGGCACAGCGCAAGGTAGAGAGCGAGCAATAAAATTTATTTTAGAAGTTGACTTAGGTTGTGGCCGTGCGGGCAAGTCATAGCAGTCGCAGCCACAGTTCCAATTCCAGTTCCAGTTCCGAAAGGAATTGCAGGCACGTTTCACGGCTCATGCCATATCGACTGTGATTGATGGCCCCTGCTGCTCATAAATGCCAAAATATTAAGAAAAAAATAAGAAGTGATGGCAGAGACGGGAGTGCGCGACTTGAGGATACTGTGCATAGAAAATGGGCATTGAATAAGAGTTGCCATGGATGTGAAAAACTTGGTGGGCCGGCTTAGTCTCTACAAATAAATTTTTAGGAAAATAGGGTTTAGTATTCAAATACTAAGTATTATATATGCGTCTATGCTATAGGAGTAACTGAATACCAATTTGAGAGTCTCTAAGTCTTCAAGTCTTTGAAATCATACACAAAAGAAATATTTATTAACAAAGGCTTGCGAAAGCGGAAGGGAGCATTGGCATCGAAGAGTACGGATCGAATCTAAATGGAAATAGATTTTAGTTTATATTATCGATGTTTTAACATATATTCTCAATTCTCAAAATCAACGTGATATCATAAGAGAATATATATTACTCGTAAGTCGAAAGTATTTTGCTTTTAGTAGTATAATAATGAGCCCTTCCGTGCCGGCTTTAACTAAATATTCTGCTGCTATTCCATATGAAGCTATATCCATATTCTTCATCTTCACACACTTGCCCAAGTGCTAGCATACCCCACTTCATTAATTTTCACACAAATATATCGCTTAGTGCCCGGTTTTAAGCCCAGCGCCGCGAAGCAGTTTACGCCGAAATACATTAAGCGTGGCACTCGAAAGTATGCAATGAATACGACTCGTAAAATTGGCAGTCGATTGCTTACGAGTCCAATTAAATGGCTGCCAAATGCGCAACACGTGGCCACCCCAGCTTCCATTTGCAGAGAGCGAGAAAAAAGTTGTCAACAGAAATTAGCATAACGAAGTGGGTCCCTATCAGAAATCAATATGTTTAATGTATTCCAAGTGGAGCATGCTTTTCCCATTTCCATTTACTCCTCTCTCACTCTCTCTCCATCCCGCTCTGCTCTTTCTCAATCTCTTTTGTTCACTCTTCTTTGAGTGGCGCACATGCCGTCGCCGTGAAGTGCCTTTGGCAACAGCTGCTCCACTGTTGCCAACAGTGGCAAAGCGCTTTAAGTTGAGGACACGTGGTGTGCGCGCTACCTGTTTTGGCATCTTGTGGCACGCGTTGCACGTTGTTCACGCAGCGTAAAATTCCATCACACACACGTATTGCTTTGGCTTTTGAAGTTTGGCAATTGCCCCCTGCCACACCATCCAAGACAGTGGGCGTGAGTATGTGTGTGTGCCTGGTAAATGTTGCTCATACGCCGCGTGTGCCGCGCTGGCATTGAACCCACTTGAACACGCTTGCCACTTGCCACTTGCCGCTTGCCACAGCTGCCTCGCGTGTTGCAGCTTAACGTGCAACAAATCCCAGAGTGTTAACTTAATCTAATGCTTAGTGTGTTGCACTTTTGCGTAGTTCATCAAGCAGCTCTATAAATAGGAGCAGCTACGCAGTTGCTTGGCATGATTTCTAATAGTTTTTGCAAGCTTAATAAACAAACAACTTTTTTTTTGTAATTTAAATTTAACTATAGACTTTTGTTTTACTATTTGTAAAATTAAATATTAAAAAAAAATATTTTAAAAATTATTTTTAAAACTATTTTTAAATAATTGGTAATTGGCTAAGCTTTCTAAAATTTAGAACAATTTCTATAGCTGAAATGAAAACAAAATTTTGCTTAAATTAAGTATACTTATATAGTTTAAGGCTCATTTGTAAAATTGCAAAAGTTTTGTGAGTTAAATTCATATATTTATAATGTAAAGAAATTGACTCTATTGAAGATATACAAATATATATTTATGCTGTTGTAAAAACCTGATATAAAACTTTATTAAAGCTACAGTTGCTAATAGTTAAGTTAAGCATATGATCAGCTAAATGTGGCACAACCAACCCTTGGCTAACATCTCTTACAGGGTATAAGCAGCAACAAATGTTAATAGTTGAGTGAGAAATACTCTGGTTTTATAAACATGGTGGAAAGGCACTCAAGTCTCAGAGAAAAAAAGATTTAAACAATATACCCTGCTGGTATGCACTCCAGGGTATAGCCAGCAGAGTCAACGTTCGCTTCAAGGTCAATGTTGAAGGGTGGGATTACATAGATATTTAGAGAGAGAGAGAGAGAGAGAGAGAAGGCGAGAGACCCTTAGAGGACGTGGGCCACGCGTGTTTTGTTAGCATTTCCTAGGGCCAGGATCAGTTGGGCAGCAGCACAGCGCTGGTTAAATGACCCTTGCAACAACTAGCAGTAATTAAACTCGCCACTAGTCATGTGCCATGTCGCACGTAAGCTGCAACTATTTCTGCAACGGCAATTGAATGTGCTTTTAATTGCATATGTGACGCAGTCGCAATCAGCCGCAAAGCCTTGTGCTGTTTGCCTTGTGGTCGAAGGTCCTTGCACTGATGTAATTGGCAAATGCCATGCGCAGCACGTAGCTGACAAATCAACATGAATAATTGAATTGAGTGTGGAATACTTTTAAGCTGACGAACTTAACTCGACTGGCGGGAAAGCCACTCGAGCTCTGTCTTCGGAGAGCGAGAGAGTGAGAGACACCTTTGGCTTTGCGCTCAAAAGCTGCGAACAGGTGTTTCGCTGTGGCCTCGCAGTGTGGGAAATAGCAACGGGAGTTAACTGTGCCATGAGAGCAAGCCATAGACCACGCCCCTTGCCCCCGGGCCGCGGCTTAAAGTGCATTTGCTGCAGAGACAAAATTGTTGCGCTTGGTTGAATATTCAATGCGCAAATGCGCAAGTAGGAAGCGACCCACCAGCAATCGAAGCAACTGCACCACAGCTCGCTCTCTGAAGGTCGTTGCCAAATTGTGGTGCGGCCTTAACTGAACGCTCAACGCTCGACTGGCCAACCGATCCAACAATCAAACATTCGACTGGTGTCAACATTTCGTTTCGTTTCGTTTCAACTTCGCCAATAAAATTATAGTTTACGATCGCCGAGGCATAATTTATGCCGATAATGCGCATTGTATATCTGAAAATCTGCAATTATTGTACATTTAAAGCAAAGGCCAGCTGAGCACCACACAGCACCACAATGCATGGCATTGTAGCTGACTGAAGACAATAATCATATTGTTTATGCTGTTTTAGTTTGGCTTTAGTCTAGTCTTCTAGCTCAACTCGTTCGGCTTCGGCTTGGTCTATTAAAGTTTAATAAGCCAACTAACTAACTTGGCCAACACAAATTATGTGACATATTTTGCGTTTGCTCGACTTTTTTCGATTGCCAAATCAACTCAAAAACTGGGCACTTGAGGCTTGAACAGGCTATGAAATAAATAATTATTTCAATTGCTCCACTCGCAACGCACTTTCATTGCAGCCACTCTTGCCACTTGCCACTTGCCACTTGCCACATTGCGACACCGCCCACCGACTCCTTGCCACCTTCTTGTCGCCCCCTTTTTGCTATTTATCAACTGACAGTCGGCATAATTGCGAGGCGTTGGCATTTTTAATGCATTTTTTCCAAGCAAATTTCAACACAACTGCGCATTACACTGAGCGAAAAGTTGGGATATATGCAAAAAGCAATGAAAACTTATGAGACATAGAAAGGAATTACACTGAGAGGAAAAGTGAAAACTATGATAGGCGAACAAAATTTAGATTTTAAATGAGATTCAGGCAGAGAACTTGAAATATTTAAATGAAGAATTTCATAAATATACAATATAAATATATAATATATATTATTAAATATATATTTAAAAAAATAGTATGTATGCTATTAAAAATACTTTACGGCATATACAAATTAGCTATTTTTTAGGATATATTTTACACAAAAATAATTTTTTTTTTAATTTTCATCTCAAAAAATCTTTGCATTTTTTAAATATTTTTCTTAAATTTTATTCCAATTTTTAATTTATTTATTTTAAGCTTTATATAGAAATAATGAGAAATATGTGACTCCCTTATTTCATACAATTATATGTCGAAATATTTAACTAATCTATTTTTTATTAATATTTAACTAATATTTAATATTTAATATTTAACTAATCTGAGCCTTAAGTTTTTCTTAATATTCAAAGAAAATTTTATTATATAAAAACTTAATATATTTATTTTTGACTTCATCAACTTCAGCTCAAGCTCTCATTATAATATATAATTAAACCTACATTTAACCCAGTGCCCACTTTTCACAGTGTATTTTACAGTTAACAAGCAGCAATATCAAAACATTCTTAAAATAATTTGCAGTTATTATTCCCAGCTTTGTTTGGCTTTCATGCACTGTTCATTCTATCAAAGCAGCTCAAACCAAATTTCAACTACTGCCATTTTCTCAGTGTAATTTACACCCAGAACAAAAATGCCATGGCTAAAATATTCTTAAGTTCTTGTGTTTAGCAACAAAACTTTTCGCAGCTTTGTTCAATTGGCGTTCACATTAATATAAGTCAAAGCGCAAGTTGGCCCAATTTTTTGCGCAGTGTATGCAGTAAAAGGTGATCTATTGTTTAAGAGTTTTGAATCGTTTTTATTTTCTTATAAGTCGAAACCACGAGCATTGCAAAATAACAAAAAAACTTATATACAGCATAATAACTTGATCTTTCATCTCGCTCTCTCTGTGTCTCTCTCTCTGTCTCTGTCTCTGTCTCTCACATAAATGTAGAAAATGATGTTGGTTCTTAGCTTTATCAGCGGCAAAGCCTCGAATATTGTACTGAGTAAACTCTCACAGAATCTCTCGGTGTTACCCGATTAGTTGTGTAGATGTTGCGGATGTTTTGGATGTTGCGGATGTTGTGGTCCTGTGCGTTGTCATTGAGTGATGTGGCTGGAGTCGAGTCTTAGTGCAGATAACCATGTCCATAGCCAGCATAGCCCAGACCGTAGCTGCCATAGCCGCCAAGGCTGCCGTAGCCGCCATGTCCGTGGTAGGTGGAGGTGGTGTGCAGAGCAGGTGCAGCCACAACGGCGGGCGCTGCATGGTATATGGGTGCGGCATGCACCACGGGGTATGCCTTGGTGGCCACCTTGTAGGTGTTGGCATAGGATGTGGCCAATGGGATGGTCTTCACAATTGGAGCGTGGACAATGGGCGCGGCATAGCTCTTGATAATCGGAGCATGCGAGATGACAGCCGGAGCATAGGCGGGCGCCAGAGCTGAGCCATAGCCGAGACCATAGCCATGGCTATAGGGGGAGATGACGCCAGCGTTGGCAACGGCGCACAGGGCAGAGAGTACAGCGATCTAAAGGATAAAAGAGATTAGTCTAAGCCACTGCTAATCGGCTGCTCGTGCTGCGTATCCTTACCAGCTTGAACATGTTGCTTGGCTTGGTTTGGTTTGGTTGGTTGGTTGTACTTGACTGAAGAGTTGAGTGTGTTATGCTTAAACAGCAGCGCGACTGGGCATATTTATACCGAATCAAAAACTTGAGAAATATTCTGAAAACCACATAGACAATGCGACAGCAACAACCACGACAACAGCAGCTACAACAACAACAATCAACGAGCGTGAACAGCGAATCAAAAGCGTGAACGCCCAGCCCTGTCCAGTCGGCTTCGTAGCTGCTTCGGCTAACGAATCGGCTGCTTGAGAATCGCATGCAGAGACTCGAGCATTGAGACTTGGCTAGTGTGAGATACGATCTCGATTCGAACTTGATGCAGTGCCACAGAAATCAGTCACGCGCCACCAACAACAACCACTTGTTGCCACCAGCGAGACTCAAACTAGAAAACTCCGAGCCAAATCAATTAGTTGGCGGCTTCAAATGAGTTGTAATCATAAAGTTGCCCGGAAAGAGTTTGCCAGCCATTGTGTTTGCTGAGTTTGCGGTCGCAGTTGCAGTTCTTGTGGCTTCTCTTAATTGTCTTACTTACAGCAATTTGCTAGCAATTAACTCGCATATGCGCTGCATTATGCAATTGGTGCGTAGTTCCCAGCTTGCAGCTCCCACGGATTCCTTTCTAAATCTGCGCACGCACGTGATTATCAATCAGCAGCTTGAACTGATTGACAGTCAACTCGAAAGATCTCGCCGTAGGTGTAGGAATAACCATTCACAGCTCCACGCCGCCCCCTGCCAGCGCCCGAATGCAAATGCACTGTGCACTAAACGAGCTCCGCTCTCTGATCAGTCCAAATAGCGTATGAAAAATCGCACTCGCTAATAGCTGACAACAAATTGCGAATGGCCAACAGCTGCAGTTGGTGCGACTTTGTTGCTGTTGCTGTTGCTGTTGTACGATTGTACATTAATTTTTTGTAAACTGATTTCTTATCGGCGGCTCGGCGTACGCGCCGTATGCGTAACTCGCAACTAACTGCAAAATCAATTCGCATCGCAAATGCAAATAAATTACAGAAAATAAACAACTTGCGATAGTTGAAAGGCGAGCACAACTAAGAGATGCCCTGTAAATAAGATAGAGTGAGAATATATATTCTAAAATTTATAGAGCGGCACAAGACGTATACTTAATATTTTCTATATTTATTGCAGACTTTTATTATTTAGCTAGTGTTATTTGGCTTTGTGCAGCATATAACTGATGGACTTTAAAGCATCAATGTGGCTAACAGGTGTGGCTTAACTTTACTTCTACTTACCTAGTTCATTAAGTATACGCCGCATATAGTCGAGTGTATTGTGTATATATGCTTAGCAACTTCTCAGATTATACTTCACTTCTAACTATGATTTTCAATTACACTTAGAGTACATATTTGCAGTAGTTAAAGCTAGAATCATAACTGACATTGACGCTCTCTCTCTCGCCTAGTTCTATCAACTAGGTCTTATTCAGCTTTTTGCCTCTGCATTGTCACTTACATTATTTTACAGCAGTCTATAAAAGCTCTAGTGCCTTTTATTAAAAATTAATAGTATTCCGCTCAATCTGCGTATACTTAATATGTTCTTTATTGCTCCCTCAATTCATAGCCATCAGTCACAATTATTCTTCAAGCAAATTCACTCTTTACCCGCTCTCACAATGCTTCTCTGCTTTGCACATAACAACTCTCCATTTTGTGCATACTGCAGGGTATTTGAAATATAAAATGCAATCGAATCATATTTGAGCACTCGTTTTAATGGCCTGCCAGATTTCTTAATAGCCGTTCTTAATATCTTGCAATGCTGCAGTTGCCTCAGCCCCAGCCCCAGCCCCAGCCCAAGTCACAGCGCTGCTCCAACCCCTACTCCTTGCTCTTACTCCTATCCCCACCCCAGCCACGCCCCACTACACTACTTTCCGGGCACGCCTCATCATTATCTGGCTGTAAATCTGGCAATTCGGGTAGCTTGACTGCGCAGCATAATCAATGCAAATGCAAAGACTTTGTGTGTTTCTCGATTTGTTGGATTTGTCTGCCGCTGATTGTTGCTGTTGCTCATTTTGCTGTTGCTGCTCAGATAAAAGGCGATTATACAATCGGGCGTAGGCCTCTTGTGTTGATGTTGCGCGGGGCCTTGAGTGGCAGCTGCTGAGAGTTTTGATTCTGTGCACAAAGCGCGCTTAAACTTTATGGCGCATAAATCAATCCGAAAAACAAGCAAAAGGTGGACAATTCTTTTGGCGGTTCCACAAATCTGCATATTGACGGCAGCTCAACCCTTCACCGGACACCTCGAGCCAATGCGGCATTTGCATGTGTCGCTGGCTTTATCGTTATGCAAATGCTATGAAGTTGAACACACACGACAATCGAATGATCGAATGATTGAGTCGATCGATTGATTGGGGCAATAAAACAGGATACGATTTGCGTGCGTGCGTGCCACCACAACCAGCAAGCCACACAGCCACACAGCCACCCAGCCACCCACTCGTATGTGGTTGCAGCTCAAATTGCATTTTAATGACATTTGCGGCGGCTGTTGCTGCTGCTGCTGCAGCAACATTGTTCGCTGTTGCATTGGGCAAGCGCTTGGCCACAAGCTGTGGCTGCAACACAACACAAATCAAACACATTTCAAATTAATTGACGTCAATTTTTTGCTGGTGATTTATGAGTGGAAATGCAATCGAAATTTCACAAGTAAACGTAAAATATTTTAATTTTGTTATTGTTTAATTAGCGTCGAGTTTTTGCATAATTATATATGAGCGATATCTGGTGACGAGGGGCAATGCAGTGCGCCAATTAAGTATACCACACGGTGGACGCGGTCAAGGTCGAGCTGCCGCAATGTCGTGCACATTACAGCGACGACAACAACAACTAATAATAATTATAATAACAGCAACTGAAAACTGTAACAATGGCAAGACAATTGAAAAAGCTGCTAAAAAAAACATTGCTAGAATACCTTCAATTCACAGCAACTGCGACGAGCACATAAAACAAGAAACCGAACAAAAGCCGCGAGTGTTAAGTGTGACGAAGCGTGAATACCCTAACGGAGTCACAGAGAGAGAGGGAGAGGGGGAGGGAGTGGTGGGGAGAGAGAGGGAGCTACTCTACATTTATGGCTGACTTGACTTGGATTAAGTTGTGTAAATTGTTATGCATATTAGTTATATATGACAATAGATCTTCCTTCTGTGACTCTAATGGACATATTGATATATTATATTATGAGCAGCAATCCCTGCGACTTAAAGGAATAAGAGTGTTAGTAACGTATAGTAATAGTAGTATAATATAGTATAGTACTAATAGAATACTAGATGTATTAGTATAAAAAGTAATAGTAGTAGACAGTGTACTACAGTAGTATAAGTATTAGTATAAAAAAGTACTAGTAGTAGAAAGTGTACTACACAATAGTAGTAGTAGTGATAGTATACAGTAGTGTAGATAGTAGTAGTAGCAGTAGTATGCAGTAGTATGCAGTAGTATAGGTAGTAGTAGGAGTAGCAATAGTAGTAGAAGTATTTGTAAAACTAATATAAGTAGTACTAGAAGTAGTAGTAGAAATAGTACTGGAAGCAGTAATAGTAGTATATGAGTATAGAGAAGAAAGTAGTGCTGCTGCTAGCTACTTTTATAATACTACTAAAGTAGTATAAATAAGTAGTAGTATATAAAGTAGTAGTAGCAGCCATAGTACGATAAAGAAGTAGTAGTAGCAGTACGATTAAGAAGTACTAGAAATAGTAGTAATACTAGTAGTATAGAGAAGTAGCGAGACAGTACGATTAAGAAGTGGATTAGTAAAAGACTTAGAAAGAATAGTAGTAGTAGGAGTAAGAGAACAAAGTAGTAGTAGTAGTAGGAGTAGTAGCAGTAGTAGCATAAAGAAGTAGTAGTATTAGTAGTAGTTGTATTATGAGTAGTAGTATAAATTAGTACCAAGAGTAAGTAGTATTTGAAGTACTTTTATAATTATATATTATATTATATATTATTATTATATATTATATAGTCTAGTCTAGTCTAGTCTAGTACTACTAATAGTCTAACACTAGTATTCGGAGTCTTATAAAGTAGTGGCAACAGCTATTATTAGTCAAGTCGCAGTATAGTAGTAGATAGCATTTCACGATTCCCTAACTAGCAACTGTGTTAAAAGACCCGCTGCAAGGGTATAAATACATACCTTATATATATATATATATATATACTTCATATATATATTCATATATACATATATATATATATTGCCTTTTCATTAATGAAATTACAAGCGGCCGTCACTTGGATCGGCTGCCGCTGCTGCTGTTGTTGTTGTTGTAGCTGCCTTCGGTTTATCCCAAGCTGCGCGGCAATCTGCTTGGGCTAACGCCTGGCTTTTGCCTCGCTTTTGGCCAATTAAAGTTCTTTAGGCCAACTTGTCGTTGGAGGACATTGCGCAATTGGCCGCGCACACACAACAAAGCACGTAGACGCAGTTGTTGCTGTTGTTGTTGTTGTTGCTACTACTGTTCTAGTTTATGTTGTTGTTGTTGGACATGTTAACTCTTGAGTCTGAGTTTCTTTGACAGCTTCAATGAGCTGCGCTCGCTTGTTTCAATGCAAATTGCAGAATTGGCTTCATAATTAAGTAGTTTGCCTGAGCACACGCACACAAGCTGCAGCCACGCCCCTTTAGTTATGCTCGTAAATTAAATTCGCAAACACCCCAGCGGCAACTAGCATTCGGCAGTTGTTGTTGCTGTTGTCGTTGTCTGTCAACCAAATTGTATGCAAATTGTTTTCAGCGCATTTTTCATGCACACATCGCGTCAAGTGATTTATGTGTTGCTCCACAAGTCCCACACGTCCTCAGTTTGAGAGTCTGCGATTATTGAATCGAACTCGTTGGCTTGCATGAGTGGGCGCCACGCCCCTTTCCTCCATTAGCCCTCCAACTAGTTACTTTCACTTTTTGTGACTGTCTTCTAATTGCGATCGGCAACGTGTGAATATCGATCGAGCGAATCGTTGACTCTCCGCATTACTCACCCTGAACTTGAAACTCGACTTTTGTCGCTCCGTAAACCTACTCATTATTGTCTAATGCGCACACCTTTAAAACCTGCCCGAAGCTAACTTCACATGCCGTACCATAAATATGATGTGTACAAGCTGCTGATTTCTACAGGTCTAACACCGACAATTACGGCTAAAATTAGTCTGTGCATACACTGGGAGAAACTATAGTGTCTTATGCCTGATTAAAGATATTTAGGGAAATATTTCATATTTTTATATATGTTAAAAAATTTACATGACATAAATACCATTATTCTTTCTACTCTTCCAGTATTCATTCTAAATTTCCCACTATTTAAATTACTGGTTTTCATTTCTTATTCATATTTCCATTATAAATAATATTTATAGAGAAATAAACAAAAATGTAGTTTATTATATTTCCCAGTATTTTATATTCCCTATATTATTATTCCCCTTATATATGACAAGATTGCAGGTGCTAAAAAAAAGTATAAATAAAAATAAATAATTTTGTTGTAAACTTCCCATTATAGTTTGATAATATTATTTCCCTTTATTTTTTAAATAAAATAAGCAAGCATTTAATCATATATTTATTCCAAGTGCAGTCATCCTATATCCTCTCTCTCTCTATCTCTCTTCCATAATTCTCAGACTGTTGGTAGCATTCACCTGTTTCGCTCAGTGTAGCATTTGTAATAGCAGCCGAGCAAATAAAACGAATGCAAAAAACATAAAATAAGAACACAAATGGCTATAAAAAGTCAATTAGACTTAATGATAGCTTCGGCTAAACTACACATTAAATTTGTGTAGTACGCTGATTGAGTCAGTTGAGCCACAGAAATCGCCGGATCCGGTTTGCGGCACCGAAAATTCTGTAATCACGGAAGTTGCCGAGACAAAAACATGGCCGACAAAGTTTGTTTCATATTTATGTTTATGTTTGGCAAGCGACAGGCAAGAGCCAGTGCCCAGTATTTTGTGTAATTCGGCCATTAAAATTAATCAGGCAATCGATGTGACGCCCAGTTCCAGAATGGACGAAGAGAAAAACCAAACAAAAAAACAAACTAAACTCCATTTACATTTAACATTGCAGGTGCTTATTAAATAAACGCCAAGACATTATTACGCGGCGTATGAGTGATACATACATACATATATATATATATACATATGGGTAAGACCGGCTAATAGACAGACATGTCCGCTAAATATAATCGCATTTTGCAGCCAACAACGGCTTAGCACGACAGCCAACATATCGCATGGCTCGCAACCCAAAAACATGGCTATTACCAAAGCTAATTAAGCCGCTTGTTGCATTGACTAAAAGTGCCCCACCATCCCCACCAGCTGCAGCTGCTTGTAAGTCCCAGCGGGCGGCTGCTTGTTGCCAATTTCTATTAATTAAACTATTTAGTGTACGCGCACTTCACCTGCCTGTCTATCCATCACTGTGATACGCATTGCCCACAACTTATCAGCAGAGTTTTGATTCCGTTTTAATTGAGCTCATTGAAATGCGAGCAAATAACTTTAAGCTTAGCTATTTCTAGAGTGGGTGTGACCCAAGCTTAAGATTTCGATAAAACAATTTAAATTTGAGAGTGCGAAATCAAACTAAATTTCTAATGGCAGCCAAGATTAGGCGTCAGCTGCTGCATCAAGTGTGCATCAGAGCTAAAGCTGATCAAACTTTAAAGCTGACTTCGACAATTAAATGCTAAATAATAGTCTTAGACAACATTATTTACGAATTCTCACATGAAACTTACGCACAAGGCAAAAGAGATCTGATCAAGACAAAATGCTTCGCATATCAGTTCAACGATTTCCCCTGATGTTTGGTAGCTTAAACAGTCATAGCCTTAGAGGGATCAGGCACTCAGCTATTTAGTCAAAGTCTAAAAATAGTTAATTACTTCTTTGGACAAATGCGATTTAATTACTAAATGATAGCGGGCAGTTTTTAGCCCAGCTGCTGCCCGAGGGTTAAGCCTGCAGACAAAGCTTAAACTTGGCTTGCAAAAGCTTTCAAGCGAGCGCGTTTTATGGACAATGCCTAAAGGTAGGCTACACTTGCGACTGTCATTAAATGAACTTCATAATGCAAAAGCCACAAATGCAAGTGGGTCAAGCAGAGACTTAAATAATATTCAATGGCCAATTAAATGACACCCTAATAGATGCCGGTGCACCCACAGCTCAGCAGTTAAAACGATGCTTGCTTGCCATTGTGCGGCCAACTGGGCCAAAGTGCTACAAGTGCGAGTGTAGGCCAACCGGAGCTGGCCACAACTGCTGCACTAATTATAAATTTAATTGGCTGTCAGCGAGTCCATTTTATTTTTTTTTTTGGCTATGGCCGTCTTGATTTCGGCATTTGCGTGTATCTAATTGAATTAGACCTAAAGGTCGCGCCAAATGGGCTGGGAACTCAGCTGCCCAGCAGACACAAAACACAAAGCAAAAACCGGCTAAGGCGGGCGACACATGTGGCTGAAAAGTAGAGCTGGCAGCGTGACACGCGTGTCACGTGGTGTCTGACTAAATAAAAGCAGCGCCTGAGACTACCAAACATAATAAAGCCAAACTTGTTCGCAATTATAGCTGAAGTAAGAGTGCAAACCGCAAAACCTAAATCTAAACATTAACTTGAAAATGGAAGTAAAGCGAATTTTTTTTTTTTAATTTCAACCAAGTTTCAGTTAGAAATAGATTAGAGGCGAACCGGCAAAGCAAAGCAGGTGCAAACCTCAAACAAAGCCTGAACATGAACTTGAAATTTGAACAAAATCACAATATTTTATAAAAATATGATTTGAAAAAATAATTTTATATTATATATTTATATAGGTTAAATAGATAAAATTTTTTAAGTATAAAAGCGAGAGTTCAAACACCTAATAAACTCTGCGCATGCAACAATAATCGCCGCAATTCGAAGTCAAATATTGAACCCTTTAAAAATTATATATTGAGAAGAATATATAAAACAAAAACTAGGCTAAAATCTTAAGATAATAATTAGAACTATTTATTATTTATTAAAAAACTCTATATATTATAAAAACTATATGTAATATTATAAATAAACCGTTTCAAATATAAAATTATATCTCAATAAACCAAATTCCAAGCTCACTTTATTAAATGGTAAAAGCGAAAGCAATTGGCGCTTAAATCACGTCTCAAACAAGCAGCTCGCGCACATCACATCGCTAACGAGAAGTAAGGCACAGAGCTTGGTCATAATTTGCGTTGGTGGTGCGAGTGGTGGCAGCCAGGAAAAGTTATTGTGCCATGGAATATTAGAAGAGGGAAATACGACAACATAAAAAGTTGGCATTATATGCTAATGCGAGCTGTGCTGACTTCATTGTGGTACGTGGAGCTGGTAAGTGGAGCGTGGTGCAGTGGCTCCTTGTATGGCACTCAGGCCAGGGCAATTGTGGTGCAAGCCAGTGGCCAGGCACAGAGCAGACCAGGCCAGGCCATTAACAAAGCGGCTGCTGCTGCAGCAGCAGTTGATTTATGCTTGGAACTGGGGCATTGCTTAGCTCTGGGTGTGGGCGGGTGGCTCACTCTGGCGACTGGAAGCAGGAGCCAAGCAAAATGTAAATACAACCATCGCTTAGCGAATCGCGGGCGAATTCGTCAAGGGTTGCCTTGACTGAAACCACTTAGTCGCTCAGTTACGCCCAAATGGGTCACTAATGAGCCGTCGAGCTTGGGAAAATCTTGCTGATGGCTCGATTGTCTGTGCCAATTCTAACGTAAAGAAACCACCGACGTTTTTCGGCTATAAAATTGTGGCGCATCTTCAGTTGGAGCCACAGTTCAACTAGTAGCGCCTCTCGGTGATCACAAGACCAAATCAAGATGTTCAAAACTGTGAGACTTTGGATACCCTGTTTCTCTCGGATAACTAATTGCTGAATTCTCTTGCAGCTGTTGGTGTTGTGCGTGGTTTGCGTGGCTCTCAGCCAGGCTCGGCCCAGCTATTTGCCCAGCTATGAAACGATTGAGTATGCGCCCACTGTGTTGGGCTATGAGCACTACGCCTTGCCTGCGGCTATCTCGCATCAGAGCTCGACGGTGGTGCACGAGAAGCGTCCGTACTTGCGACCCATCTACGAGCACCACCCAACCACTTATACAACCTATGCTGGCAGCCCGTTGACTTACGGCAGCGACTGGTACAATCCCGGCTGGAACGCTGGTGCGCTCAGCTACCCCAGCATCTATCTCAAGTAGAGGCTCAAGGGTATACCCTCTACACACATACCCTGTAATAAATAAGTTGGTTTGGATTCGGATTTGAGTTTTGTATTTAATTTTCTTCCGGTGGAACACAAGTCAACAACGTCGATCAAAATCTTTCGTTCTCTCGCTCTTACCAGGCGCCGGCTGCGTAGGTCAGTGGTGCGTGGTGCAGCAGTGGTGCCGAGTAGGCCAGTGGTGCAGAGTAAGCCAGTGGCGACACGCTCTTCAGATATGGCACATGGGCAGCGGCATATGTGGTGGGCAGGGCCGAGTAGGTGGACACTGGAGCAACTGCTGGATAAGTGGCCGCATAGGTGGCAACAGGTGCGGCAGCGGCATAGGTGGTCACGGGAGCAGCATGCACGGTGGTCTTCACAACGGGCGCAACCACATCCTCAACAACTGGCGAGCTGTGCACCTGGGTCACGCTCTGGTGGGAGACGGCGGTGGGCACACTCTTCACCACGGCGCCAATCTTGGCCAGGGCGGGTTCCTGGACGATGGCGGTGGGTGCGCTATAGACCAGTGGCGAGCCAGCCAAAATACCGGGGCGAGCGGCGGCGACGGCGAGCAGAGCAGCGAGAACGAACTGTTGAAAGCAAAGAAAGATAATTGAGTATCGCACCACTGAGAGAACCACCCTTCGCGGGGCTTACCAATTTGAACATTTTGGATTGCTGTGGTTATGAAGTTCTTTGACTTGTGTCGTAGGTTGGACTGTGCCAGTTGACGAATTGTCGCTGGCTTTTATACTTGAACTTCACTTTCAAGGCGCGCACACACACACGCATACAGTGAATACACAATAAGTGCTGATACGTACGTGCCTGAACGGATTCTTGTCTCGCATAAACCAGATTATAATTCGCGGCCAATTTCAGCTACGCAACGCGCTCAGGTAGTTATTTTGTCAGCTCAGTCTCCAAGCCGAGAGACCCAACCCACTCTTATTTTCATTTACAAAGCGTGGCTCATTTGTCAAACTATTTGGCCCCGACACGAGGTGTTTTTGGTCGATGTCGTTGGGTTTTGCGCACATTGGCATTTGTTTTCTTACTAAGCAGAGCTGGTAGACTTTTCCGTGCAACAGGCTTGCAGCTGGCCGGCCACCTGAGCGGCTTGAGTGCTATAAAAGCCGGTGAAAAGCTTTCCTCTGATTACAGTTTGATTTCTAAGCGGCTGCAATAATGAAGATTCTCATAGTCAGCCTGGTGAGCGATATATTAAAAGTAACCTAAAAGTGCACTCAAATGGATACTCCCTGTTTATGCAGTTCGTTAGCATTTTGCTGTTGTTGACGCCGAGTGGTGCAGCCGACCTAGACACAGCTGAGCAGGACTCCACAAAGGAGCATCCAATGTATAGGCGCAGCTTGTGGGACACGGTGGGCGGCATTTTACCCAGCGGTGCAAGGGAATTCATAGAGAAGAACTCGCACTATCTCAATCAACCCGTTAAACTTGTAACCTTTGGCGCAATAAATCTCAACATTCCTAAAAAAGACTGAAAAATTGGATTTGCCAGTAAATACAGAAAAGTAACTATTAAATGAGAGCCAAAGGCTTGCCATATTATAAATAAATATCTTATATAAACGCAACTATATTCCATTATTACTGCAGCTGAATTTAAAGGAGACTTCTAATCAGTTTAAAATTTAAAAAATGTTTACTTTATTATTGCCTTATAACTTATTATTATTATTGACAGCAAACTTAATTGTGTACAGTGTATCTGCTCTTGTTGATAGCAGCTGTCACTTAGGATGTCAATTGAAGCCAGCTAGCATACGATGCACTTTCCGTTTTACAATTTCTGCTCGCATTGCAGGTTCATTGGCCAGCGGCAAACAACGCGTGGCGTCATTGGCCTTGAACCTGAGCTGCGACAGGATACAACTATCACAATTTATATACCCGGTAGCTTATGAAAAACTATATATAGGCTTGTTTGTTAACTCAGCTCAAAGTCTAGTTGCACTAGTGAAGGACAGCTACTAGCTAGAGAATGTGATATGGCAAGAGCTTGTATATTATATTAAAAGTACATATTAATTTAAGCTGGCTGGCTTATCGTAATAATATAACGTGTAGTCAAAGCTTTGTGCATTGCATTAAGCTAAATAAAATTTAGAAATATATTAATATATATGGACAAATTTAATAATAAATATAAAGTATTTATATATCAAATTTTGTTTTTATATTTGCTTTTTCATGCTGTCCATTTCTCTACATCCATTGAAAGCACAGCGACCCTGCCGAAAGGCCTAAGCAGTCATCTCCTTCTCACTCAGCAACACCAGGAACTACATTCAGCCACAGCTGTCTTTCTCTCTCCCTCTCTCTCTCTCGTGCACTAGAACGCAAACTCAAACGGATAAGATTTTTACATTTTAATACATGCTCTCAGTCTCTCACTAATACTATTACAACTGTAGGAGCCAATCAAAACCAAATTGAACAAAATTGGGTAACTGTAAACAGCAATGACTGAGGAAGAGCTTGCTCAACAGACGAATAGGAATTAATGTAAACTGGAACATCTCACAAGCTAGATTTATTATAGTCAAAATTGATGAATATTTATTAAAATCAGATAAATTAATAATTAGTAAATATGAAATATGATTGTAAGGAGACAAATTCATAAAGAATTTAAGTACTGCGAAATATAGGTTAAATATATTATTCATTTATTTGTTATCTTCCAGCAAGCTTTGCTATGAATGATATCCAGTAGAATGCAGGAAATCTGTATTAAGTTCTAACGATCTATCAAGCTGAAAGGGAAGCTAAGTACAAGTATTTCATAGTTGGATAATCAACAGCTATGCCTCGGCACTTGTTTACAGCCTGCGTTACGTATACGACTCATTATTCACATAGCTAGTTTACAGGAAGTGCACGACAGGGTAAAACCCGACAGGTCAAGGAACTGCAGCAAGGACACAGCCAAGGGAGAGAAAATAATAAATAAGTCTCAATCGATATTCAAAGCAAAAACATTTGTTTATTTATTCAAATTCGTATCACAAAACCGTCCAACAAAATGCACGTTCCACTATCGGTGTTTGAGTGGTGCAGTGGTACTTCCTTACCACACTCCGGTGGCGGTATAGGTCAGCGGCGAGGCAGCAGCAATGTGGGCAACTGGGGCAGCAGCATATGTTTGGTGCACCACTGGGGCAGCAGCGTAGGCGCTGTGCACCACTGGAGCAGCAGCAGCATATGAGGTGTGCACCACGGGAGCAGCGGCGGCATAGCTAACCACAGGCGTTGACTTGACAACTGGCGCAACGACATCCTCAACCACATGAGCGGAGCTGTGCACCACCGACTGGCTCTGATGGGAGACAGATGTGGGCACACTCTTCACAACGGCGCCTACCTTGGCCAGGACGGGCTCCTGGACGATGGTGGCGGCGGGTGCGGCGTAGACCAACGGCGACTCATACAGATGACCGGGACGAGCAGCAGCTACGGCGAGCAGAGCAGACAATACCACCAACTTGAACATGATTGAAATGATTTTTGGGTTTAAGTGTGGTCTGTATTGACTGTTGGGCTTGAGTTTCTATCGAGAACTGATTATGGTATGCCAACTGCAGGCGGTGTTTATATAGCAGCAGCAGTTGGTACTCCACGAACGGCCTTCATACACACGCACAACAACGAAATATATAAAAAAACTAAAACAAAAACAAAAACAGAAACGCAAACCATATCAGATTCAATTCTCACAGACATTCAATAAGCAATTAGCGTCGGTGGACGGCTCAGCTCTGCTCGGCCACAGTCTCCACCACAACAATTGGCAAAGGTAGCCAACCAGTTTACGTGCTTATTCGACCATTGGCCAACTGCTCCATTGGCCCTTCATTAGCTCCTGCCCTCAGTTGCATTACTTGCACTTTAAGTGCGTCTCAGTTCTTTCAGGGTCAGCAGCGCAAGCTTTGGACTTCAATTTCGATTTCAATTACTGTTTCCATTTGGCTTTCAGCTACGTGCGCAGCGAGACGTTCAGCTGAAGCTCTACGCAGCTATAAACTGTCAAATTGTAAAGGGTATGCTTATTATCGTAAAAGTGCTTTATTAAGGCACAGGCCATGAAACTTTAGTTTGAGAAAAACTTTTGCCTACTGTGGAATAGGTGAATGAAGTTAGTGATCTTAGTTTCGGAGAACTTTACAGTTCTTACTTGGTTTCTACTTTGATAACTGCGTAGTCAGCTCTAGAATTATATTATTTAATATGCGAGGGTAGCTTCAAAAATAGCTAACTTTGCACAAATATAATCCCAGCTGCTCTTGAATATGGAAATGAGAATTAACCACAGAATTATTTCACTTAAAATAAAGAAGCTGCGTAAAAGGTAAGCAACATGAGAAAGGGAACGGTAAACATTGTGCGCTTAGGCAGAACATAGAAGAAGACTCTTTCAATGACTGGAGGAAATATAAGATAAATAAGAAAAGAAGTGAGCAATGAAGTGAGTACAATTTGTGGATTCCAAACGGTTCTGCTGTGTTCATTCATAATTTCTCTTCGTTCTACATATATTATTTTTCTTTCACGTTAAGGCTTTGTTTATACTTTCTGTTTACAGGGTAACTGTTGGATAAGCATGCTTTACCTTGAAGGAAGGTAGTTTTAACTGTGTCCAACTGTTTATAGCGCAGCATCTAGTATTTAGTTATTTCATAAATCACACATAAGCTGAGAGTGCCTAATCATAGGGTATCTCCAGGTTGAATACTCTTTGTCAAGCTGAATCACATGCTGGTTATTTAATTATCGCAGTTTGAATTACGCAAGCACTTAAACAATTATAATACAGTTCGCACGGTAGTTAAGTGAATTATGCTTAGCTCTATATCTAAGTGAGCTAGATAAGCCTCTCTCTATTGCAATCTAGGACTAAGTAATTTATGAACAATTTATAAATACTTTTTGTGTCTTGTAATTAAGCTGAACTATAGAAAACAAAACTTATCTGAAAGTTTTCATGCCGAAATAGAAATTTCTAAATTCAATAAAACTTCTTTTCAGATTGGACATCAAAAAGCTTTTGGACAGAAGCCATACTCAAAGCCAAGTCCTACTTCAGGGCTATAAGCTGCACCAAAGTTAATATATATATTCTATATACCAAGACTAAGACTATTGGCCCACGTCTTCACTCTACTCAAACAGCAAAAGATTCGTTTATGAAAATATGAACTTTTATTTACATCAGTCGACAGAGGGGATGGGGGAACACTAAGTAGAAGATGTGATAGAAATTGTTGAGCAGCTTCAGCCTAGGGGCAAATTCGCTGAGGCACCACTCCGGTCAGAGCCGATGTCTACGAGCTGTCTACCAGGACGATGCCCAGCCGTGAGAGGCCCAGGAAGGCGACAGGATGCTGGTGTGCAGAGCTGGAGCGGCATAGGTCTTGATGATGGGCGCAGCATAGGTCTTCACAATGGGCGTCACAATCGGCTGCACAATGTGGGCCGAGCTGTGCACCTGGCTGATGCTCTGATGGGAGACAGCGGTCGGTATGGACTTGACAATATGCCCAACGCTAGCCAAGGCAGGCTCATGGATGATCGCCGGCGCGGCATAGCTATGCAGCAAAGGACCTGCCTCCAAATAGCCTGGACGAGCAGCGGCCACAGCGAGCAGAGCAGACAACACCACCTGAAAGCGAGCAGTTAGCGGCTAAGAGGCTTAAGAGGCTTGGCTGAGACACTTACCAACTTGTACATTTTAGCTAATCCTGGGAGTTAGTTACTTGGCTTAAGAAATGAACTGTGGGTCTGTGTTGACGCGTCGCTGGTTACTGTTGCTAGCTGTAAATTCGCAACAGCTTTTATACACAAAACATGACACACACACACACACACACGCACACAAACCTAGCTATGCTAGATCCAAATTCAAAGCTCCAAAAGTGCAGAAAATACAATAATAATAATTTTTTTTGCATCGTTAAGAAAAGCCTGCCGACGGCGACCCACCCGAATGTCCGAGTGTTGCAGGCGGGTCGACGGGCTGCAGCTGATTCAACAGACAGACAAACAACAACTGCAACAACAGCAGCAACAACCACAATGCTTTCGTTTACAGTTTTCCGTTCAGCCCATTAAAAAATAGCGAAAACCAGTCAAAAGCGAATCGCTGCCCGACGTCAGCTGTCGCCGCAGTCGGCCAGTTGGGCACTTGGCCAGTGGGTTGGCCATTTAACCAGCGTCTGCCACTTGCAACACACCCAACAGCGGCAACTACAAGATTTTTGTCTTTGCTTTGCTCGCCAGTTTTTCCTCAAGCCAAGTTGACCGTGAAAACTGCTCGTGGTTCATGTTTGTCTGCTTGTCTGTCTGGCGGCACGCACCACCGGCCAACCACTACGCAATTGTCACTGCCACGCAACACGCAACAGTTACAACAAGTGGCTCAAGTTCAGTGCGTGGCGATGGTCAGTGCCAAATTGTCAAAGCTGCTTTTATGACTTGTTGTCCGCGTGCGATTCGTTGTGGATTCCAGAGATGAAACCGAGGATTGGCATTTGAAGCTAATAAACTATAAAGAAAGGTAATTGGCATAGAATTTGTCTGCATTTTGCTTGCTTATCACGTACGAATGCGAAGAATTATGCTGGCCAAATGATCGAAAAAGAAGAATTGAATACTTCAAGGCAGCTCAATGATTTCTTGTCTATATAATAAGATATATACACTGTATATAAGGCTTATATAATATGCCTATAGAAAAACATAGTAATACAGACTTTTTCTTATGTATTTTCTATGGCAGCTATAAGAAATAGTAATATGATCTATGCAAGTTTCTTATATACGAAAGCCGCTGCAAAAAGAAGCAGCTGTACCAAGTTTCAGAAGAAAGCGAAGCAAGATAAAGCAGTTCCCATAGAACAGTAAGAGAAAAATGAAGAAGAGATCTGCAAGATCTGCTTAAGATTTAATCAAATTATACAGCATATAACAGTAAAATATTTATATATATATTTTCATATATATTTAGAATTTTTTTCCAAAAAAAACTTTAAAATTGATTTTGAGCTAAGCAATTGCTATGACAGCTATAAGAAATAACAAACCTATGCATACCATATTCATATATGTAAAAGCTTCTACAAAAAGCAGCACATATACCAAATTTGATAAAGAAACCGCGCAAGGCAGCTGAGTTCACATGGAACAGTTAAGAGAGCTCTGAGTTCTAAGTGCCTACAGCAGACCTCGCTTAACTAACACATTTTGTTGCATGCATTGCATGTAAACAGCTATTGAAAGTGCCTCTAGGGTATTTAAAAAATAATAAAGCCAAGTACATTTCGCATTAAAGTGAGCATTATTGTAATTTCCTGTTATGTTAATCTGCACAGCACAGCGGGCCAAGCAAACGCCAAGATTGAGTCTGAGTCTGAGTCTGCCCACATAGACAATGCTTTGAACTGATCTTTTGCTCTGCTCTCACTCTCTATATCTCTCAGTGTACAGTGTGTATCTCGCTCTCTCTCTCGCTCTCCCTCTTTGGCTGTCTTTCCTTCTGTGTATATCTCTCGCGAGTTCCGCTTTTGTAATAATCTTTGCGAACTGTTTGCCATTCTACAGACTGTGAGCTGTCGCCGTTATGACCATTTGTCAGCTATTTTGTGATTAATGAATAACTATTGCAAGCTGGCGACATATAATTTCAGTTTCTCCCTCTCTCTCCCTCTCTCTTTCTATCTCTTTCATATTTTGTTTACAAATAATATTCTTGAGGCATGCCAAAAGTGCTTTTTAATAGATTTTCTTTGTTGTCGATATCTATTTTGGAGCCAGACACTCACGACAATTGCCGTCTCGCACTCGGGCATTCAGGTTTACTCCAATGGAATTCCTTGTGCTCTAATATATCCGGGCTCTATTGGGGGTAATGTACGCCTTATGGCCAGCCCACACAAACAATCTCGACTCGGCTTCCAGGGGACAGTCTTGCGACAATTCTGGTTAGCGCGCTCACCTGGCTTGCATAACAATGATCGCATATATCTATATAGATCGTTTGATCTGTGTGTTACACCAACCAGTTGCCAGCCTGCTTGCCTGCCTGGCTGCCTGTTTTTTTCCCAACTTAAGTTGGCTTTAATTAAAGCCAAGTGGAGCAATTACCGCTCAGTACATTGTATCGACGTCACCTTTGCGATCATTTTGTATTTAACTCGTTTGCGAATTGGTCAACGTTTTACTCTTTGTTTGTCATTGCGCTAGAGCTAATTGCCTCGAAGGTCGAGAATTATCTAGTAATTCTGACAAAAAATACTAAAACGCCGACAAAATACGGAAATCAGCTCGCAGATAACCAAGTCATCCTGTTATAAATATATATAAAAAACTACTAATTGGAATTTAATTTGAAATTATTATGCAATTAGAGCGAAGGCTTTGCTGCCTAGCTGAGTGTAGAGCAGTCCAAATTTACCTGAAGTCTAACACGATTGGTATGCTTGAAAAAGGTGCTGTTTATCGACTATGAAGACTAGTTTTTTGAAGCTCTTTATGCAATTCACTTTTGTAGACAGCTTAATGAGTTCAAATTAAAAAGTTTGCGTCTCATTTGTAATGCGACTTACAACTGAATTACGCCAAGTGAAGAACATTTTGCTGTCAGTAGATGAGGCTGCACTTAATGAAAGTATCTGCTATGATGGCTCAATCTCAGTTATCTAGAGAAATATAATGATAGAAGAGAGAATCAACCATGAACAGGTTTTTTTTTTGCAACAGGTGAATGTGTCTTAATTGACTTAAGCGTGCGTGAGGCTTATCTTAAAAGCTGTTTGCTTACAGCAGCTGCTTGAAAAAACACTAATATATGATAAAAAAAACTACATTCTCAGTTGTCTACTAACCTACAGCTGCCATCATACTGTCCTAAGAGAACTCTACCTCAATTGAAATTTCCTTGTCTACTAGATGAACGATTGCCTGACATCATCTGTGGCTCTTCTTAATTGGCTTTTGACCTTTTTGGAATTGTTTATGCCAGAGACTCATCTATCAAAAACGTAGCTCTAGTTTGAGTGCTATATTAAATAGAATAGCTTTGTCTACTGGGTAACATGGATATAGACTCGACTGCTTGATAAGTTGCTCTAAGGCTACAGCAACATTTGGCTAAGCTGAGATTGTAAGCCTTATATAAAACATTTTCAATATGTAAAATGTTATCAATCTACAAACCTTTAGGACAAGTTGTCTATCTTAATATCTTTATATGATTTCTGTTAGATGTTGAAGCATTTTAGCCACAAGATAAATCGCATCAGTATAGTTATTTCATATCGCAGTTATCTCAGCTGCAATATCTATGCAAGTGCACTATAATAATCTCCTTACATCTACAGGGTATGCACACATGCAGCATAAGCCACAGCAGTCAGCGACTCAACATTGACTTCGCCTAAAACACAAGCCGTTTCGATTTACTTATTGCACATGCCAGCTGAAAATAATGAATACACAGATCTGCTTAACTGACTATCAATCTTAGTGTCATATACATGTGTACATATTGTTCGAACAGATTTTCGGCTGCATGTAGCTTGACTAAATTTGTAAATGCTGAACATGAAAACCGCCGCCCCACAACAATACAAATGGGAGCTGTCCTGACAGGCAACTCGAACAGTTCGCTCAGGTGTCAGTCAGTCCGGCAGTCAGTCAGTCGCACAGACAGTTAGTTAGTTATTTGGGCACTCAGTCAGACAAGAGTTGGCCAAAGAGTTTGCGAGATTGCGCAAAAAAAACCTAAAAAATCTGCAGTGTGAAATGTGTTTATGCGCTATACGAAGTGAATGTGTGCAAGAGGGGTATATTGGTTAAGAATAAATGTATGTTAGAGTAAGTATCTATAATAAATAAGTACAAGAGTATATACTACGCAGCATGAGTTGACTTCCCTCCCTTTTCATAGCACTGATATTTGGAGACTTTGCTTTTCGAGCTTAACTCAAAGTCTATAAGAGCCAGAGACATCAAATTTGGTATTCAGCTACTCAAGAAAGATATAAGACATTTATATTTTGTACCTATCTATTTGCAGCGTATCATAAAGTCACAGTCAACCGACTAGAGCACACTTACTGCTATTTCCATGGCAGTTTTCGTTAAGTTTTTGGGCCAGCAGCTGCAGTTTTTTAGTGTAGATAATATGAAAAGTGTATTTGGAAATATTTGCAATTTCGAGTCGTTTCATTCGATACGTAATTGCATTGACACCGCGGCGTATGCTTAATAAAGCAATAGCAGCAGCAGCAGCAGCAGCAGCAGGTGGGCAAAGACTTGTGGCAGTTCGTGCCGCCAGCCGGTGCTAAGGTCAGCTGTGTCCATCAACAACGACATTTTAGCTGGTCAGCGGATGTGTGCAAATTATTTTCATAGCAATAACATTGAAATTGTTTAATTTTATTTTATATTTTGTGTGAGCAGACGCGGCGTATGCGCAACGTCTGCACTACTAACCCACTAAAACGAAAGCGAATGGCTTGCGAACAGCCAGCTTGTAGCCTGCAGCAAAGCCTGTTTTTCACATTTAGATGCAATATTTCCTGGTTGCGATAAAATGAGTTTCGGGTGTGTTCGCTGTGGGTCAAGCGAATTGACCAGGCCATAAGCCTTAAGCCCACTAAATTGTTGTGCAAATATTTTCATATTCAATTGCAAACTGATTAATCTCATAGACAGAGTGGGTGAGTGGGTGAGTGGGTGCCGGGGGGCTGAGCGGTTGCCTGCAGTTGACATTTGCCGTCGCCGAGCTGCACACTCCAATCGCACTTGTCGCTTGTTGCCTGTCAATTGCCGCGGCATTCTAATGAGCCTCCCCTCCAGCCGGCGAGTGGAGCACCTTGAATGTCGCGTTCGTGAACTTTTTGTAGCTAGTGTAGCTCCAGTTTGCCAACTTAAATATCACAGCCAAATGCAGGCAACGCTGCATACTCAATCCTAACAGCGAGCATTGACGTTGAGGGTACGAAACGGGCTCCAAGTGTCACTGCTTGTCACCAATTCGTTTATACACTAGCTGAGAGTTTGACAATTGTGTCGAACGGGTACTCTAGGCGTAGTTAATGAGTATATATATAGGTATATATATAATATTTGATATGTTAGACTGTCTCACTCTCAGGCTTTAAGCAATCTTAATATAATTTGCAACACATCTGTCTTTTGATCTTGGGCAAAGTTTGCTTCACTATAGCATTATATTTTAGTTAGTATATGATGGATAAGATATACTTATTTTAATCTTGAATCTATCAGCTCAATGATGAATATTGGTATCTTTTCATTCTATTGATCGAAAGACTAGTTGCTATAGAAAAATTCAATCTAATCTAATCTATCAATCTAATCTGAATTAACTTGAACTTGCTTAACTTGAACTTGCTTAACTTATGTATAACATAAATTCTCTAGGCATAACAATCAAGAATCAAGAATATAATTCTTATAGATGCAAATATTATGATGGCACATAAGCTTTCCTCCTTAGACATTATTATCACAATAAATATGAACTTTTCTATTAGAATTGATCTACTATATCGTATAATTCATATGAGAAACGCCAACATTTTTATTTGCTTAATTAATGCCACATGCTTTGCAGTTCCTATAACAAAACTCGCATTTTCTATTACTCTAAAATCTCTAATTTATCTGCAGTGCATTCAAACTTCAACGAGCTGAAGACTTCATATTTTATCTCTTGTTAGCCAAAGTTCAGCTGGTTTTTTGTTGCTTCTGATACAATATTCTCAGCCTTAATATATATCTATTAAGATAACAAGAATTGCAACTTATTTCCACGGATAACAAAAAAAATGCATAATAAAATTGGCGAGTGTGAATTTCCGTTGCAAGTGCCACAGCGTCAAAAGAAAAAAATTACTAAAAAAAAAGATTTCAACAAAAAATCAACAATTTGGCTGGCTGGTCAAGGTCGTTGCAGGCAAATGTAACACTGGCATAAATTATGCTTGCAGCAGCAGCCGCCAAGTGTTGCAAGCCAATTCAACAACAACAACAACCATTAGTAACGGTATCTGCGATGAACCAAAGGCACAATTTGTGGCGCGACATGAGCAAAAGCAAAGGTACAAACTATGCATAGGTAGGCAAATGCTTTGGCAATTACGAATGGCAATAGTTGTAGTCAAACAACGACAACAATAACAACAATCGTCTTCAGTCACGCTTGATTGAGCTGTAGTATGGGTGTTCAACATGCTGAGCTGTGATTGCAGATACCAGGCGAAAAAAGCAGCTCAGGATAAGCATGAGTTAGGATAGATCAGAGTCTATGATCTGAAAGTTTAGCTCCAAGAGTTCAATGGAAGAATTGTTAGATCAAAGCTAAACAGAAGTGCAAAAGCAACAAAAAAAACTACACTAACCTACACAAGAATTAAACGATCAAAGCGAAGCAATAGCTAGATATAGAGACAGAGATACAGATACAAGTAGATGTAGAAAGAGATACAGATACAGTTAAAGATACAGATATTGATATAGATACAGATACAGATACAGATACAGATACAGATACAGATGCAGATGCAGATACAGATACAGATACAGATACAGATACAGATACAGATACAGATACAGATACAGATACAGATACAGATACAGATACAGATACAGATACAGATACAGATACAGATACAGATACAGATACAGATACAGATACAGATACAGATACAGATACAGATACAGATACAGATACAGATACAGATACAGATACAGATACAGATACAGATACAGATACAGATACAGATACAGATACAGATACAGATACAGATACAGATACAGATACAGATACAGATACAGATACAGATACAGATACAGATACAGATACAGATACAGATACAGATACAGATACAGATACAGATACAGATACAGATATAGATACAGAAATCTCTAAAACTCAACACTTGTAGGCTAGTGTTATTAGAGTAAGCAAAAAGCGAAGCAATTACAGCGTCTGCTGCAACAGCCAAAGCTAAGGTAACAGCAACTGCAACTGCAACTGCAACTGCGGATGCAAGTGGCAGCATGGTTAAAAGCCGGCAGCGCGGATATAGCAAAGTGGCTGCTGCCGGTGGTGGTGGTGCTACTGCTGCTGCTCAGTGGGGGAGGTGGTGCTGCGGAAACGTTGCATTGAAAATCGCGACAAACAATGAGAGCATCTGCAGCTGTTGAAGCTGTCGAGCGGTGGCAGCTGCTGCTGCTGCTGCTGCTGCTGCCGCTGCTGACTACTGGCAACTGATGCAAGATGCCAAGTGTATAAAAGCCATCACTTGGTGTCATAGTGGCATCAGTTGCACGCTGCAAGCCATCGAGCACCCCACTAATAAGCCACACACAACTAAAAAAGAGGATAAAAAAAACATCAAATCAACATGCTCAAATTGGTAAGTGCCAGGATTGGATAGCCGAATGTCGAAGGAGTCTCACTTTTGTAATCCTTTTCAGCTGCTTTCGCTGCTTGCGCTGTGCGCCTTGGCCGCCGCACGTCCTGGCTACCTGCATGGCCACCACCATCATTATCCGGAGTATCCGCTGTATCCCGCACACCACCACATCGAGCCGCTGCATGTGGCAAAAATTGTGCATGTGCCCGCTGCCGTATCGCACCAGAGCTCCACGGTGGTGCACAGTGTGCCGCATCACATTATCAAGCCAGTGGTGCTGCCGACTGTGGTGAAAACTGTGGTGCATCCACCCATCATCAAGACCTATCATCCAGCGCCCATCATCAAGGCCTATCCCTACGATCCCTATCACTTCCATCATCATCACGACTACCACGACTATCATTTGCACTAAACCCAACTGGCTGAAGCACCCAACCAACCACCCACCTTAACCACTCGCCCGCCTGTCTGCTGACCAGCTGTTTATGTGTATGTGTGTGCAACCTGTTCTACAGCTACAACTCGATGAATGAATTAGAGAAATTTTAAATAAAAGTTTTTAAAAATATATAAAAATAGTTGTTTGTTTATATTTTGATATGGCTTAAAAGGTATTAAGTATTATTATTATATAAATAATTTAAAGTGATATCTTGTCTGTATTTGTCGCTGATTGCGTATACGCCGCGTAATTGATATACGAAGTGCTGCGAAGCAAGAAAACTGCAAACTGATTATCTATAGACAGCGACAGCTTATAACATCCCATTGCCGCTCTTCGCTTCAGCTCTTTAGACAATTGAACTTTTTTCCATTTGGCCGGAACATAAGACTCTTTAGGCCTGCAATGCCAGCCATAGGGGAAGTTAACGCATGTGGTTAGACTCAGAGGCGCTTGACGATAGCTGCTTACGTGACATTAACTCCGATTTCTGATTATATATATAAACTATAAGTGCTTGGCTCACTTGCTGATGTAATATAATATAATTTTTAGCTGATTTATTGATATTTGAACTGCACGCTTCTTTGATAGTGAACATTCCACTTGTCTTATGTCAATTTTCCAATGAAAACATTTTCACAGAAACTATCATTAAACATGAACTCTAAGCTCTTCACGCGCTCTTCGTCAAGCTATTGTGCGAGTGAATAATAGCCCAAAGCTAAGCGACTAGATGACATAATTAGCATGTAATCGGCGAGTTATCATATGACACCAGTGGCAGACAGCGTGAATCGTTGTTGAGCTCTTTCCCAAGCCTGTGAGCGACTTGGCTGACACGTTGGCCAGCGCCACGTGTGTGTGCGGCATCAAATGCAGTTGCTGTGTTATGCAAATGAGTGCATTAGCAGAGCGTATGCAGAGTGCCACAAATGGTGCTAAAGATAGATGGATGAAAAGATATGTTACGCGTAGCAGCAGCAGCAACAGCAGCTATAGGCGATACAGTTCAAAGAGCAGCAAACTAGCTGAGTCTCACACTGGCTTACGAAACACTGACCTCCTTTAATGCTGTTCTTTTATGCACGATTTTCAAGTTCAAATCGATGTTTGCATAAGCTGCAACACGTTGCCGAAACGTATGCCAATCAAATCGAACTAATTTATGCATTCAGCTGTCCGCCCTATAAGCACCGACAAATTAACGGCTATTTAGCTAAATGGAGCTAATTAGCTGGAAAGCGGCTCAAGTGGGTGAAAAGTCGAATGGCTAAAGACTTAAGCAAGCCTTTGCTCGCTCACGCAATTAAAATCAAATCAAGTCAGCGACAAACCGAACGCTGAAAAGCAGTTAAAAGCTGGATGAAGCAGGCAAAGAGTGGCCAAAGTAACTGCCAGAAAAATTAGGGACTATAATTGAAGTAGAGATAACAAGAGTCAGCTTAGACGCTTCACACTCATAAGCTGTAAATAGGTCTCAGGAAATTCATAAGTGAAGTTTTTACAGCAATAAAAATTTTAATTTAATTCATTTTTAAACTAAAGTCTAGACTAATATGCAAGCAGTGAGCCGTGTTAGGCTGTGATTAGCAACAGGTTGGGCTAAAAACTTGCCTTGTCTACAATTTGATTGCTTTATTGCCTTAGCTGAGCTAAATGCATGATGTGCAACTGTTTGAATATTGCACAAGACAATCTGAGCGACAATTGTCTAACAAAGTGTTCACATTAATCAACTATTGCCAACAGCTTTGGCTTAATTTATGCGAGCCAAAAGTGCAAAGAGCGGGCCAACACACACACACACCTGCCCTGAGTCGGTCTTTCTTTGCAATATGATTAAGAGTGGAGCGCACTTTGTATAATGTTTTGTGATTTGTTTGACTTTGCGGAACGATATCAAGCATACGCCGCGTTGCACGAGCGAACGAGTGGGCTACGCTGACCGCGCCTGTCCCACCGCCAACCATGTCCATAACCTGTTGCGTCAAGTCAAGCAAAACAAGAACGCAGCGCACATCGAGAACATTGACAACATGGAGAACCTGCCCCCGGAAGGGTTTGCAAGCTGCATCAAGTGTCGCATGTCGTTTGACTCTTGTCTCTGTGTTTGTTGCCAGGCCAAATGGGGACTGCAGAGGCGTTAACACACACATGCACTGGGTGCACTCGACTGATGCACTATAAATAGGCTAGCGTTCAGTGCAATGGCATGTCAAACCGTTGCCAACTATCAACACAATAAAATGTTCAAGCTGGTAAGTAGCTCCATATGGGAAGTGTTCTATTCCAGTTCTAATTCTTCGACTTGCAGTGCGTTTTCGTTGCCCTGCTGAGCCTGGCGGCTGCTGCTCCCGCTCCTGCGCCTGCACCTGTGCCGGCGCCAGCACCCTCGCCCAGCCTGTGGGGACCCGCTGTGGTGGGACCTAGCATTTGGGGACCTGTGGTTGCACCACCAGTAGTTGCTGGCCCAGTTGCCCTTGCACCACGCATCGTTCAGGTGGTGCCCGGCGCAGTGTCCCATGTCTCGGTCAGCCAGCTGCATCCATCGCCGATTGTGGTCAAGAGCATCTGGTAAAAGAGAGCTGCCAATAGCTAAACGCGACACATCCAGACAGACAAATAGATAGACTCACACACACACGCACACACACTGACATACTGACATGTACTCCGTCCGGCTACTGTTTCACCCACTGAAATTTCACGTGCCCTGTTTAAGCAACAACGAAAAATCACAAAAAAATGTTTTAGTTTCTATTTGTATGCAATAAAATGCCCTGACATAAATAATTCCTATAGCGAGCGAAGTTCAAGTCTTTTGATTTAAGCGCAAAGCCCAAAAGTATGCAACGTACTTAAGGTTGTATAAGACTGCATCTGTATAAGACAGCGCAAAGTGAGTTGTAAGTATAAGACAGCCAATGGCACGCATTTGTGAACATAACTCTTTCTCAACAAACTTTTTAAATGAAACGGAAAACTTTATTTAAACAAAAATCATAAACTTCCTATCACAATCTATCGCTGATCAATCAATCAATCAATGATGCAGAGAGTAGGCCAAAGGAGCTGTGTGCAGCACAGACTTGATCACAGGAGCTGAGTGCACGACTGGCACCACAGCAGGAGCAGCGTGCAGCAGAGGAGCAGCATGAACGGAGTGAACCACTGGAGCAGCATGCACGGCGTGGACAGCTGGAGCAGCATGGATGGTGGTCTTCAGGACAGGCGCCACAACGTGCTGGATGACAGGCTTGCTGTGGACCTGAGTGATGCTCTGATGGGAGACAGCCGAAGGAGCGCTGTGCACAACGGTGCCCACCTTGGCTAGAACGGGCTCGTGGACCACATGATGAGTCTCAATCAGACCAGCGCTGGCGGAGGCAAACAGAAGGGCAACAATGGCGACCTATAGAACGACAAAGAATTCCTTAATAAGAGCTCAGCTTCATCTTCATATCCAAATAATGAACTTACGTATTTGAACATTTTGAGTTTGGTTATTTTCGGGACTGTTTGTTGTCTTACGCAGAAGATGACGGGGTTAACTGATGCTGTTTGGTTCTGCGCGAAACGCTTTTATAGGTAAGGGCTAGCATATCAGCCAGAGAAGTCGTTCACCTTGACTTGCCTCGACGCTGATAAGACAGCAGCAGCAGCAGCAGCAGCTCAGGCTGCCTGCATATGCTTCGTGAGCTGCAGCTGTCGGAAATAAGCTCAAACAAGTCAAATTCGGCTTTAGTTCGTGGATTCGGCTAGCTTTGGCTTGGACTTATTGCTGAGTCGTTGTGAAGGCCGCAGCTATGCTATGGCTATGGCTATTGCTCCGTCTTTCGTGTGTTCAGCTCCTCGACTGATGCTCGTTCTATATAAACACGACTGCTGACTCCCAAATTATCATCAGTCACAATTCAAAGCTACTCGAGTTAAAGTTCAAGCAAGCACAACACACAAAATGTTCAAATACGTAAGTTTGCGCTGTCTGCTTAGAGTTGAACTCTTGTTAAGTATCCATTCCTTTCATAGGTCGCCATTGTTGCCCTTCTAATTGCCTCCGCCAGCGCTGGTCTGATTGAAACTCACCAAGTGCTCCACGAGCCCGTTCTAGCCAAGGTGGGCACCGTTGTGCACAGCGCTCCTTCGGCTGTCTCCCATCAGAGCATCACTCAGGTCCACAGCAAGCCTGTCATCCAGCACGTTGTGGCGCCTGTGCTGAAGACCACCATCCATGCTGCTCCAGCTGTCCACGCCGTGCATGCTGCTCCAGTGGTTCACTCCGTTCATGCTGCTCCTCTGCTGCACGCTGCTCCTGCTGTGGTGCCAGTCGTGCACTCAGCTCCTGTGATCAAGTCTGTGCTGCACACAGCTCCTTTGGCCTACTCTCTGCATCATTAAGAAACTTTGCGTCAAAGTTGTTTTGTTATGCTCATAAATAATATGCAAAATAAATGAGATACTAAAAAGTATTATTGAAACATTAATTAAAGGCCTTTAACTCTTATACTTTATGTTAAAAATATATTAAGTATTTTAAATATGGCAGAAAAAGAATAGTTTTTCGCCGAGTTCAGTTCTCTATCAACTTTTTGCAGGTTTTCTTCGAATTTCAGTTAACATTCAACATTTTCGTTTATTAAAAATAAAAATAAATAAAATATCAACAATAAATAAAGAGCTAGCAAATACCCTTAGCTTAAGCTAATTCGGCAACTGTCCGCATGGCTCCAATGCAATGAAAGCAAAGTCTGTAACGTATCCAAATTGCAGATGAAATTACTTTGCCAACTCTGATTGTTAGTTCCATCAAGCTCAGCTTCTTGATGCAACCACTTGACCTCTCCAGCAGCAAAGACCAAGCAGGCGGCAAATGCCAAAGAGTAAAGCAGCTGCTCAAATGGAAGGGAATATTTAAATATGCTTCAAAAAGAGTATTCAGCTCGTCGCTTACCGCTTTATTCATGTTGTGAATGTCTGTTGAATTGGATTTAGTCTTAATTTGAATTGGCTACCACCGAACTCCAGTAAGAACTCATGCCGCAACTCAAGCCTAAGAGACGTTTATATACCGAAAATTGACACAAATTTGTTTTGGCCCAAATCATTAAACGGGCAAATTATCAAAATGACAAAATTGACAATTGGCAATTCGTTGCGCTGGATTAACTGAAGGCCTAAAGACTACAGTTAGGCGTTCGCACGTTCCAACTGGTTCACAATCTAATGTCAATTGGGCAGATTCGCTCAATCAATTAGGCTTAGAGACAGCAAACTGTGAATAAGAAAGATATTGAATGTTCCTTGATTTAATGGCAGTTGAAGTAGGCTGAAATTGACCCACTTACTGATTGACTGATTGAAACGCAAGCTAAAGTCTACACAGGCTACTATAAGAAACAAATTTTTTATTTGTCGCAGGCAGAAGATTTTGATTCTGCTCTGTCTAAGCGATTAATTGATAAGCCATCTAAAGTCTATTCAGAATTAAGCACAAGACAGAACTTTTCTTAGATCTGCCCAAGATATTGATTGACTCACTGACTGACTGATTGATTGATGGATGGATCACTTTACCTTGAAAGCTTAAAGCTAAATATTCCTCTTATTATCATAAGATTACTTTGCTCAATCAACTGATGTACTGATTGATTGATTGATAAGCAAACGAGGAATAAAGAAAAGACTTATAAAAATATGCATCTTTAGCAGCCAAAAGATTCCCATGCCTACAGCAATATTGGCCAGGACTTATTCAGTCAGCCAAAGCTAACCACAGCAAACCTTCTTAGCAAACACTGACCCACTCTGGCCACTAGTTTGATCGAATGACTCAGCAACGTTCAGCAACAACCTACCTCAACTACAGTTGGCCATAAGACAGAGATTAGGATTTATGTGCGAGCAAAGGCAAGAGCGACGACTCTTGTAAGTTGAGCTGCGTATTTCATTTTTGGAAATTATTTTTGAAGATATTTATCTTAAGTACGTGTAACTGTCACGGCGCGCGGCGAGACATTACAATAACATAAAAATAAAATTAAAATAAAACCGAAAATATTCAAAGATCTTGTCAAAAAAAATAAGAAAAAATTGTGGGTTAAGTACGCGTGGGGCTTGTCGTCCGTGGTTTAACCTTGACATAGGGCCTGAGACGGAGCCCCTTAAGTGGGCACTTAACAGCGGCAGCTGCACTTGGCAGTATTTTTATGACTATCAACAACAACAACAGTCACAGCAGCAGCAGCAGCAGCAGCATATGTGGGTCTGGCTTTTGGCCATGAATCACAGAGACAACAATCAACATCAACTGGATCTTTGCTTCAACCACGTTTACGCGTCTGTCGATGTTGCAATTTTTCTTTAATTTGAATGTTGCAGCTCCAATTGCAATGTGTATAATTTATTTCGTATTGTTTGTGTGCACACGGCTCTCATTCCCTTTCCCGCTCTTCATAAGTGATGAATGAACGTATAAGGGCAAGCCATGTCTTGCAGTCATGTTCTGGATATCAGCTATGAAACTGGGTCAGCAGCTCAATTGAGTCAAGTTTAAGATTTGACAGCTGAAACGAGGCTTGTGTGCAAGACAAACAAATATCCCCATGGTAGAAGATATTCAAGTGTTGTATAACAGTTAACAAAATCTGTTATACTTAGAGCTCGTAAGGAAATCATCGTAATGTCGATCATCAGTTTAGTGTTTTAGTGTTTTTTAGCAACTGTTATACTTAAAATTATAATGTATTATTGTATAACAGTTGCCTAAAACTGTTATACTTACAAATCATAATTAGATTATCATCATTATCATTATTATTATTATTACAAATCATAATCAGAGCTGTATAACAGTTACAAAAATCTGTTATACTCAGAAATTAATTTACTCCTCTGTTGTAAAAAACTTATCAAAAACTGTTATACCTAACAAATATGTTATTTAAGTGCAGACCCACTGCTCTGGCCTTCATATATTATAATCCCTAAGGAAAATATACGAGGAGCATTGTATAACAGCTCTTGCAAAGCTCACATATTGGTACATAACTTGACATTGACATAGTTTTTGAACTCTCAGAAGGAAGTTTCACACGTTTCAGAAATTTCTTTAAGTCAACGACATCGCATACATAAAATTGATTAGAAACTTATATAAATTTGATTGGCCTTCTGCAATTACGCTACGTAAATCGAACCCGGAAACTTGCTGCTTGATTGCCTTAATGATTCTATCGATTAGACAAATGATCTATTGAGGCCGGCAAGGCGATAGCTACTGTTGATTTGGCCTTAACAAATCTTAACAAATTCCCTAATGTCGAAGACTGTTCAGCAGTTATTGATTTCCACATGCCAATCCTTTTAGCTAAATGTTGATATTATATACCTTATATACTCTCATATATTTTCTCAATATCGTATAACAGTTATCATATGTCTTGCTGTAACTTATTAGAAAAGATATTTTTTTCTATTAGCAGCAGAGCTCATATTTCATCTATTCTTATTGTGGCATTTAAGATACTTTCATTGATGAATTCTTTTTGCATGACTTACGTTTGAGTGGCTCTCATAAGAGGCTTGTGCTGTTATGATACATACCTATGCAATCGTTTTAATCTCTCGTATGACACATGCCTAGCCAATTCTTAAATTCTCTCTTGTGACGTCTCTTTCATTAGCTCTTATAAGTTGCTTTCGCAAGAGGCGCGACTTCTGGCAGTTGCAATCCGTATTGATTAGAAGACGTAACGTCACAGCCAAGTCACATAACTCAATTGATGAGACCGCACAGAAGACACAGACATAACACACACATAGAACACGCCCACACATGATGAAATGAAATGCAAGTTGTCAATGCGTAAGAGATTGCAACTCAATTAGGTCGACGCAAATGCCAATGAAGATGGCATTGATGGTAAAGATAAAAGCGAAATGGCAGCAGATGCACTGAAGATTAAGTCAGCCGTAGGATAAGCCAAAGCCACCCACCCACACACGCACACACAGCTACACACATCTCCACAATTTGCGTAAGCTCTGAGCAAAGCTGAAGCCAATTAGAGGTCCCATTGAAGCTGATTCAATTGTCAGCAGCAGCAGCAGCAGCAGCGAGACTTATGGCACAATAAGTAAGTACTTAGCTTCCTATTACACACACACACCCACCCACACACACACACACACACACAGATAGCTCTAAAGCGGTTTACAATGGCCAACCTAGGTCAGTTAATGAACTTCCCATTGGATATTTATCGCAGCTTAGAAGCTGCCCTCTTAGCCAAACCGGTTGACGGCTCAACTTCAAGCCCAGCCAGAATTGAAATTACCAAAAATAGTAAGACGAAAAAACGTAATCAACAAAAAATAACTACAGTCCAGCTTCGTATAAAAGCACTCGTTCAATGCCCCAAACATCAGCAGTTGCAATCGACTCACAACTCCAACCAAACCAAACCAAACTTCAAAATGTTCAAGCTCGTAAGTTCAGCAGCTGAACAGCAGCAGTGTCAACTGCTTTGATTAAATCCTTGTTTCATTCGTTGCAGATCGCCTTGTTTGCCTGTGTTGCTGTGGCTTCAGCTGCTCCTGGTCTGTTGGCTGCCACCCACTCCATTGTCCAGCCCGCTGTGCTGGCCAAGACCGCCTACGTGGACACCAGCGCCTCCTCGGCCATCACCCACCAGAGCAATGTGAATCTGGTGCGTAAGGTTCCAGTTGTCCAGACCTACCATGCTGCTCCAGTGGTTCATGCTGCTCCAGTTGTGCATGCCGCTCCATTGGTTCACTCTGTTCCCGTCGTCCATGCCGCTCCCGTTGTCAGCACTTATGCCGCCGCTCCAGTTGTGCACGCTGCCCCGCTGCTGCACTCTGTCCCCGTGGTACACTCAGCTCCTCTGGTCAAGACTCTGGTCAGCGCTCCAGTTGCCTACACCTCCCTTCACAAATAAGCAGCTAGGATGCATCTTGCATTAGCGATCAGCTGCGCCATATCCGACTAAATAAAAACCACGATTTTAAACTGAAATCAATTTAATGTTTACTATTTCGGGAGTGAGGGAAGAATTATTAAAAAAAATATCCTGTTATTTATTCTTTAGCTTTAGTTTGGAAATCGATATTTATCGTTTTTATAAGGAAAAACATTTCATATGGATAGAAACTTAATTTGCTGAAATGCTTGAACCAAGCTTGAGCAATTTTAAAATATTTTCAATGCAAAAAATATTTAAATAAAAAGTATTATTTTTTTTCCAACTTTTGCAATCATAAAACTCCATTTTCTTAGCAACAAAAAATTTGATAACTCTATGAGAACTTTATCATTTACAGCTGACAAAAATTTCTCAACATGCGCCAGACCTTCCTGACGATTGGCTGCGAACCTTTTGTTTTAAAGCATACAATATTCACTGAATAGAAAGAAAGAAAAAAACTGAAAGCACAAACAGCTGAGATGCAAATAAACTAAAATATATTTCTTGGGAATAAAATTCAATGGCATAGAAAATAATACAATAAATTGTAAAGTCTTGTCATTCAGTAAATAAATTTTAATAAAATACAATTTTTTATATAAGATATTTGAATAAAATAAAGGAAAAATATTTTGAAAGGCATAAATAATAGAAAAGGTAGTTGTATATGTATATACGTATGTATAGATAGAATTTTGATATATCTATATAAATCTCTAACTATATTAACATATAGATATAATTCTTTAACAGACCTCTTTGAACGTTAACTTCACTTTTCCATAGTGCTTTCTTAATCAATTGGAAAACAAAAGAAATAAAAAACTTTTTGACTTCCTTTAACATTCCAAATATATTTCAAATAATCAACAAATCAATAAGAAAAACCTCTTAATGGTGGTAGACGTGAGCGACGGGAGCGACGGCAACATGCTTAACCACTGGTGTGGCGATGGTCTTGAGCACGGGTGCAACCACTGGGGTGATGATGGCCTTCTGGTGGATCTGTGTGTGGCTCTGGTGGGAGACGGCATGTGGCAGAGTCTTCACAACTGATACGGGCGCCACATAGGTCTGCTGGTGGACAACGGGAGCCACGTGCTTTACAACGGGCACCACTGGAGCCACATGGCTAACCACAGGCACTACTGGCGCCACATGCTTTACGACGGGCACCACTGGAGCCACATGCTTGACCACGGGCGTGATGACCGCCTGATTGTGGAACTGAGTGAAGCTCTGATGGGAGGTGGCAACTGGTGCACTGTGCACCACGGCGCCTACCTTGGCAACGACGGGTGCTGCCACCACATGATGCTGCTCCACGAAACCAGGTGCAGCAGCGGCAATGGTGGCCAGGGCACAGATAGCGATCTAAAGAGTTGAAATAGGATAAGCCAAGATCAGGATCCTAATGCTCTAGCTACTTACGAAACGGAACATTTTGAAAGTTGGGTTTTTGGTTGGGTTGCAGCTGACGAGTGACTGTTGCTGTTGAAGCACCTGCTCCGGGCTTTTATATCGTCGAAATGTTTGCCCAAGTGTCCTTCAAGCAAACGCAAACAAACCCGAGCCAAACACACGACACAAAACACAAAAGCAAACGCAAAGCAAATTCGCAAACTTGTTTCTAGCCAATTGTTTATTATTTCATATTTTTTACACTTTTTTATGCGGGGTCAACATTGAACTTGAACTGGGCATTTCATAAGCGGGAGGAAGGGATCTCTCAGAGCTGCAGTTTCGCTTCGTAGGCCTGTCAGTGATTGATATGGGAATAACGAAAGATCATTTCCTTGAGTGAACAATAGTAACATATTTTAATGGAAATTAAAAATATATTATACATATTTTAATATATTCAAGTATTGAGCAATGGTTGATTGAAATTAAAGTGATTCTCAATTGCTAGCCAACAATATCCTAAGCCTTCAGTAGCTACTCGACAAAATGTAATTTTGTCATATATATTGATGCCCAAAATCTGCTGTTTGTGGTTTAAGTTTTACGTTATTCATCAGTCAATCAGTCATGGCATTAATCATATAAAAATGCCAAAGCTATCTAACAACTGAAGTGGAATGAAATGAATGCAGAAAACAAGCAAAATTTTATTTTGTCAGCAATCATCAACCAAAGCCTCTCGGCTCTACGACTTTAATCAATCATTTCACTCCTGAGCTAAGAATTTCTTAATCTGTTGAAAGGCACAGCAAATTGTTGTCAAGCATTGCTGAAGCAGTAAAATGCAGAGCTCTCAAGCTGCACTCAATCATTTAATCACATAGGTGCTTAGGCTCCAGAGAGCTAATCAAATGTATCTTCGTGTCAAGGCATCAATCATACAGAAGCAAAGTCTAATTCAATCATTCATAATCTTCTAGCAAGCTTCATTTAGCAGCTCTTAGGCTTGACTAACCACATCTATCATAAATGCTTTATAAAACTGAACATATGAGACGAATTTAAATAGCATTTCGTGCGTGTTCGTGTCACGACATCAATCATGCGTGCACAAGACCAAAAGCCAACTTCAAACAGCCAAAGCTCCGTTTGAGACACAGCAAACAACCTTGGCGAAGGCTCAAAGCTGTCTCAAAGCCAACTAAGTCTAGGGCTGCGGCGCCGCTGAGCGAAGGTCTAACAGACAGATTGTGAATATGAGATGAAATGCATATTTATTTCACATAGAAATCGGCTGTGGAACTGAAAATGAGAGCCAGAGAGCACACGTCAATGAGTCAGAAGTACATAGAGAGTTACATATATAAAAGTGAGGCGATATCCGTTGGGACGGGACAGTCGCTGGCCGACAGCATTTCAGATGCGACAGCGATTAACCAAACAAGACCATCCTGCGTTTGAGGAACAAGAGAATAACAGATCAGATGCGAGTCATAAGCCAAAAAAATATTGGGTTCAGTTTTAGATGGATGGTGGATTATTATATACAGGTTAGAAATTTGTATTGGGCGTGACTGTGGAGATCGGCACGAAATTTTCATAGTCGGAGTCGATTTCCGGCAAATAGTCCAGAAATTCAGAAACATGATAGACGCGGTAGGTTCTATTACCATTCTGTTGATTCTCCGATTCCGTATCGCCATTTGTCGAAGACTTCTGTCTCTTGCCGCTCTTCGCCGGCAGGAACTCCGTGCCGATGCCTAGACGGGCCAGCGATGGGTTCGTATACTGCGAGCGCCACGTCAAATTGCCTTTCTCATAGAAATCCAGAGCGGATTCCTCTAAGGCCGCCTCCGACGCCTGCACCAGCTTCAGCATCGACCCAGGCGCTGGCAGTCGGGAATAACGGCGAGCTAGCGACATAATCGGTTCTGTCTTTGGGGAAGGGAGGGTTTTATGAGTATTGCAAAACTTAAAGCATATGCTATATAAAATTTTGGTGATTTCGATATATTTTCGAATATGTTTGCACCCCTTACAATATTTTTATACGTTTACGTACAATACACAGCCTAACTCAATGAAATTTATTTAATTACAAATATTCTTAGGGCACGTAAACGGGCCGAATTTGGAGTGCTTCATGGCCAACTAAATCGTTGCTGGAACTGGAATTCGTATGAAAGGTGCGATTCACATTCGTTGGCTCCACATAGCCCAGGGCACGGCCCATGGGCGCAATCACAAAGCGCGTGTGCGTCTGCGAGGAGCCCTGATAGGAGACCACCGAAGGCGCCGAGTCGATCAACAGCATCTGCTTAGGCCTAGCCAACGCCAGAGCCAGCAGTCCCAGCAGCAACTGCAAAGCAGTTCAAGTATATATATATATATATATCTATTTATTATAGGCATTATATCATAAACTCACCAAAAGCCGCATAATCTTAGTCTAAGAAATCGAGTCGGGGGCGGCTCTAATTTTTTTCCGCTTCTTGGCAGCCTCAATAAACACGAAAACGAAGCGAGTGGCTAAGTTAAACTGAATGGCAGTGTGAATTGCTATGCCATGAAATCACAGTCGAGCAATTGCTGGCCCAAAGCAGCGGCTTAGTGGCCCAAACGCAAAGGGGAGCAAACGTGGGAGCAGCCGCATAGACGACGCCTCTGAGTCTATGTTGGTTTCTCTTGCAATTGTGGGAGTGTCTCAACTTGGACGTTTTACGTAAAGCAATAAAAGCGAGAAAAAATTGTGTATAAATAAATACGAGCGAATGCCGCAAATATTGTAGTAATAACAATAACAACAATTACTAACAACAACAGCAATGAGTGGTGTCAGTGGTGCGAGTGGTGCGAGTGGCGCGAGTCAGCTACGCTGGCTAAGGCAACGCATGCGCAACCCGCTGAAGGTTGGTCGCCCCTCTGAGGCAGCTTGTAGCCGAAATCATTTGCTTTTGGATACCCTGTAATTTGAGGTGGTGCGTGCGTGGGGCAACTAGAGCGATGATTGAGTAAAACAAGCTTAGCTTAGTAATTGCAGAGATTTATTAGAGATAGTACCAATTCTTGTGCACATCTTCTGCTCTTCTTTGAATTTTAGACATTTATATGTTTATAGGAATATACATATATTAATATCTAATTTGTTTTATGATTTCTATTATTATATTAGTTCTTTATTTTTAGTTATTATTTCCTTAATTTCGCTCTTGATCTTCCTCCAAACAGTTGATACAAAAATATGTTATATATATAAATGCTTTGCCATCATTTTGAAGAAAGATATCAGCTGCTTTATAGCCATAGCTCATAGCTGAATGCCTAATAAAAATATATATTAATTTATGTATAATTATATATATGTATATATAAATATGTATATATATATATTACTCGAAAGTATTTTTTCTCTTATCTTCACGATAAGTTCAGGCCTTTTTTAGACCACCTTCGCTCATTCTGCAACATCTGAGTACATAGGAGCATGAGTATGAGAATCTATCAGCAAAGGAAAGCTCTTACACGTCATGATCATATTTGATATATAAAATATATATTTACTAAAATGTTTTCATACTCCTTGCAACTCAAGTGATAAGGTGCCCTATAATTAAAATAAATTAATCTTAAAACAATCTTAGTTTTAGCTAAAGTTTTGCCAGGCAGCTCCATAAAATTTTTTTCAATACCAATAAATAGCAACAAATATGGCCTATATTGAGCTTAGCTAATTACAGGGCATTTGACAGGCCTACATCACATCAAATTTGTAAATTTGTTGCTTTATAAGCAGTTGCTATTTGTCTCTCTCTCTCAACACACTTTCCCTCTTCTCTCTGCTCTTCCGTCAGGTGCGTTCGCCCCCCTTTAACGATTAGCCGAAGGCGCGTAATTGAAGCTTTAAGTGCGTTTCAATTGAAGCATTTTTTATTTTATTTCTTCTTTTGCTTTTTGAGTACTTTGATTAATTAATTAAGCTTGTACGAGGGTTCGGCTGTCGACTGACTGCTGACGACCTTAGCTGCAGCAGTTCAAGAGTCTTTCAAAGCGATTAGCTATAAAAACGCTTGGGGCGCAAGTCGTTTGGTTTTATTTGCTGTACGGACAACAACTCCTCAGCATGCATAGCGGCGCAGTGGGCCAGCATTTCCAGCTGTTACTAATCCTCGTCAGCTTGATGATGTTCGAGTCCAGCTGGGCGGGGACCATTGTGCATACGCCCAAGGCTGGGCAGGCGGCGGGCAGCGCCGTTTCGCATCAGAGTTTTGTGCGGCTGTCGACGGCGCCGCAGCAGCGGCCGCAGCTAATCCTGGCGACGCCCACAGTGCGCATTGTCAATACAAAGGTCAGCAGCAATTTAGCGATTCCGGATGTGCCATACCACAACACACCTGCGCATCTCACCTATGCCGCTCATCCGGTGGTCCATCAGATGCTGCCCAGAATTAAGCCCGTGCGCAACATAAGCTACGCCTCGCTGAGAGCCTCGCCCCACACACTCACACACACACTTGCACACACACTTCCGTACACGCAGCTTAAGTTTGTTTAGTTCGTGTTTTACACAGTTAAAAAAATATTTTTAATTAAGTAAACAATTTGAAAACCGTCTCGAAATTCAAGTGAGCTTTCAAACTTTTTACTACGACTGCGATCCGAACGAACGTCGCGAACACTGAAACGGGGGCAAGTGTGAAGGAAGAGGGGCCCAAGGATCTAATTGAATCCGTATGCGACGCCAACGATGTACTTGCAGCAGCATCTCAAGCAACTATCCAATCACATCATCTTTCGCAGCCTGCACTACGTGTTCATTGCCGTCCAGCTGCGCGACGAGCTGACGAAGACCTCGGCCGGACGCAGCTGCCAGAAGACGCGACCGTTTACGGTGTGGCTAACCCATATACTACTGAGCTATGCGGGCGATATACTTGTCAATCTGCTGCTGGGCGTATTGCCACTGGAGCCACTGAACAATGGTCAAGATGTGGCGCTATGCACAGCCGCCTGGTATATCGTCTTCTATAGCCCCTTCGATGTGGTCCATGCTGCGGCACGTAATGTGTTCTGCCGCAGCCTGGTCGCACCTGTCACGGCGATCAACCAGGTGCTACACATCGAGCGTGGCGTGCAGCTGGCGACCAAGATATATGGACGAAATGCCTCGCTGCCCATACTTATCATTGGCACAGTGATTGGAAGTGGAGCCGAATTCCTAAAGCCAGTTGCTGCGCTGCTCATCAATCGATGCCAGTTGCAAAATGTCGCCTATGTGAAGCTGAGCACGTGAGTCTGAGCACGTCATCCCGCTTGAACAAAACCCATTGATGACCACTACACAGCAACTCCAAGCTGGCTCTGGGCATCACCTGTCTATATCTGATGCAGCTGAATCACGGCTGTCTGCTGTTCGGTCTGCGGCGACGTGAGCTGCGGATCTACGTGCTGCTCGGTCTGTCGATCTTCAAGATATGTGCTGTCTTCTATCGGGTGGACCATGTGATCTGGGAACTCGAGAATCGTTTGTGCTATGCGCTCTTTGGCGGCCTCAATGCGGACTTGAACAAGTTTTTCAAACGGAAAATAGCGCTGGCATCACGCAAATCGTTTACAAAACTTGATTGAACCTGCATAGATATATATATCATATATCAGATATGTATATCTGGTGAGGCACTCGAGTGGGTCGGCCACAATGGAACCATGTGCATTCATTTGAAAGATGTTTCGCTTCATTTGCGTAGCCCCAGCGACAGCTCCGATTACATAAGCTGCCACGCGTGGCGCCATCTAGCGCTAAGCGGCTTAAATGCGAGCGAACAGGATTCAGAGGCAGGCATGGCGGGTGTCTCAAACGGGTTTTTTATACCGAGTACTTCCACATGTGTGTGTATGTGTGTGTGTGTGCGCGCTCGGACTGTTTATAACAATACAGCGAGAATTGTGGTTCAATGTAAAAAATGTATACAGATAACTTTAATATGCATTGCGCCATTGAAACATTTTACAGGGTATAGTTAGTACTGCCTAAGATATTCGTATTAAATAAAGAACTTACCAGAAGATGAGTTGTGAGACATTTTTTATATGACAGGTATGGGACATCATTTAGCAGGTTTTAAGAGAAGTAAACGATTCCTCAAAGTAACTCAGAGTTCAGATAGAATAGCTTTGTTAAGGTTAAGCCTAAAGCAACTCAGCAAACTCTTTATGAAATTTCTTTGCTCTACGTAAACTCTATTTATACTTTCGATTATTCGAAACAAATTTCATTTCCAAACAAAATGTCGGAACCAATAGAAAACTGTGATGTTGACCTCAAACCGAAAAAGAAAGAGAAGAAAAAGAATTGGGTTATGTGCTGCAAGAAGGACTTGCCACCGCCACCGACACCGAAGCGCGTACCCAAAGAACGACCACCAACAATCGTTAAATGCAAGCCGATAGAAAAACCACCAAAGACACCAAAAGTCGAACCAAAGCCCGTGTGCGAGAAGCCTGCATACTATCGCTCCAGCTACGAGCAGCGCGCATATCTGGAGCGCGAGGTTGTGCCCATTTTGATGGAGGGCATGGTGGCCCTGGCTCGTGATCAGCCCAGGGATCCCATCAGCTATCTGGAAAAGTTCTGGCTGGAGGACAAGCGCAAGTGCGACATACCCATACCGCAGAATCTGCTCTAGCTTTGCGGAGTATTCACTGTACACTGATCAGGCTTAGTTTCTCCTCTCTCGCGCTCTGTGTCTACTCAAATTTCAAAATGTCGAGCAGTAAATGTTTCTGGTTTAACGTTGCACTGTTGCATTGTTAATGGAATTTAAAGGGTATATAGGTTGGGCGTAAGGGAATATAAAAATCATATTGGAGAGCTCCACAAATTGTAAATATGTTATAAATTTCCTCTACCTTAAAGCTGTAGCTATGCAGAGAAGCAACTAGTATATAGCTCACATTAGCTTGGCCTGGCATACCCGGTTCAATCTAATTTCCCGATTCAATTCAATTTTCCCTGCTTCAGTGAGGCGCATCAGCTGTTATAAAAGCTGGCGTAAGTTCCAGCTGCGGCATCAGTCAATTAGCTGCCTTCATCTAGTTTCCAATACAGATTCCAAGATCATGTTCAAGCTGGTAAGTGAGCTGCCGTCTCTGGGCCAGTCAATCACTACTACTGCAACTACTTGCAGCACCTGAGCCTCTTCGCCTTTGCGATCATCTGCCTGGCTGCGGCAGGAGCTGCTACACTGGAATGGCCTGCCAATCTGGTGGCTCTGAGCAGCGGCAAATCCTCGTCGCAGGCTGCGCCGCTGCCTGTCAGCGAGGAGTCCGCTGAGGTGGTCAATGAGAGCAGCGCCTCCTCTGCCGAGCCGGAGCTGGAGCAAGCGCTGGCTGAATCTTCGGCCGGCAATGCCATTGCTGATGATCGTCTGGTCTCAGCGGTGCCTGTCTCTGTGCCACTGCCACTCGTTGTAGCCGCTCGATCGGGTCTGCGCAGCGTGTTGACCATACAAGAGCCCACGCTGGCCAAACTGGGTGAGCTGGTGGAGCATGTGCCCTCGGCGGTGTCCCATCAGAGTCAGACAGTGGTGCATGAGCATCGACGCCTCGTCACACCCATTGTGGGGCCCGCTGTGCGCACCACCCAGCTGGTGCGTCAGCACCCGCCCTTAGTCTGGACCCTCTCGGCCGATCCGCGCGTGGTGCTGCTCCGCAACTAGATCGGTTAAAGGCAAACGGACTAAAAGATGAAACCAAAGAGAAAACAACGCTGACAAAATTCAACTTCTTCTTCTTCTAGCTAACACGTCTATCTCTCTCTCTCTCTATCTATCTAGCTATCTCTTTCTATCTATCTTCTCTGCCTTTGACACTTTACCTGCCATTTTCAATGCTCTTTCTATCTGTCTCTTTACTTTTACATCTATTTACTATTTGTTTGGAATAAAGAATTCGCATTTGCAATCTGTTGAGCTTGTTCCTTTGATAGCTCTGCCTGCCTTTCCGTCTGCCCACAGCAATTCAATAAACATCAGCAGACGGCAGGCACCATTGTTGTCCGCGCAGACCTTTAATGAGCAAAGGCAGCTACGCAAACGAGTTTAAACGACTGCACAATACTGTGCTTTGCAGGCAATGTAGCAAGTTGATTACCGATATTTATCGATCATATCGATAGCACACTTGCTGTGCGCCTGCTGTGACGACCGAGACATAGTCTCTCGCAGTCTCTGTGGCACTGTCATATACAAATTAGTTTGCCTATCAAATATTGATTCTAGATTTTATACGTCATAGAAGCTATATATACTCTGAAGTCTTTGCCTATTAAATGTTGTTTCTAGGTGCCAGAAGTTTACACATCACTTGCACCATATCTAACCAATATACCCCTTTCCCTTTGAGGCTCAGTGTATAATCAATAAATAACGCAATCAGTGCTAAAAGATCTGTACTAGAAGCTACAGCAGACATTGCAGACATTGCACGCCTTAGCAACTTGGCCGACGACGTCTCATGTTCAAGGTGCCGCCTTCTCTCTGGACTCTTGCAATATGCAATTAGAAACTCTGCTATAAAAGCTGCAGCTGCTCTTTAAAGGGCCAACAGTCGAAGAATCGCAGCAGTAGAATATGCAGCTGCAATTGGTAAGTGAAGCTGGCCCAGAAGAACGTGGCTTTTCTTAGCTCTTCTGCTTTACCTCTATAGATTTTAACACTTCTATTGACGCTTTGGAGCTTCAGTCGAGCTGAGCTGCAGCTGGCACCACATGGGCTGCTCAAGTGGGCTGAGCTCGTGGAGCATGTGCCCAGCGCGGTTTCCCATCAGAGCACCACTGTGGTGCACCACACTGTGCCGCGCCGCACCACCACGCTGCTGGCACCACACGCAGTGCGCAGCTTTGTTGTAGCCCCGCTAAATCCGCTGAGCCCAGCCGCTGCCTTTGTACACGCCCATCAAGCTGAACCCATGGCCTGGAGCTATCTATACCCACATACTCTGTCCACGCTCTATGCAAACTGATTTGACATGCGAATAAACAAGCCCACGCCTTAAAATCCACATCGATGTCTGCCGTTTTTTTTATTTTTTTTATTTTTTGGAGGGGTTTTACATGCGTGACAGGCTGGAGGATTAGTTCTCGTTAAAAATCAATGCAATGCAAATGCCAATTAAATTTTGCGCTACATTTCACAGTTGATTTGGGTGTTGAGGTGACGTCATCGCAGCTAAATAAATATTCCTAGAAGCTGATGAACCTTTGTCTCGCTTCTGTGCGAGTCAGCAAACGTGTAGACAGTGCCTTCACCCAGCATACATACATGACAATAGGTAATATCTGTAGGCCGACACACAATTCTCAATAACAAGCAAGAAGCCATGCAGCCGCCAGGTGTTTGGCCCGCCAGCGTTTGGATTCGTCTAGCTGGATGGTGCAGCGCCCGATGTAAAGTGAGAAGTGTGCTAGCGCCACACAATAGCAATGGAAATTTATGAAATTGTAAACCTTGAACTCCTCTCATCAGCTGACAGCGATGCTCAACTGAAAGGCTAACCCAAGCCGCAGGTTGGCAACATTTGACCATTGAGTTGACCGCCAGGCTGGTCACTTTGGGTCACATTATGTAATTGACCTAAGGTACAAGAATTACATGAATTCGATGTGTGTGTTTTAAGTAGGAGAAATTTAGTAAGCGGTGCCTGAGTAAGTCTAGAAATAGTAGAGGCTAAAGTTATAGTTAAGGGAGAGCTAGGAGAGTTTTTAGTTATTAAACTGATTTTAATTAGAGCTAAATATATTTATTTATTTATCAAAAGCACTAGTTGTGATTCCACTTGCACAGGAAACATCAATCAACAACATAAAACTCTTTGACAGTCAAGACAAAATGAAGTCTCAACTGATAGGCCTCAAGAGAGAGACTGCAGCAACCTCAGAATCAAATGTTGCAGCTCTAGCTGCAAAACTTTGAAAGAATTAGTTTTTTTTTTTTTTAATTTGCCACGCCCCTTAATGACATATGTATATAATTTTTGGTAAATTAATGGAAAAGATCAGCTGTAAAACTGCAGCCTTTCCAATGTGCCACGCCTGCGTGAATATATAATTTGTGTTTAATCTTAAGAAGTGAACTTAAGTAGTGCAACTGTCATGTTGAGGGGCTAAAACTGTGGCATGCATATATGAACTATATAAACTCTATAAGCTTCACTTAGCAACTATATGACCCTAAACAAGGCTACATGAAAACAAATATTAGATAGTTAATTCGCAGATTTCAAAAGGCAAGCAAACATCGTTTCAGTTGCTACTCGTCCAACTCGTATATACATCAATATTCTTATATCTACATAGATGCTATATATCGGCTGTACAGAATACGTATTTTGTCCCATACATAACTTTTGAAAATCAATTTTTTATGACATTTCAAAGTGACGCAATTGCAAATTTGCAAAATGCAACAGAAAGCATGCGCCGTGCCTGGCTGTGACAACAGCCGGGATCAATTCCTGCTGTAGTCGTAGTCGTAGTCGTAGCCGTCGTTGCTCTGAGATTATGTAAAATTGAAAGCGCCTTCGGCACACAAAACATTCCGGCACAGACAAAGGTCACAGCATTAGAGCGAGCAGCTCGAAGACAATTATTGGTGTTTATCGATTGGTTGTATTGCCATTGTCTACACCACCACCACCACCACCAGCGAACCACACCCACACAGACTAATATCTATAGCTGTCATTTGCAGTTCTGAGTGCAATGATGCAATGCTCTGGAGCGTTCAATACAAAAGTATGCCAATGTATTCAGCTCGAGTTGCCAACACCGGCCACTAGGTGGCGCACATTTTAAAGCCAACGTCGAAAAGGCTGCAATACGAAGTGCTTAAAGCTGAGAGACGAGTTCATTGCATTTACAGCAAACTCGACGACGTGGCTTGGGCAATGCCAACTGCTGGGCTGATTACACACACACAATTATCACAACGGGCAACTGGTGGGTGGTGCTGGGCGGTGCTGGATCGTTGTCAGCACACCGCTGCGTAATCGGTTTGTTTGTTTATCAATAGAGCGGAATTTGAATGCGTCGTTATGCTGTCATCGCAGAGACTGAAGCTAAACTATAGCCTCGGCTTAGGTCTGGGTCTGGGTCCGGGTCTGGGCTTGGGCCTGGGCCTGGGCCGGTATAGTGTTAAGGATGCCAACGGCAATGGTCATGGCCACGGCCATGGGTGGTCTCCCATTGGTGTATACAAAGCACAGCAGCAGCGACAGCGCACAAAGGAAAACAGAATCTAACAAGTTAACCAGAGCGGAAAAAGTGCGGAGAGACGCAGAGCTTACAGGCTAAACAAACTATTTGCCAGGGCAATCAGAGGGCCAAGGCACTTAGGCTAAGTGGCCAAAGAGCTAATAAGTTACGACCAGAACTGAGCAATTTGGTAACAGTACGGAATAATGGGAGAGGGCTGAGGTGAACTCGGCCAGATAAATTACAAAGATGATACCCTGTGTGACTAAAAGTTATTCATATGACTTTAACAGACAATATTTCTAACTGCTTGAATTTAAGTACAAAACAGGCTTTTATAAATCGCAAAGCAGAAAATAACTGATTTTGATTATCGATATTTATCGAATTCACAAATACGTGGCATAAAAGAAAAAGCTCTAGCAAAATAATTGAAGGTAATTACTTTTAGAGGCATGCCTAGAAGAAATAACAATTATATGCGATATTTTTAGATTTATGTAAATTTATCGATTTTCGATATATTTATTTCTAATTATATATTCAATTAAAATAAAATATCCGAGAACCTTTATATCAAATATTTTAATCTACTGTTCAATATAAATAAAAACAATACACGTTATAGCAGTATAAGAAACGCAATTGATAATCGATATTTATCGATGCATTGAAAAACTATGGAAACTCGTCATTCAGCACGCACAACGGGAGCTTTTAGTTTGATTTTGCTGGACTAAACAAGCAGCAGCACAGGGTATCTGAAGCAAGGCATACAAGAAACTCAATTTAAATAATTTATGTAATCTCAGTGAGCTGAACAGACAATGTTAAGCAAATGCTGCCAGAAATGATTAACAGCTGTGAACTTACAGCAGGGCTTTCACTGCGTAAAAACAAAAACAAAAGCAAGAAAAACAATTTTTCTTGGCGCCGGAAGTCGAAGCAGCTGATGGGGCACAAAGTGGAGGTGTTGCTTGGTCTTGCAACTTGTTGCTTTATCTGCTTCCTTACGCCACACAATTCCCGGTGAAAGGGCTAACGAATTACTAGACCATGCGGGCGTTACAACCTATCATTGCGAAAGAGCACAGCCAAGAGTTTGGCAATCTCAGAGCATACTCCAGCAGCTGGGAGTATGAGTCAGTCTAAGGCAGAGCCTAGGTAAGCCCGCCTGCTAAACATGCCGGGCACACAATGTGGGTGAATGACCTTGACGATTAACCAACTAATAAATACAATAATCTAGCAACAACAATAATAAAGCAATAAAAATTTATCACATGCAGTTTCGCAAAAGCAAAACAAACGCCGCAAAAAAATTAATTTATTTAAATTCCAGCTGCGTGCGCAAGGCACAAAACACAAATCCCAAAAGCGCAAAACGAATCAAAACAAAATCCAATCAAAAACAATGGAAAATTATACAGAAATTAATTGCGGAATATTAAATACCCTTTGCTAGAAAATGATATAGATAAAGACTTTTTGATGGGGTAGAAAAGGAATAAAGTTTGAATAAAGTTTGAAAGCTAGAATATTATAAAAAGCTTTTCCATTAGAAAGAATCATAATTTTGAAACTTTAAACAATGATTTTATTTTTTTAAGATATATAGAGAGTGAACTTAATCGATTCGCATATAGGTAGTTAGACCTAATAAGCCCCTTTAACTTATTTAATCAAAAACTGATTTTATTTTTAAAAACTTTCCTCTATTTTATGACACACAATATTTCATGCCATAGATTATGTCTCCAACATAACTCCAACATATAATCATGACATATGTGATTTCAACTTATACTGATGCTGACACATATAGAAGCTTACATACCAAGTTCAGTTAGTAGAGTCAGATTGAAAGCTAGGCAAAGCTACATTGAGTCTGATCTTTACATATATAATATTTATAGTAAATATGAGTATATTGTATGGCTTACATATTTCATCACTTAGCTAAAATGCCCTCTCTCAGTGTATACTTAAATAAATTTATTGAATCAAATGAATCACGGAGCGAACAATTCGCTCAGCTCGAATGCATCGCGTGCCGGCTGTGGCTGCATTCGTTGCTTCGATTATGTAAGCCAGCCAAACAGCAAGAGATACAACATACACAAAAAAAAATATAAACAAAAAAACCAAGCACAAACAGAGGCTGAGAGAGACGAAACAACAGTGTTTTAGCTTGCCACAAAACCTGAGTTGGGGTTTCCCCAAGGCCTGGCCAAGACTTAACGACCGGCTCAGAGCAATGAGAATTGGCTAGGCCAATTGTTAACTACAGCTTGGCGTCTCTTGCAATTGCTGTGTGCCGGGATTTTCCAAGGCACCATTTATTTTTTGGGCAAATCCGTGGCACAGTTGCAACAAAGTGCAGTGAATGTGGCGGCAGTTGCAGCTGCAACCGCAGACAAACTTCCCCATAATTAGTGCTCGATTTTAGCGGCTGCTTTGCATGAAGAAATGGCAAAATGTTGAGCTATGTGGGAGTTATTTAGTTATTGGTTATGAAGCAATTGACATAAAAGTGACCTTCGGATCGAGTTACAAAAAGGGAGAATGAGAGACAGAGAGAGAGAGAGGGAGAGAGGGAGAGAAAGAGGGGCTGAGTAAAGCAACGCCACTAAAGAGGGCTGAGCAAACAAAAGCAGATTAACGAAATTTTGAATATGCTACAAAAGCTGTGAACAATTTTGTGTAAGCTTGAGATGGCAAAGAAATAAATTACACAGGCCTACAAAACTGATGGAAATTAAATAAGCGAGAATCAGTTTATAGTTAAATGTTATATATTCATCTGCCATAAGTTTCTTCTCTGTTTCTTGCTTCCAGCAAGTTTTAATAGAAGATATATCTGCGACGATGGAGAGAAGTAGTTTAGTAGTTCAAATACATTTACTGTGTTTTTAGACAAACAAATTAATTAAATCTTGTAAGAGTTTACGTGTAGCTCTTAGGCTAAAGTAACTCGCAGCATCGATAGTTTCTTTACTGACTTCTTGTGAATTCAAGACACATGAAAGGCATTCGTAATAGTTATACTATTATCTGAAAACGCAATTGAGCTGATCTGTTAAATCAATTAGCTATAGATGTCATCAGTCAATAAGTTAATTCACATAGTGTGATAGCTTTCATGTGTGGCTAATGGAAAAGCCGTCGAATGGCATGGAATGGAAATCCATATTTTTAATTCTAAATTTATTGAAGCTTAAACGTACATTCATATGTGTGTGTGTGTGTTTTGTGTATGTATGCACAGAAAAAAGCTGCGTCTTAAATATTCTCAAGATGTGGGCAAAGTTCAGGGTATCTCCTCGTAGGGCACTCCCAACAAAAGCATTCTAACTTGCTTTATTTCTACATGGGTCTACTCTTGCATAAATTAATAGAGCTTAAAATATATATCAATATAAGACATAAACAACGTTTCAGTCAAAGATTTTTAGCACCAGCCAAAAATAGTTTTACACAAACTAAATCTAGCAGACAAACTTCTGGAATAGACATAGCAAAGGTCTTATGCCTACTTATCTTTACCTTTGCTGGACAAGCCTAAGCCTAATGAGAAAGGTATTAAGCCATCCATCAATGTCTAGCATTAATGTAGATATTTAACCTTTGCCTAAATGTTTTTTCTTTACATTTACTTTAAGTAGAAATGAACTTAAAAAAGATTTTATTTAAAATATTTTTAGCCTTTTCAGCTCCCAAAAAGTGTTCAAATTGAATGTCAAGCACACTATATTTGACATATATAAACTTGAGCATTATTCGATTAATATTATTTTGCAATTAAAAGATCAGTTTAAGCCCTGAACCCGATTACAGAGCAGCAGCTAGCAAGGTGCAAGGTCAAGTTCAAGCCGCGTCTACTGGGAATTTACTTGGCAAATATTGAAACTAATTTCCAAAAATTTCAATCGGAAGTGCGTCGATTATAAGGCAAACTGCTTCAAACATGCCCCCAAAACCGAAAACCGAAAATCGAAATTCAAAAAACTTTTGCCTGAGTCAGACGAAAAAACCCGATGGTCAAAGCTTTTCGATTGATAAAAACGACACGAACTGTTGAACTGCTGACTGTTTGGCAAACACTTAATGCAATGCTGATACAAGTGAGTTGAGTGACTGACTAGCTAATACCCTGTAGACAGATATATTTATTTGGGAATTTTCAACAATTTTAGAAAGTTTAAAAATGATTAAAATATAGTTAGAAATATGATATAAAAATCAAATGATAAATGATAAGCCCTTAAAAGCTTTCCAGCTCTGGCCGTATCTGATCACCTTTGCGCTGCTTGAGTAGCCAAAGGCATATATATTCATATATTCATTATATTCATATATATGCCCACTTCAACAATTACAGGGTATATAGACAGAGTGAAATGCTTTTGGCGATTAGCATAATTAACACGGAGCAGCGGCCTGCTTACACATATTATCAGCTTTCATGGAATTGTTAACATCAAATGGCGCTTAAACGCTGCAAGGTCAATCACACACACGATTACTAAGACTGATTGACTGACTGCAACTACTGATTGAAAGAGTGTGAACACTGAACACTGACCACACACAACAGTGTTTGGCACGCGCACGACTCACTGGGAGAGTCAAGTAGAAATAGATTTAATTTTTATGAACTTCGGGTAAAACCGCTAAACAGCAAATCATTTTGATTGAATGACTGAGCGATTGAACGTCTGAGTGTGCGTCTGTTTGTGCCGGCCCTGGGGTAAATACGAGCTGTTGCGGCCAATTGATTTGGGCCAGATCCGGTTTTTAGTGGCGTTGCCCTTTGAGGCGCGTCTCTGCTTAGTCAGCGGCCTGGTCTTTGGGTCATTTTTGTTATAATTTGTGGCTGACCCAATTAATAAGTGCAAATTTCATAAGCGCCTGCCTTATGCGGAAACTGTGGTGAAAATTCGTACATAAACATCTCGCGACATCAAGCTGCAGCCCACATAAAAACAAGAAAAAAACAAAAACAAAAACAAAAATAAAAACATAAAACGCTAATTTGGGACGTAAGAGTTTTCAACATATATTTTATTTTTAATTTTGTTTTCCTCTGCTGCTCTTTACCTTTTTTATGTGCCCTCTTTTAGCTTACACCGATTGCAACAAACGCGTGCTAGCTTCAATTTTTGGGTAAGGTTTCCGCTTAGAGCTCGTCTTAACCTTCGCAGCTACGCAGAATGCAGTCGAGCCAAGAAAAAACCCAAAATATTAAGCCTTTGACGTCATAGCCAGAAAATATGTGCTCTCTGTTTTGTTTTGAGCCAACAATTCGCCAACAGTAATAGCAGCAGCCGCAGCCGCAGCAGCAGCAGCAGCCACAGAAGCAGCGCCGTCGCGCATGCGCAACTTTTGTATAAAATCCAAGGCGCAGTCGAAAGCGAAATCAGTAAAGAAAACGTTAACAAACGAGGCAGACACACACAGAGTGGTGCAGTGGTGCAGTGATAGGATACACAAAATAAAAGCAAATCACTTACATAAGGATTACAAGCAACATATTGGAATATTTATATCAAAAAGCGAAAGGTAAGAGTGAACAAGAAAGAAATAGAGTCGATAAGTGATGAAAGCAGTGAATTCAAAGAGGATGCAGATACAGATCTGAGTTGTGTGAAGATATAAGAGACACAAAATATATATAAATATGTATATGTATATATGCAACAATAGATATTGGTAAAGTCTAGCCAAGACAAGTGCAAGAGTGAAGGAAAGCTTCAAGTGAGAGAACTTAATCAAGTGAACAAGCTATGAGCATTCTGAACAATTATTAAATTAACTTATATATAACAAAATGATTGCCCATGAAAATATAGATTATTTGGAAGATAAACCTCAGGCCAACCTCTTCCATATATTAACATACAAACTTCAAACTGAATGATGTCCGAGCGTTCAGCTAGTCTCTGCTCTGCCTTCACTCATTCCTTCAGCTAGTCTCTTAGTCATCTAGTAGCTCAGTTGCAAAACAAGCTTCAATTGCAAGCCCATTACCATAACAGTAATCTGCCACGACCACTCCTACTACCTCCATCTATAAATAAACAATTTCCGATTGATATATATATCAAAGTCAACGAACTAAACCCTATATCAAACTCTAAAACTTTCACTGCACATCTGTAGACAAGCTCCCAGCTGCACTCACACACTCACATAAATTAACTTTATTGCCCAGGCAAAAATAAAAAATTAAGTCGAGATTCGCCCGTTCGAACTCGCAATTTGCAATGCAACGTTGCACACGACTTCCGTTCGATGGGGCCAAAGCAAAAGTGCGCTTTATATAACCCAAAAGCGAGCTAAAGATCTCAACAACAGCCCACGCTCCAGAAAGAAAAACACATTAAAAAGCGTAAATGACATAACACGCAACAAGCAGGCAGGCAAAGCCAGGTAAACAGTCGGGAGTTACGAAAATGCCGCGTCAAAGCTGAACGGACGCTGCTGTCAAGGCAGAGATCAAGTTGAGCGATCAGTTTTTTTGCTTTTTGGGCTTGCCAAATCTCAGGCCAGGTAAAATTACCTCATTGAGCTGGAGGAGCGAGCGCGGGGGGCAATCGTGCACGGTCTGCGACCTCGAACGAAAGTAAAAGTCTTTTATTTTCTGTGCTCAGGCCGCGCTGTGAGTCAGCGCGAAGAGACCGGTTTTTCTCTCGAACGATTGCCACAGCGAAATGCCCGTGAAAGAGCAAGAGCTAGAGTCGACTGCGTGTAAATTGGGACAATGACCAGTTGGTTTTAACATGCTCCGGGTTATTGGTGTCAAAGAGATTATGCAACAGCCCCAAGTAACTTTATTTATTGCTTTCCAGCACGCACACACAATGAGAATGAGAATGCGACACAGTTTCGCCTGTTTGCTGGTGCTGGCCGCGAGCAGCGCTCTGGTTGCCGCCGACTCCAATTGGGGCAATGAGTGGGCACCCATGGAGACGCCCGACTCCATGCTGAGCAGGCGCTCGGCGGACACACAGCCCGCGGACGATGCGCAGGGACGGAACTATGCTGTGCACGAGAGCATACAGAGCAATGCCACGGAAATCGACACAGTCATCGATCAGCTAATCAATTCACGCCGCGAGGGCCGCAATCTGGGCGAATATGATGCCGTCTACGCTGATGGCAACATCGATCAGGCCCTGCAGGAGGGCAACGATATGCAGGCGCGCAATCTCATTCGCGACAAGCTCTGCGGACTGGGTCTGATGAGCTGCGATGTGGAGGAGAAACGTCCTTTCTACTCGACCATCTATGCACAAGGACCACCGCCACCATCCGGCTTTGGCGGCGGCCCATATGGACCAGCCAAGCCCATGCCACCACCAAGCTACTTCAATGGACGTCCGCCAATGGGCCCACCATCCAACTCCATTAACTCCTTCGGACCACCACGCAAAGTGGGCTATGAGGGCTCCTACAAGCCTCCGATGAACAGCCTGTACAGACCTGGCGGTCAGTTCGGCGGTGCCTACCTGGAACATCCCCCCTCCGGTATTGATGGCTCGGATGGCATTACCTACACCAAGCCACCACCTGGCGCTCTCATCTACGATAGCAAACCACCTGGCCCGCTCTACACTGGCTCGCCCAACGGCCCCGGACCTGTCTACAACGGCCCCTCGAATGGTGTGCCTCCGTACAACTTTGAGAATCCCGAGAAGATTCAAGGCGCCAGCTCCTCGCTGAACGGCTTCTATTCACAGCAATCGTCGTCATCATCTTCGGCAGCTACCTCATCCAGCACCAAGGTCGTTGTGGGTGCTCCAATCGATGCGGGTCTGCAGCAGCATGTCCATCATCATTTCCATCATGTGGATGGCGGCGAAGGAGCCAATATTCCGAGTGTTCCCATTCCAATTGGCAATGGTCAGACAATCAACACAGACTTCAGCGCCTTGGCCCAGTCCTCTGCCACTTATACGCCCCAGGCACAGGCTAGCAGCTCAGGCTTCTCGCAGTCGAATGCTTTCACAGCTGGCTTCAATGGCGCCTCACAGGGCGGTCTGCTCTCCCAGGGCTATCCCGCACAGAAGCCCGACTTGTACAAGCCCACATCCGGCCTGGGTAGCTTCGGCAGCAGCTCTGGCCTGTCACAATCCAGCTCTAGCTTTGGCCAGAACGGTTTCAGTGGCTCACCCAGCGGCAGCTACCACAGCCAAAATCCCGACTACTACAAGAAGGAACTGCAAGGCGGTGCCTCCAGCAACTTCAATGGCGTCTCCTCAGGTTACAATGGCCAAAGTCAGGGTGGTCTGTACCAGGGCGCCGGCGGTGGCTATGACACGTCTCGTCAACAGATCGTCGATTGCCAATGCGTGCCCATCAATCAGTGCCCGGCCGCTGATCGCATTGGACGCAAAGAGGATCTGATTCTGGCTATTGATCCCAGGAATCTGGGCAAGGACATCGAAGCGCTGAGCGACGAAGCTGCAACCAATGCCAATGCTACCGCCAAGGCTGACACCAAAGAGGAGAAGAAGGAAGCGGACGATAAGAAACGCACTCGTCGCCAGGCCGATGCTGACAACAAGCAGGATGAGAATAGCGATCTCTCATTGGATTCCCAAGGGGTAAGTGCTAACGCAGCCTTCAATCCTTAGCTCTTGTTAGTGCCCGACTAATGCAATTGACACTTAGCATAATGCTCCCTAGTTGACACTAATTGTGATCTAGTTCCCCACACATACAAGCACACACAAGTAAACACACACACACATACATTCAAATACAACTCAACTGCACGCATTGATCAACGCTCCACGCTCAACTCAAACTCCGCCAAAGGCTAACGGAATAACCCCTGCTCGTCGTCGTCTTCCTGCGTGGGTTGGTTTGCCAACGATACTGGGATTCGTCACTAATCCAACTGCAACTAAAACCAAAGTCAACCTAACCACGCACGGGCTCAAAATGGGTCGCACGTCCACGTCCATCAGCGGCTAACTACGTGTGTCCTTCTTCCTGCAGCGTCTAGGCGCACTGGGACAAGGTCCGCTGCCACTGCCACTGCCCGCGCTCCAAGCCATTGAGCTCATACAGCGCAAGGTGCTACCCACATATGGCGTTAGCTTCGGTCTGCCCTATCCCTCGGCTGGCTACCCAGGCGGCTATCCGGGCAATGTCCTGGGCGATTATTACCCCGCACAGAATCCGAACTTTGGCTCGCTGGGTCCCAATGGCCTCAATCTGGGCCTGGTCAATGTAAATCCTCTGGTCTCGCTGCAAGTGAGCAAAACGGATTACGGCGAGAAGGTGGTGAAGCCACTGGTCAATCTACACGTAACACCCAACGCAAATATCATTCAGAAAGTTGGCGATTTCTTCAAGAAGACGCCGAGTGAAGTGCACAGCACGCACTACCATCATCACGATCACTTCAGTGGCTATGAGCATGAACATCATCCGCACCACTATAGCGCACCACCAACACATCACCACTACGATTTCGAAAGTGCGGGCCCACACTTCGACGTGGAGATGGTGCACAGCTCACCAGTCTTTGAGTACCACAGTGGGCCCTCACTATATGTGCCAGCACAGCACTATCATCATGCTGAGCACCACACCGAGCACTACGCTGGCCATCACGTGGAGCACCACTCGGAGCCACCATTTGAGCACTCATACAATTCCATTTATCCCGAAACATCTCACGGAGACTTCGGCTCCACTGGCTTTGGCAGCTATGGCGACTACTCCCAGCATTACGAGCGCAGCGTCAATGCCAGTGCGCCCGACTCGGCAGTGCCGAGTCGTCGGGGCAAGCAACTGAATTTGGGGCAAGTTCATAACATACCCGCCCAAGCGCCTGGCGCTGCGGCGGGCAGTGATCATGTAACCTTTCCCCATGATCGCAGGCGAAGAAGCGTTGATAATGCGGAAGAGTTTGAGTTGGGAACGGAGCAGGTAACCATAGTTGTGGACAGTTACATGAACCTGGACTCTTCGACTTAAGAGAAACGTCTTTTGAGCTCAGGCTAATTAGTCATTCTCTATTCTTGCAGCGCGCTTACTATGGCAATCGTCCCGTGGAGAAGTCCTGCCGCATCAACGAGGTCTGCTGCCGTCGTCCACTGCGCCCTCAGGCTCCTCCTCAGCAGCTGGGACGTTGTGGTGTCAGGAATGCTGCCGGCATCACTGGTCGCATTAAGAACCCCGTTTACATCGATGGCGACAGTGAATTCGGCGAGTATCCCTGGCATGTGGCCATCCTGAAGAAGGATCCCAAGGAATCGATCTATGCCTGCGGCGGCACTCTCATTGATGCCCAGCACATCATCTCAGCGGCCCATTGCATTAAATCGTAAGTCCACGATAAACTCTTCCTGAAGATGATAGAGACTAAAATTGTGCTTCCTTCTATAGTCAAAATGGCTTCGATTTGCGCGTGCGCCTGGGCGAGTGGGATGTCAATCATGACGTCGAGTTCTTCCCCTACATTGAGCGCGATGTTGTCTCTGTGCACATTCATCCCGAATACTATGCTGGCACGCTGGATAACGATTTGGCTATACTGAAACTGGATCACCCGGTCGACTTCACCAAGAACCCACACATCAGTCCCGCCTGTCTGCCCGATCAGTACTCCGATTTCACCAACGCTCGCTGCTGGACCACCGGCTGGGGCAAGGACGCCTTTGGCGAGCACGGCAAATACCAGAACATCCTGAAGGAAGTCGACGTGCCAATTCTGTCGCATCATCAGTGCGAGTCGCAGCTGCGCAACACGCGCCTCGGCTACAGCTACAAACTCAATCCAGGCTTCATCTGTGCCGGCGGCGAGGAGGGCAAGGACGCCTGCAAGGGCGATGGCGGCGGTCCGTTGGTCTGCGAGCGCAACGGCGTCTGGAATGTGGTCGGTGTTGTGTCCTGGGGCATCGGCTGCGGCCAGGTGAACGTGCCCGGCGTCTATGTTAAGGTGTCTGCCTACCTGCCCTGGATTCAGCAAATCACACAGAGCTACAAATGATTAATGGAGACAGTCCCAAGAGCGGGGCCCGTCATAACAAATGACGACACCTCCGATCAATTCGTATTTCACTTTTGAGCCGCCATCTCCATTGCGCAACGCACTCTTTGTTAGCCCACGCGAGCTTACTGTTACCGCTCGTTACCATCTTGTTTAGGCCTTTTCCTTATTACCTTGTTATTATGTTTCTCACTTTATTCGTTGGTAAAACACTCTTTGTCACACTCCGACTCGATTGTTAGCGAGTGCCTAGGCGAACGCTGTGCCTCCACTTTGAAGTTCCGATTCGTGTATCGTGTATAATAGTTGTGTTTATATTAATTAATTTATTTTTTATACTTGTAATAAATTAAAAACTATTTAAATAAATTAATTTATAAAAGAAAAAACATTTTATTTTATTTATAATTTAAAGCAAGAGCAGATGAGAAGAAGTTGTCTTAATGCTAATTAAAATATCAGCAAATTTTAAGGTATTTAGTTAAAGACTAAATGTTAATCTAGAGATATAGTATGTATATTTCTCAGTTAACACATAACTATATAAAGCTAACTTTAAGTTTTATCAAGCCAATTGGATGTGGGATGTTACCTAGCAAGCAAACAAGATGGTCGATGTTTGCAGAGATAGAGTTGCTAGTAAGCCGAGGTCTAATTAGTACTCAAGGCAAAAATAATATAATAAATAATGATATGCAACATGGTAAACAGCGATGGCAACAGGCTCTCTGAGTTGATAGCAAATATTGACGAAACGACTGAAGGAAAGCGAAAGCTACTAATGGAAGCAACAAGAGTAATCCTAAGGCATATTAGACTGCTCAGCGCAGACAGATTAAGAGAGAGATTTGGAGAGAGTAAGGTGGAAGCTCATGTGTACAGAGATCAGCAAAGGATAGCTTCGTCGTCGTGTCAGGGATTGCTCTACTGATAGCTAAAATCAAGAGTTCTATTGTCTTAGGTCAAGTTAGCAGTGCCTCTCTCAACTAGCCTGGAATGAAAGCAACCTTCTAAATTGTATATCTAAATAAAAATACATTTATATCATATATACTCAGCTACAAAGATAACTACTTAAGATAATATATGCATAAACCTAGTTACATATTTTATACAAACATCAAGCTCAACTTATAAACTATGTGCGCAGAGATATTTATATAATGCATCAAATTTTCCACACCTTTCTCACATTTAAGCAATAAAAATATATATACTCTTTTAATTAAAATTTAAAAGAAAGAGTAGAGTTAACAATTAAAAAAAATGCACTAAAAAATTGTGGTGCAACTGAAATACTATTATAAGCAACTTAAGATCAATTACAATTGGGTGCAACGCATTAAAATGCAAATTATAAGTTTTTTTCGGGCAGTTATTCGACAGCTTTGCACCACCCATAACGCGAGCCAACGTGTTAACAAAGCATTAGGAGAGACGCCACCAAAGCTCGCACAGCTCCATTGAACTTCCTCGAGCGAGTGTGTGTGTGGGAGTGGTAAGTGTGTATGTATGTGTGTGTGTGTGTGTGATATTCAAATATTACAAAGTCTAACATGTTGAGTGCCCGTTAAACTCAAAAGCCGCAACAGACTTTCCGCACTACTAAAACAATACAAAATTTACAAAATTTACAAAATTTATGCACCGCTGCCTGAACCGCAGGTGTATAAAACCCATTGGAGCAGCTGGAGCAGAAGCTTAATACAATTTTGACAACGAGATGTACAACAAGTGTTTCAAGTGCGTGCTGCTAGGTAAGTGCAAGGATTACTTGGATCAGCTGTCAGGGATTAATCAACAATTCTTCAATCACAAAACAGCGCTGCTGTGCGCTCAGGTGCTCGGCAGGCTGCACAAGCGCAATGGCTACTACTACAGGCAGCTGCAACAACAGCCGCAGTCACCGCATCAGCACAGCGGAAGCAGCAGCTACTATGAGCCCTCGCTGCCAGGACACGAGGAGCAAGTGGAGCAGCACCATCATCATCAGCAACAACAGCAGCAGCACCAGCCGCATCATCATGGCAGCAGCTCGAAAAGTCATGTCAGCGATAGCAGCAAAGCTGGTTATAGCATAGGCAGTGGCTTGCGCTCCATAGCTCAGGGATCGGCAGATCAGGCTTACACCGCGGTCTCCAATCAACATGCGGCCGCCAAGCAGGCGGCTTTCATAGCCAAAAATACCTTGGCACAAGCTGCTTCCCAGGCGGCTGCCACAGCGCAAGCAGCACTCGCTGGTAAACAGGTGATACTCGAAGAGCTGGAGCAGCAGGCAGCCGAGGCACAGCGTGCGCTCTCGCGCGAACTGGAACAGTTGAAGGCGGCCAAGATGTCCGCGAAGCTGGCACAGCAAACGGCGCAGGCCGCTCACAATCACATCTCGGTGCTGACGGCAGCCATCAACAATGCTAAATCGGTGGCCGAGCAGGCGGAGCAAACAGCCAGCGAGGTGTCCAATCAACTAGCCTCTCAGGCCACCATGGTGGGTCAGGCTAAGAATCGGCTGGAGCAGGTGGAGGAGCAGCTGCAGCAGGCGCGCGTGGACTTTGCTGCCACCAAGGAGTCAGCTCTGAAGGCAGCTTCCTCTGCAGCGGCTGCGCAGGTAAATGCGTCTAAAGCAGGGGCTCATGCTACGATTGGACTCCATGAGAGCGTCAATCAGCAGGAGCAGCACCATGACGAGGAGGTGGAGTCGTATGACGAGCACCTGGACACCAGCGGAGTGGGTCACACAGCTAGCGACGCGGGTGATGACCATGCACGCTCCGGCTAGTCCACATATAAACAGAGTATTACAATTCTAGTTAATATTTATATTTATGCAATTTATAAGCGTATCAAACCAAAAAGCAAGTCAGCAAGCATCCCTAAAAACATGTTAATATATACTTGTTATAATAAATTTCATTTATTTAATTAAACTAGCTTATAAATAATTCCATTCTGTCATAGAATTCAGAGAATATGCTTATTATTCAACGAAAATTTGAATTCACATAGCGTTGCCAACCACCTCTAACATACTCGCGCCACAATTACTCAATTAGTGGCAACGCTGTTAAATGCACAGCTGTTTGCATAACAAGCGACTGGCAATTCTTGTGAAGAAGCAGCGCACACCGGAATAATAATAAAAAAACTAGCTTTTCCCAATTTTTATTAATTAAAGAGCGTGCAGCATGAGTCAAAAAGTTATTAAATACATTGGCCGCACCACCGACTTTCGGGGCAACACCTTATGGGAAATCGTAGGCAATCTACCCGACTGGGGTATCGGTCGCATGGTCATACGTAACATGTTTCAACGCTACCCGGAGCCCTGCTATATGCGCATATTGAAAGTTCAAGCAGTGGACGAGCAGGTGAGAGCGGGAAGCAATTAGCAATAATCTCTCTAATATATATCTCCTGTATGTAGGCCGACAACGAACGCAAAGTGCGCGTCACTGTGGAGAAGACCTGGCGAGGAGTCACCCAGCCAAAGCCCGTGGAGATCTACAGCACCAGCTATAAGGCTGACTACGAGCTGGTGCCTATAGACCAAGAGCACAAATATCTAGACAATAAGAAAAAAGTGGGTTCTGTTGTGCTGCCAACGAAGATTGAACTGCCGCCGCTGCTGCGGGAATATGTTAAAGATGAATCTGGTGATCCAAACCCTTTGATTAATGTGCACTTCAAGAAGACGCACAATAAGCAGGCACGTCTAGCCAAAGACGGCGAGCAGGCGACGCTCCAACTATCGATGGACATAGGCAAGCCAACAAGCGTGAGCGCAAAGCTCTACGATGGTTTGATATAATGGATGCAGTGCCTCAACTCGACACCTCTTGTTGCATTATTAAATCTTTAATTTAAACTTAATCACAATGGAATTTAAATATCTATGGAATGGATTAGTAGTCAGGTACTCTGCCTAGCTGTTGTTTAACTCTTGCGAGCGCAGTTTGCGAGTCAGATTATCCACCTCGAGTCCCAGCACATCGAGATTCTCTTTGAGCGTTATATTCTTTAGCAACGTATCCTCTAAGACAGTCTGCAGCTTCTTATTGATCTCCAGTGAGAGCTCCAATGACATACTCTTGCTCTCAGCTCCCTTGACTCCTCCATAGATGGCAGCCATGACTCCATTGCCATATTTGACAAGCTCGCTCTTGCTTTGATCACTTTTACTGGAAGTGAGCGCGCCGGCTGTTTGATCACGCAGCATATAGTGCTGCACCACCTTTGATTTCTTTTGGACCTCGGAGACAAGCATAGCTGTATGATTCTCCAGGAACTCAATGCGTTCTGTTTGTCGTGCTGAAGCCTGTTGCAGGCGTAGAATGCGTTCGACTAACACTTTTTTGGAAGGTACTGCTTGTAGATCTGTAATTGGTGTAGGCGCTGGCTGTGTGTGGGGCACAGTTGTTAAACTGCTGGCTACAGTTTCGGATTCAGACGACTCGCTGGCACGGCTGCCCTGACTGCTGCTGCGGCTGTGTGTCACCTGTTGATGATATTGCTGCAGCTGCTCCTGGCTGAAATCATTCATGGCCTGTTGACAGTTGCGGCAGTAGCCCATTGGCTTGGCGTCCACAATTCCTTTTTTGTACTTTTGCAGTTCTCTTTGAAGCTCCTTCACCTGCGTCGCATGCTTATGACTCGTTGCTTCAAAATGGTTCTGCAACTCCTCCAGTTTAGCATTGACCACTTCATACATCTTTGTCTTCTCGGAAAGATGCTTGGCTAGCAGCAGACGCTCCTCAATTTTCTCCATTCCCTCCACATGCATTTGTTCCTCTAGCTCCAAATATTTGGCATCGTATGCGAGCAGCTCCTGCTTTACCAATTTATTCTCAGACTCAAATCCTAACGACTGGTTGGTTATAAATAGAAAACAGAATTTTGATATTAGCAACGCTCAATACACAAGGCCTCGGTGGCGCAGTAGGCAGCGCGTAAGTCTCATAATCTTAAGGTCGTGAGTTCGAGCCTCACCCGGGGCATGTAATTTTTTTATTTTTTATTATCTTATCGAAAACTTACCTTGACTTCAGCCAGGTATATATCATTTTGAAGTTTGACTATTAGCTCGGTCATCTCTTTGTTAATGCTTAGCAATTCCTGTTTCTTCTCCTGAAGCTGAGTTAAGTCTAGTTCATTCTCCTGCGCCTGCGATTCCAGTTCTTCTATCTTCGACTGGGCCTCAACTAATTTCTGCTCGTTGCTGTTTGAATAATGAATAATAGAATTTAATTATTTTAGTTATATTTCGAATTTTATTAACTAAAGCTGCATACATTGTATTTTGTGTGCGCAGCAGTTGCAACTCAGCCAATTGGCTATGCAATTTGGCTGCATTTAACAGCTCATCGCTGTAGGCGGCATCTATGAAGTTATGCTGTGCCTGTAGCTCCTTAAACTCCTCTGAAAGTTGATCATGCTGCAAAGCAAAAGAAAATTAGTAATCATTATTATTTTCTATATGGCATATAGGGATATACGAATAGTCTGAGAAATTTATGAGCTAACAAACAAATTTATATAAATGTAAACATTAATTTAAATACAGTTATCCCTTATCTTCACGTTAGGCTCTAACATTTTTCAGGCTACTCTCGTATTTAGTTTTTACCGCGTCTTTTAGCTGCTGCAGCTGCTGTTGTAGGTCTTTATTGGCTTCGCATTGCTTTTGGTGCTCTTTGTTTAGCTTATCCAGTGCATCAGTCTTGCTCTTGATTTCATGTTTCAGCAGTATTGTGTTAGCTTCAAATTCCATCTTAAGTTTCTCTGTAAGAGATAATAAATTAGAGATCTTATTATATAGAAAACTTTGTATAAGAGCGCACCATTGGCTTTTTCTTCTAGCTTATTTGGCGCATTTCTTTCTTCTTCCAGCTTACGCTCCAGGTTCTATAAAAGATGAGTAGAGATTAAGTTATGGTATATATATATTATATAGTGTAAAGAACTTACAGCCTTGGCTTCCACTTCAATGTTTAGCTTATTGGCATGATATTTTAGTTTGGATTCCAAGTGACCCATTTCTGTTTTAAGCTTTTCGCATTCTCTTTGATACTTGCGCACTTCGTTGCACTGCAAAAATGCAAAGTAGAATTAGACATAATTCTCTTAAAACCTTTCTAGACTTACCTTTTCATCTATTATATAGGTCATTCGTGACTTCTCTTCGTGCACGGCCTGGAAGCGTATGGAAACATTTTTCACCTCCTTCTTGGCGTCTGCTAGCTGCTTCTCCACAGTCTCCTTTTCTTTTTTGGCATCGATGAGCAGCTTCTCCTTCATTGCAAACTTAATTACTGTTGACTCCTTCTCCTTGTTGGCCACATCCATTTCATTGCGAAAAGCCAGCTTCTCCTTCTCCAAAATCGCATTCTCTCTCTGCAGAAGTGTCATCATATTATCCTTTTGCTGATTGGATGTGCGCAGCTGCTCCAGTTGACGTTCATAGCTGCGACGTTGCTCCTCCAGCTGTGCAAGGCAATGTACATGTGAGAGGATGTCCCGGCTGTCCTTGTTCTCCTTGGTTTCCCGTTCATCCTGCGCTTTAAGATCTGCAAAACTAATAGCTGTTGTTGGCTCGTGCTCCTCCTGGCCCTTCTCTTTTGTCCCTTGCTCCAAAACAGCTGCATGAATTTCGTTAACCAAATTCGATTTACTCTTATCTTGTTTACTTTTATCGGTTGCTGCAGCTTTTATTGGGCTTTCTTTGCTGTGTACTATATTTTCGCATTCCAGCTGCTGTTTATCTTCTAAGGCAATTTCTGCATCCACGTCGGCGTCATTTGCTAATTGTGCTACAGCCTCCTCTTTTGTTGACTCACTTTTATTTTCAACATTTAAATTAATGCTTTCATTGTTTGGGTCTATAGTCGTCTCCATTTTTAAGTACTTTATTAACAAATACTAAATATGAAAATAAAAAACAAACCGATTTGTTTTTACATTTTATCTTCTACGAAAAATACCATTCACAGCGAAGCAAATTAATTATTATCGATAGACAATATGCTATCGGACAGCTGAAGATGAATAGAGATGAGCAGAAGTATTACAATTACAATCACAGCAGCAGTGAACATGATTGTGCCAAGAAAATTGATGTGTTAATGTTAACTTTACAGCTGTTACCCAGTATATTGACTTGCAGTATGTTCCGCTCCAATTCAGTCACGGCGATTTAGTCTCGAGTACTTCGACTTTGCTCATCTCTAATACAAAAGTAAACAACGATGGTTTGTGCGCTGGGCATCGAGGGCAGCGCCAATAAAATTGGCATTGGTATAATAAACAATGGCAATGTTCTGGCAAATGTACGACGTACATACATAACGCCGCCCGGCGAAGGTATGTAAACTTTATATACTTAACTTTAATCACATTAACTTGTCTTATATGCAACAGGTTTTTTACCTAAGGAAACAGCCAAGCATCACCGCGAGGCAATTTTGGCACTTGTGCAGGCGAGTTTGAAGGAAGCACAATTAAAGCCTTCTGACTTGGATGTCATTTGCTATACAAAAGGTCCGGGCATGGCACCCCCACTACTAGTAGGCGCCATTGTGGCACGCACTTTGTCGCTGCTCTGGCAGAAACCTTTGCTGGGCGTGAATCATTGCATTGGCCACATCGAAATGGGTCGCCTGATAACAGGTGCTGAAAATCCAATTGTGCTGTATGTGAGTGGCGGAAATACCCAAGTAATTGCCTACTCCAATAAACGATATCGCATCTTTGGCGAAACCATAGATATTGCTGTGGGTAACTGCTTGGATCGATTCGCGCGCATTATTAAGTTGTCGAATGATCCAAGCCCAGGCTATAACATAGAACAGCTAGCGAAACAGGGCAAACAGTATATCAAATTGCCCTACGTCGTAAAAGGAATGGACGTCAGTTTCTCTGGTATTTTGTCACACATCGAAGAGTTGGCAGATCCTAGCAAAAGACGTAATAAGCGTAAAAAGCAACAGAATGAATCGGAGCCCGAATATAGTCAAGCGGATTTATGCTACTCGCTGCAGGAAACGATCTTTGCTATGCTGGTGGAGATTACAGAGCGAGCCATGGCGCACTGCGACTCTAATGAAGTAAGATATCTTACAGATCTCTTTGCATACTCATATTTAACTATTTTACCTATAGGTGCTGATAGTCGGCGGAGTTGGTTGCAATGAGCGTCTGCAGCAAATGATGGGTATTATGTGCGAGGAACGTAATGGCAAAGTCTTTGCTATCGACGAACGCTACTGCATCGACAATGGTTTGATGATAGCTCACGCAGGCGCTGAGATGTTTAAAGCAGGCGCTGAAATGCCTCTGGAAGATGCCTTCGTTACACAACGCTATCGCACGGATGAAGTGTTGGTAAACTGGCGAAAGGATTAGCTTAAATACATTTTACTTGCTTGTTTATTAAAAACTACCCACGACAATTGATTTGTACAAAGTGATTAAGAATCATATGTCTATTCTGTTAGCTGTTTGCGTATTCCCTTAGAGCGCTGGTTCCTTGCCCGTCCAGAGTGGCTTCATTTCCAGGGGTATGATGCGTTTGCCCTCAATCACATACACGGCGCCATTCTTCTCCTTCTCGAGTACATTGAGCATGCAACGCGCAACATCCGTGGCACTCTGTTTGCTCAGACGGTCCAAGATCTTATATGTCTCATCGCTAGTCTCTGGGAAAATGATTTTCTCCGTAAAATTGGTAAACATATCCGTCATGGTGGCACCCGGACAGACCGTGGCAAACTTAATGCCCGAGCGTTGATAGAACTTTTCGTTCTGAGCGGAGAATTAAATATTAATTATATATTAAATATTAACCAGAGCAGTTCACTTTAGCTACTTACGCCCAGGCAACGAGTAAAGTTAATGATGCCCGCCTTGGTGGCACCATAAACAGGTATTATAAACATCGGATCGAGGCCCACCACGGAGCTCATGTTAAGCACAAGCCCTCCATTGCCGCCATTCTCTTTGCTCATGTACTGCAAAGCGCTCAAACTAGAGTTGATGATGCCGCCCTAAAAGAGAAGAGAGAGAGTTTTGTTATAATTCTTTAGCCAGTAGCTGCTTGCCTGCTTACCAGGTTGACCAGCAGCGTACGTTGAACATCCTTGTCATTGAATATGCCTGCCACATTGACCACAATATCAATGTTGCCAAAGGTCTTCTTGATCTCCTCGTAGGTGGCCTCCACGCCCTTCTTGTTCGCCACATCCATTTTGATGATCATGACGCTCTGCGTGGGATGCGCCGCGCGTAGCTTGACAAACTCCTCCAAATTATCCTGTATATCAATAATGGCTACTTTCTGTGAAGGTAGTCAGATATGACTATAGTTGAATAGGTGAGCAAACATCGTAAACTTACTCCGGCTCCTGCTACCAGCAGCTGCTTGGCCACTTGCAAGCCTATTCCTCCGGCACCACCCGTAACCACAGCATTTTTGCCTCGGAACGCCATGATTGCCAATGCTCCTTGTATATGCTCTGCTTGACTATGAAATCTTTACAAACCAATCTCTGCGGCTGCCGTTGCTGCTCTGCCGCCTTCAGGGCTAGCCGTGCCTCTTTTATAGCCAGCTCCATTGGCTTAGTGTTATAATCGTATAGCTTGGTTATATGATATGTCGTCTTATATCCGATCTGTGAATAGCACCGATCGACTGGCTGCTGGCTGCAATTGATCGCTGGCTGCATCGATTATGCAAGCACCTATCCAATTTCCGATTTACACAGTGGCTTAGTCTAGCGTTTGATCTGCTTCACACTGCTCTGGTTTTTGCAGCGAGGTCGCTTTTGTTGTCGTTCTTCTCTTTGACTGCTCATCCCGCTCTATAACTCTATACTATAACGATGCTACAAAAGCCCATCAGAACTGATCAGATTTTTACTCTAGTTCATGAACGCAGTTCTAGATTCATACTGAATTCAAATTGGAATCCAATTGGATTCGACTACAGGCTTTTTGTCCTTTTCTAAGGCTCTTTTCTTATATTTGATAACATTATTTAAAGTTAAACTGCATATTTTCAATGACTTTCTTTGTATTTCACTTTATTTGAATTAAAAGTAAAGCATACACAATCTGATGCACACAGGTATAAATTTGTGTGTTTTGGTATATCTTTGGTATATATATATATATATGCTATAAGTACATATTATTATTAATATTAAACTTTGTAAAGTGTATTATTAAAAGTTTTGTGCTATGCTTGCAAAAATTTCAATTTTATAAATCTATTCATACGATATATAAACTTGATTTGGATGTGTAAAGGTTTTATTCGTTTTGATTTTGAACTTTTGGGCCGTTGCGTATGCAGAAATGTGACAGTAAAACAAACGAAAAATGTAAATTATACAAAAGTTTATAAATTTATTTTATGCACTTAAAACACAACTTATATTTTAGAGAAAGGATAAAGAGAGAACTCAGGTGCCATCAGTAGAAACACAAAAATAAATTAGACAAAAGATCAGTTTACGGTGTGAGTGAATGAGAAGAAGTGGATAAGCTTGTGGGATTAATTAATGGGCGCCATCGTAGGTGTCCTTGTGTTGATAGCCGCTGACATAGCCAGAGTCATCGACCAGATTGCGACGTCCAGCAATGCCCTTGCCCTTGCCGGTGGCATCGAAGCGCTCCTTGTGAGAGCCCGTATACTTGCTGGGATCTGTCAAGCGATCCACAGCTGCTGCTGCCTTGCCAGCCTGCCGGATAAATTACAAATATATAGTCTCAATTTAGTTATAGTTTCAGGAGCGCTATACTTACGGACACCTGCAGCACACCTGGTGCTCCACAGCTGGCCATTTTCTGTTTGATCTGCGCCAATTCCACTTTTTTCGTCTTGGCCAGATCCTCGAGGAATTTGTTGTAGTCCGGCAGCGTTATTTTCATGGCCTTGAATTTCTTAAAGTGTATGCCGGTATCGGTGGTTGTGATCTGCTTGTCGAACACCTTCGCCTGCTTCATCCATTTGTCGCTCTGCGAGAGCGTTATCTGCCGGCCATCGGATTTGGTATCGCCGAACTTCGAGAATGCCTTGAACTGATCCGAAAAAGTGACCTTCGGTGCGGTCTCCTCCAGAGCCAGCTGGCCGAGCTCCTCAACGGGCGCCGAAGTGCTGCCATTTGCTGTCTCCTCAGTCATGCTGTTGGCTCTGCAAAAGTGAAGATTACGTTTCAGTTTATAGATCTACAGATCATATGAATATACATATATTGTTGCTGCGCAGTTGTTCACCTGTGAGCCACGACGCTTATTAACATTTTGCTTTAGCTCTGTCTCTATATCGGACTATAGCTTTATACACATCGAAATCCGATGTCACTTGCTCCCATACGCTATATATACGCATATATCTCTCTGCCTGATATAGAGATAGCTTATCAAACTACGCTGTTATTGTGTGTATATATACATATATTCTCTATTCCGATGATATCATTCGAGCGTACAATAGCGCTGCGTGAGCTTTCGCAACTGCTGCTCGCTAATGAACTGTGGAAGGTTGTTCGCAACGAATGGCCAAGAGCTGCTCTCGTAGCTCAATTACATTTGCTCATTAGCGACCATTTCAATTCTAATTGATAAATCAAACAGAACAGTTGTCGCTGTTGGCAAAAGAAAAACATTTAAAAGTACTTTCAAACTTTTAAGCTAAAACAGAATCTATTCTAGCAAATTATCTGTTGACTCACAAATTGTAGATCATTTTAAATTACTATTTCTTATCTTGAAACTGATTGCTATACGCATACATTCTGCTAGAAAGCCAAAGTAATCCATAAATAGTTGCCTATAAAAAGAATTTTAATCTTACTTTCAACTCTAAATCTTCCATAGCTTGGTCTAAAATTCTGGCATAGCAATCAGCTTCTTATTATTTCAAATTACAATTACAATTATCTATCTAATTATCCACATATAAATCCAAAGTCATCAGTAAATTCTATATATAATATAAATTCCATATATATTGATCATTTTAACATTAGCAATTCACTCTTAGTTTTCTCGCAGTGCACAGCCCGTAGATAATGGCAGCTACAGATATTCGCTTGGCAATCAATTAATTTAACCCACAGCAACACAAACCGTTTCGCTTTGCCCTCTAGGCCTAGTATAGGTTTAAAGGCATATAAATCGCTTGGATATTTTCAGAGTTAAAGACAGCGGATAGCATAAATTGTCGTCATGTTTAACATGGATGTTAAGACTTGTGTCGAGCCCGCACAAATCGATAACAATAAACAGTAAATAAAACGTGAGCAGCGATCATTAATTATTCGGGAACCTACAGCTATATGGTAGCTATATACACAAATATCATACATAACTGCAGACCGACGGAATTGTGGTAGCTGCTCGAGCATAATTTAAGTGAAGATAACGTCCCGGAAGGCAAGTAGTTAAGAGAGGAAGAGACTGAAGCATAACCAGATTCCATATCCAGATAATTGAATGCGACGAGCTGACGATAAGATTGCCTGGGTCAAGGTTACAGCGCAGATCGAACAGCGATCCATGGAGCGTAACAATTGCTGACTTTTGCATCGACAACTATATAAGCCATATAAACTATATAGATATACGTCGCAATGCACGTTTCATTGGGGGTAAGGGGAACTTTGTCTAAATCGCATGGCTTATGTCATCAACATTACGCGCCGCAATTACGTCGCTCGGGGCTTGCTTTTTGGGTGAGGCAAATTAAGTAAATATATATATTTGTATATAGAGATGCAATTGTGAAATCATATTATATGATTAGCTAGCTCAGGCGATAAGCTAGCTAGAGTGAAGCCTCGGTGAGCAGCTAAGCTGAAGTCTGACTATCTTGCAAGTCCCAAGATCACTTCTTAAGGGCTTATAGGAGCATATATATATAAGAATCTTTCTTCTTATGTGAAAAACAATTCTCACAGTAAAGACTTAATGAACAAGCCATGCCTTAAGCGAACAGCTCTTTAAGCGTATAAATCTTGCAGGTCCCAATATGTGCTCTTACTTCAAAGGCAAATTTAATGACTAAAATAAAATAATATTTAAAAAGCAATTATCAAATTATGTTTTTTAATTTAGTTAAATAATTTTAGAATTTAGTTTATAAATTTGATAGATTATATATATATATTTATTAATATTCTTAGTAATGCTAGATAAACTGTCTGAAATTGTGAATAATTTTCAGTCAGAAGTTCGCCTCTCAAAATTTTGAATAAAATTTCTAAGCAACTTTTGCTCTAAATTCTTATTAAAATACAGAAATATTTAAACATATTTATATAATATTTTATATTATGATTAACTCATATATTGTAAATCAGCGCGCTTTTAAGCCCACACACAGCTGAAATGTTGACAATAAAATATTTATTTTAAGCACAAAATCATTGACTTCCTTCCCTTTGTCTGGTGCCCTGATTTCTCATACAGTTTCGAGCAGATGTTACTCACTCATAGACAGAATCAGTGCACTTTAGCGCGTAGTCACTGTATTGCTATTCTTACTTTCTACCTAATGCTAAACGCTGTCTGTTTTGTTGTGCGGCTTGCTCACCTAAGTGCGACTTACTCAGCTCCACAAATGTCAAGTGTAAAAACTAATTACAGCACTGCGTGTCTGCCACGCCCATTAATATGATTTGTTTCGTAGCCCTTTTGTGTTGTGGTAATTGGAAACCCATAAATACTTAAGAAACAACAAAAAACTCGCAAAACATGACAAAAGGCGCTTCGAACAAGCCTGGCAAATGGGCAAGAAACGTGGCTAAGATACAATCGAGAAAAAGATACTTCATAATCCGCTTTGGCTGGCAAGACCATCAATATACATATATATGTATAGCTATATGGGTACGTATATCTATATATATATACATGACTATATAAATGGTTTCGTTCATCTCGCAACATCCGCATCTCGAGCGCGTGGCTATCCCAATATATTAATTAGGTTTAGCCAAAATTGGAGAACAATATGAATTCCAATTCTATAAGGCAGGCAGACGTAACAACTAAGTGATAGACGTGAAAGGCTGACTAAAAGATACCCTGTACATGGAAACTATCAATTTTGATAGGATTGAATTGAGCATAATTCGCATTTTGTTTTATTATTGTGTGTCTCAGAATAACTAAGAGTAAGCTAAGGCGATTTTGACTACCAGATACCCTGTATAGAACGACTATCAATGTCAATAAATTTTGATTGAGCACTTAATTTCTTTTAATTTATATGTATCTCTTTGCTAGAAAAGCCAAGAGTAAACTAAGTCTATTTCGACTAGAAGATACCCTGTAAAAATACTCTAAATAAATAATCTGTCTACCCTGTGTAATATAACTTTTTCATCATTTTCAGTCAAGAAAGGGAACCTATTCCACCTAGGCAAGAGTGCTTTGTATTGTATTGAATAGAAACTATATTTCATCGTTTACCTTATTTTTCTAGCTACAAAATATAAAAAAAATCTATTCACTAAAAGCATAAAGAAAGAGAATGACTTCATATTGATAAAGATTTAGTTCAGAATTTCTTAAAGCAGACATTCACTATATTATGCCCTCTCTTTATTACAGGCTATAAAGACTGCGAGATTTTATAGAGGTATAGATATAGTTTACAATGCGAACGACTGCCCCAATTTTGAATACGATAAGTATATGAAATACTAGGCGCTCCAATGCATATTTATTAAAGGCATGTGAAACGCAACGCATTTAAACAGGAAACGCAATATACTGCACGGCAGAGGAGGCGTGGGGCAACGGGCCGCGGAAGGTAGAGGGTTGGGGTAGGTGTCAAGGGTGTCACACACAATACAATACGAACAACATTGAGCTGGGGGTCAGTTGTGGCGCAGCATAAGTGGAGGTATAGGAAGAGCCAGCGACAGAGCCAGCGACAGAGGCAGCGACAGTGGCAGCGACAGAGGCAGAGGCCTAGGCAGAGGCAAAGCCATAGGCCTAGGCATAGGCATATTTATATATATGTAAACATACATGAATTTCTGAGCAGCCCTTGGAGCTATGCTTATAACGCTGCCTCTGCCGCTGCATACAGAGCAGCAGCAGTAGCAGCAGCTTCTAGATGACATCACTTGCCCAGACCGCGCGCTCCTTATGGAGCAGGAGCACAGGAACGCGCAAGCGCCGCATACATACAAACGGAAGCAAATGAGGGGGGAGAGAGAGAGCGCGCGAATGTCTGATTGAGAGGCGGGAAAAGTCGCCTAAAACGATGCTACGCATTGTTGTGTATATTACAGAAAAAAAAGGAACGCTGCAGCAAAAATTTCTATTTTCGAGCAGAGAAATATGGGTCATGCAGCACTTGAAAATTTCAACAAAGGGAAATTCTGTTGTCAGTGAAAGAGATTATAAGTCTGATGCTGTGTGTACTCATAACCACACACAAAAATATATATAACTGTATTTGTGTGTGTACACATAACACTGACTATTCAATACGCACTCAACAGTTTTCAATTTTGACTAAATTCGATAAGGCGCAATTTTTACAACTTTTGAAACTTACATTTTTTTTGCTTAAAAAAATTTAGAAAAATTTTCAAATTTTTTGAAACTTGTTTACTTTTTGTTTTTGGAAAACTTATTACGGTGCTGCGCGCGCGTTTGCCGTCGCTGTCGAGACTCAACTGTTTGGTCAAATTGCGCAGCCAGCGCCATCAAGGGGGCCAAGCGGCGTATGAGTGATATTTGTGTGAACTGAGTGAGTTTTTTCGTTTTGAAAGAACGTGAAGCAAAACTGTTGAATTTGTCAGCTAAAAGCTAGCACATAAATCATGGCCAGCAAACAGCCAACTATTCCCAACCAAAACAAACTTCCAGCCCTCAGGCACAACTGTGCGTATACGTATTATGCATACATATAAATATAATTTGTATATTTTAATGCGATGACTTCATTTCACTAAAAAAAAACAAATAGAATTTATAAATGCCAAAGAGTAGAGCGTGAAGAGACTAAAAATCATTTATCAAAAATGACGCCAGTTGCCTTATCAACGCCAGAAATTCCACTCAAGTTGCGTTTTGTTTTGAGTGAGAAACGGCAGCTGAGAGCGTGAAAAAGCGTTCAGTGTGAGCTTTTTTCTATTGAGCGGGTCAATTTGTTGTGTGAGTCGAGAAATTAGAAAACGATGCGTGAAATTTGACAACAAAATTAACAAACACAATAAGTGAGAGGGAATCAAATAATAGAAAGAGACAGAGTGAGAGCGAGAGGGAGAGTGAGACGGAGCTCGATGCTTTGATGAGGCAGTGACCACAAGTGCCTGACTAAAATGAGCTCATGAGTTGCGGAAAGATTAGCTATTCATTCAGCAGCAGCTAATTGTATATATTTTGATATGCAAATGACATCGTGTGAGATCCAATGATTACAACAGCCCAAAAATAGTGCTGAGCGAGTTCTTTGAACTCGTCTGATAGGAAATAGCCTGGCTTTAAGTTTCGGGTCAAACGAAGCAGGAAAAGTTAATCAAACACCTAGAGCGTGTTTACCAACACAACTGTTTGTTGAGTTAATTTATTACAAAACCTAGCCCAATCCCTGCTGGCCATGATTTATGCGACTTGTCATTCCCATTTTCGACTAGTTTTTTCATGTTGGACAAATGCCTCCGATGGCGTCATACAAAGTCAAGCACGAAAGACTATTAGACAAGAGTATGTGAAACAGGAGAACTTATAGTTGGCTAAGGCATGTCAAAGCATAAATGCTCTTCACAGCAAGTTTTCATTCAAATTTTTGTCAAATTGTTCCCATTGAACTGAGGATATAATCGATTGATATTGATGAGCTTTTGTTTGGCATTAAGAAACATTTGAACGCACGTAATTTAAGAGTTTGGCTAAGATTTTACAAAGTACAACAAATTTTAAGGTAAATTCAACTTAAACATAATATTTATTAAGAATATGCCAGGCTGTTCTGTTAGTGAATTTTGGAGAAGGCATGCAGCTAGAGAATAAATAGAATATATTTTTAGATCAACTTTTTCCATATGTAAAGATGTCTGTTTTGAAATATTTTATAAAAATTATATTAGATATAGCTGCGGAGTACAAACAAAGCTTGTCAAATTTTATTTATTGTTCTGCTTAGTTAATTATATCTTATCATGAAAGCAGATATTAAAAGACAGCTGTGAAAAAGTACACCAAATATATGATTTCTTTCTTTCCTTTTTTAAATGGAATTTATATTATCTATATTATCTATAGCTATTGCATAACAATTATATACTTTTTCTTTTATGTATGCAAAGACTGCGTGGCACTCTTTATGGCAAATCGAGTAAGACGGTATCTGCCACAGTCTTAGAGTTAGAGGGGGCGTGAGCTACTGTTAAGTTATATTACAGATCGACGACACGTCGATGGCTCACCTGCAACATTTACATATATACATATATATATGTATACACATAAAAATATCTTTATATGCCAGCTATCTGAGTTATCTGTTTTATATGATAAATAAAAGATTTTGACATATAAACAAGAGCTTTAAAGTTTTTTATATAACTTAAATGTTTTATCTATATTAAGCACAGTCAGTCCAAGCTTCACGTACTCACAAAGGCTGAAGTCATTCTCTTCTTCTCCTTGTGCTTATTCATGAGATGATTGCTTAAAGTTATATAATTCTTGCTCACTAACAAATCAGTTATTGGGCGAATCATTTCCATTCAGCCACAAGTGACAATATAGAAAACCGCTTACAACTTCTCGCACAACTTTAAAGCAGCTGCAAATATACAAAGCACACAGCATGACTAAACTAAAATACCCTTTCAGCTGATGTATATCGAAAACAAAGAGAAGCAAACTCAAAGTTGAATGAAGCAAGCTTAAAGCTGAGTTAATCAAAGAAACCGGCTTGGCGAAGGTGTGTTCCAGCCAATAAGTAATTAGCTCAGAATTTCGCTATGCCTAATGATGCACAAATCAGGAGCGAGCGACAGTCGCCGAGTCTCAGTTGCAGAGTGGAATTTGCAAAGTAAACAACAGCTGAACTGGAATTTAAAGTGATTTGGACATGGGTCATAAAGACGTCCAAGCAAAAGCGCTGCAGCTTGGACTAACAAGATCATTAAGATGCTACAGCATTCTGGCAAATTATTGAATTGGATGTGGCTTTGATTAAGAGCAAGTGCGCAAGCGGCAGGGGATATGCAGCCATAGAACTAGACTGCACTAAACATTAAAATGCACTTATCAAAGCAGCCAAAAGAGAGAGAGAGAGACAGAGAGAGATAGGTGTATTTGGCCAACAAGCTATCAATCCTAATCAGAGCCTGAGAGCGTGCAGCTTGGCGATGCGTGGCCAGAGATATGCTAAAAATAAACCAAATGCAATGCTGGAATTGCGACTGCCAAGACCTTGGGCCGTGGCTCTGGACAAATGTGGCCCTTGGCCTTCGCTCACCTTGAAATGCCGTTGGGAGCCATCCAATTGGAAAAAGGCAAAAAAGATGCGTGCCGCATCTTAAATCAGTTACAGTCAGTCCAGTTGCAGTTGCAGTTGCAGTTGCAGTTAAAGACAACCACATGAATGGGCAGCAACAGCAACAAGAAATGTAATCAATTTCACAAAAGAGCCTGCTCGACTAGCAGATACCCTAGTTGGAATTGATTTACTTATAAAAAAAAATATTTTGAAATTTTTTAAAATATATAAATATAAGAAATATATAAATTTTCAAAATATAATAATATTTTTATCTCATAAAAAAATATTTTAAGAGTTATATAATATATAAATATCTGTTTAAGCTATGCTATATATTTTATATATTTTTATTTTATTTTTTATATTAATATTTAAAAATCTCTTTACAGTCTAAAATTATTATATTAAATATATTTCTCCTACATTATAATAACTTTCTCTTCCACTCCTTAAAAACATTTATGCAAACTTATCATGCCCGCTTTTGCTTCCTGTTTTCTTCTACAGGGTATGACAATTGGATATCGTTTACATAGCCCCTGCTGCACAGTTGCAGCTCCACAGCTCGTGGTCATGGCCTTGATCTCGCTGCCTCTTGCGACGGCCTCTTGACTGGGGCCAGCATGTGATAAGAAACTGTTTGGCCTGACTCTAGAGTGTTGCCTTCGAGTCCAGTGTCCGGAGCTGAGCCTTGCTACAATTAAGCCAAATTGACGCCTCTGTCGGGGCAGTTGCCGTTAACGATGACAGCGCTGCAAGTGGACAGCCAGCTCTTTACAGAAAGACTAAGCCCAGCGGGCGAAAGGCGGTAACTAGAACCCAAGCAAGAACTACAACCAGAACCTGTAAAGCCGATCAGTTCGTGGTATAAAAGGATGTGACTGCAACTAGCCTAATGCAGTAAGAACTTCAGAGTTCTAGACGCAGCTTCAACTTATTTTCAACATGCAATTCCTGTTGCTCTCTCTGCTGGGCTCCAGCTTGGCGCTGGCTCATGGCCTGGCTGTCTACTCCAGCTATCCATTGGTGTACACGACCCAAGGCACCGCTGTCGTCACGCCAACGCAGCAGCAGTATCAAACGCAGGACGTATTGGGTCAATATGCTTACGGCTATGCTGAGCCACACTCGAGCAAGCAGGAGGTCCGCAGCCTGGACGGCATCACGCGGGGCAGCTACAGCTATCGCGATGCAGCTGGCAAGCTGCAGACCGTGGACTATAGGGCCGATGAGCAGGGCTTCCATGTGGCTGCTACGAACTTGCCGCAGCAGTTTCGTACGATCAGCGCGTCAGGAGATGACATTTCCGCTGCAACTGCCAGCTCCGCTGCCAACAATCGTGTTGACGCCGTCGAGGTTGCCGCCGCCACTTCGCGCCATTTGGCGGCTCATGAGGCGGCTCGACTGCATCTGGCGCAGGCTCAACAATCAGCCGGAGCTCAGCCAATCGGTCAATCAAATGTGGACTTGCCTCTTCCCGTTGCCGACACAGCCGAGGTAGCTGCCGCCAAGTCGATTCATCTGAAGCGCGTCGCCTCCGAAACTCTACGCAACGAGCTGATCAGCGCCCGCTCTGTGCCACGCACCAGCTCCCATGTCATTCTGCCCGTGCAGTCAGTCTACGGCATTCCACGCTATTATAGCTCCGGTTTCTATTACTAAGAAGCGAACTTGTCATACATTTCATGAGCTAATAAAGAGATTTGAAGACTATGCTGTCAGGACTTTGAATTGAGAGTTGACTAGACAGTGGGATGCATTTGTCTAAGGTTTAGGGACTTCTTGGGTCAACAGAGCTAGAGTTGGGAATCATTAATCAATTCTCTATCTATACTTCTTGCTATGCCTCTGCGTCTGTGCCTTGATTGTATTGTGTCTACCTAAACTCTTCTCTATCTATGCCTTTAGTTCTGGTTGTATCTTTACCTATAGCAATGCCTCCACGGCTTCAGCTATATCTCTATATACCTCATATATATCTCTCTTTATGCGTACGCTATATGCTATATTTCTATATAAGCCTATGACTAACGTTACAACTATACATCCACCTATACCTATACCTCTGCCCCAGCCTCATCCACGCCTCAATGCATGCCTCTGCCTATAAATAGCTCATACTAAAAGCTATTGGAAACTTTTTCCTTCTCAGAGACCTGCTAAAATGAGGCACTGATGTGATATCTTATAAAATCTGAGCTTTAATATATATCAATTTTATATCTGTGATAATTTTATATCTCGACAATGCGCCTGCAATGTCAAGCGAACGAATCAGTCAATAAACGAATCGATCGAGCAGGAATTCCACTTCGGATAGTCTCATTCACTTTTTTGGCTGTAGTTCGTCGGGCAACATTTCATAAATACGTATTGCATATTTTGATTTCAATTAAATTTAATAGCGGCATAAACAACATTTATCAAAAGGCAGCAGTTGGTTCCTTGACCTTAAGGACGCGCAAAAGCTGGCCTGATTAAGTTCTTGGGTTCGCTTTTGCCTTTGCTTGGCAGATGCAAACAAATTGCGGCTTTTGTGTACAAATTTATGCTTAACTTGTTGAAATCGACAAAATATTTATGTACAAACAGTGCAAGAGGAAGACCCACAACAACAACAACAAAAACAATGAGCCCGAAAAAACAGGGAATATGAAAGTAAACTGGACGACCTTCCCGAAGAACGCACGATATGGCAAAGTTAGCTTCTTTTTTTTGGTAACTGTAAGGCGCCTATAAAAACCAACCACTGCACCACTGACCCGCACAGAGTTCTCTAGAGCGAGTACTAGTCCACGACACTAGCAGCGCCTCTTCACAAACCCACCCAAAAGACAAACGAAGGAATCCAAAATCAAGATCAAGATGCAACCACTCGACTTGAGTTTTTATCTCTGCCTGCTGCTTGCACCACTGCACGCTGCTTTGGGTGGCTCACTACTGGACTATGGCGCACCGCTGGCAGCAGGCACCATCAGTCAGTATCACAGCCAGGATGAGCATGGCCAGTATGCCTATGGCTATACAGCTCCACTCTACTCCAAGCACGAGTCACGCACCGCAGACGGCGTGACCCATGGCTCCTACAGCTATGTGGATGCGCGGGGAGAGCAGCAGACGGTGGACTACACGGCAGATGCGGCTGGCTTTCGCATCACCTCAAGCAGCCTGCAACAGCAGCCGAATAAGGAGACCCCTGAGGTTGCCCAGCTGCGTGCCCAGCATCTGGCTGCTCATGCAGAAGCCAAGCTACGTTTGGCCGGCGGCTCAAGCTTGTCACCTGTACAGGATACACCCGAAGTGGCGGCTGCCAAGGTAGCCTTCTTCAAGCGTTTCGAAGCGGAGAAGCTGCGCAATCAGCTAACGAAGCCAATCCTTAAATCAGCTATGCAGCCCACTTACAACATCCTGTCTCAGCCTCTGTACGTCTATCAACCAGCTAGTGGCTACATTTACAAATACAATTCCCTGCTGAAGGCTGCGCCAGCCACACGTGAATATCTGCCAACGGCTTAAGCTTCAGCTATTTCTCCTCCCATTAACTCATTTCTTTTGGTTTCTGTTAATAAATATTGAAATTTTGCCAAAAAAAGGAGTTAAAAATCTTATTTTAAAGGAGGACGCAAGACTAGGATTGACTAAGGAAATCCTTAGAGCATACTAAAGACTCTTTAGAGAGTTCTCGCTTTTATCAACTTTGTAGCTTATAATCCACTATACCCTTAGCTCTTTGCCATCATAAAGTAGTCAGCGCCTCCCGCCTGAACTCCCTTCCAATCCCACTTTACAACTGCCATATATGGGGCACTATGGTGCACGGAATGCATTTATTCTTAAGTCTAAGTTTAACTAATTCCGAATTGTACCAGGGTCAACAGGTCCTTGCACACACACACAGATTCTAGTTCCGTTTACTCAAGACCAGGCTGCGACTCAGTGCCACGGGTCGCAGGGTTCTCAGCTCGGTGGGCGTGGTCACGCTGTATTTGGCATTGGGTGAGACGTAGGAGTAGTAGGCGCCCACTGGCACACGCAGATCCTGCCGATCTTCGAGGTCGCTTAGCTTCAGGTAGCTGCTCGAGCTGATGTCCGCCAGGCTGTAGACGGTGCGCAGACGCAGATCGTTGGCATCGTTGGACAGCTTCAGGCGCTGCTCACGTGCGCGTGGCAGTGCTTGGGTCTGAGCGCGTTCCAGTTCCTGTTCAATCTTTCTTTCTCGCTCCTGTTTGCGCTCGCGCTCGCGCTCCCGCCCCAGCACCCTCTCCAGCTCCCGCTGGCGCTCCTGCTCTCTCTCCAGTTCCCGCTCGCGCTGCCTCTCTGCCTCCTCCGCCTGGTTGCTATCCCCCTTAGCAGCTGTTGCCTCTTCCCTTTGATTCTGTGGCTGAGCCTCGCCTCGCTGTCGCTCTGCCAGCATGGAAGTCAGCTCTGCACGCACACGTTCCAATATATCTGCATCCTCATCGCTCAGTGGCTGCTCCTCGTCCAGCTGCTGCTGCTGCTGCCTTTCAGCATTCTGCTGTGCCTCACGCACGGCACTGAGATGGGCCTGGCGTGCCTGCTGCACCTCAGCCGTATCGCTCACTGGCAATGGCGGCTTCTTGTCGTCAATGGGTGCTTTGGGCTGATTGCTAGCCTCCGCCTTGAAGCCACCCCGGCCGCCTGCTTCATACTTGACCGTCTGCAACTCTCCATTGGCATCCACATAGGAGTAGAAGCCGCGCGAGGTGCCATCCAAGGCGCTATACTCCGCTCTGGCTGCATTCTCATCGCTGTAGCCGTAGGAGTAGAAGGCACGCGCTGTATCCTGCTCCTGGTAGCCACGTTGAAGTGTCGGCACTGCAGTTCGCGTGATCGAGATGATGGGCCTCGACGTAGCGCCCGCTGCACTGCTCCACAAAGCAGCGACGACTGTGGCCAATAAACAAACGAAGCGCTGCATCCTGTCGAGCTAATCGAATAGTTGATTGTGTTCGAACTGATGCCGCTTTGACTAGCGCTGAGTTTATTTATACCTAAGCACATTTGCACCACTTGCACCACCGCATTGGTAACCCAAGCGCCACTCTGTCTGCGCAATGACCTTCCCAAATGGCACCTCCAACCGATCGGCTTACAAGCCGCCACAGCAGCCCGCATAGCTGTGATGTTGTAATAATGTGAACTTAATATTGATATTGCTTGCACATGGATACGGATACAGCTCACAAATTGCGCAATTGGACCACGCACTTGCAAACGCCCTCATAGGGCTTCACATTTTGTAACCACTTAAGTTCCGGTGAGTAGCAATGAACAGATGGGGAAAAGAAACAGTGGGAGGGAGAGAGAGAAATGAGGAGAGAGAGAGAGATAGAGAGAGAGATACAGAGGGAAGAGGGAAGGTAGAAAATAAAGAGAGGAGAGAGGAAGAAAGAGAGAGAGAGACAGAAAGAGAGAGAGAGAAGGGAGAAAATGAGAGAGATAAAGAGAGGAGAGAGGGAGAAAGGCGGAAAAGGGAATAAGGGAGACTGAGAGAGAGAAAGGGTGAGAGAGAGAAAGAGAGAGAGAGAGAGAAAGAGATAGAGAGAGAGAGAGAGAGAGAAAGAGATAGAGAGAGAGAGAGAGAGAGAAAGATAGATAGAGAGAAAGAGAGGGCGGGATTCAACGAGAGATAGATAACAGAGTAAGAGAGAGATAGAGAGGAGAATAAGGGAGACAAGGAAACCAACAGAGGGAGAGAGGGAGAGAAGCAACGAGCAAGACTGAGAAAAAGCGAGAGAAAGAGAACAAACGTAGATATATCAACTAAAACCAAATATAACGTTTTTATTTGGCTTACCTTGTCCTAAGAAGAAGATTCCGATAAGATCAACCATATAATGTAATTATATCATATCGTAGACCCCAGTTACAAAAGGGAAAGTTGTGGATATCTGTCACTCGCCTTAGAAGTACTATGAAACGAGTTTCCTACTGCAATTGCTCACAAATTTCCCTCTAAAATCTAAGCTAAATACTATAGTAAATAACTTGAATAGCTTTATTAAAACCGACCTACTTATCATATATGACAACTCTTTTCACTTTTAGATTAATACTGCAACAAAAATGTTATTTTATCTGTTAATTCGCACGAAGTTGTTTATTACTCTAGAAAGAAGTTTATATTTTTACAGCCGACAGATAGTATGTTAACTAGAGTAAGCCTCTACAGAATAAACACATTCATTAACCATTTTGGCAAACAATGTTTGACTAACAGATAGCTAATAAAAGCAAGTTAGAATGTTGCAGTCGGATGCAGCCGACTGCTTAATGCCCATTCCCGAGCCAAAAAAACGACGGAATTTAATGGTCTATCTGTTGTGGACACGCCCCCAAGAAGCTTATCTAAATAATTATAGTTAATATAAGAGAGCGTTAAACGTAAAAATATATTTAGGCCACTTCTTCCATAACTCTCCATAACATTTACATTTTTTACAATTTGCCACAACCCTAAGGGACTTATATATATATATATCTATATATGTATATAAATTTCGTATAATCAATAGATGATGGATAGATGTTGATCTCCTACACCTGCACCACAGAAATAGATAAATATGTAAAGTAGGTAAATATATGGATTGATCTCATTGGTCCCCAAGCCATCCGGTTATGTAATACTATTGTTTCAAAATTTGTTTATTGTCTAGTGTAAGACAGATGCAAATAAAAACAGCAATTCAACAAAAAATAAATAAATAAATAAAAAAAAAACTGCTTTGCATTAATACTTGCACAAAACTAATAAGCTCTCTTCCCGCTTAACCAACTTCTCTTCTTTATTTATATTTTGCACACTTATAAACATATTCCTTTACAGTGCAAGATGCGCTATTCAGACAAAGCTGGACAAAACGCTTCAGTGCATAACGATTATCAACAGTATATATACAATTCATACTGCAATACATAAGTAGAGCAAATGGAGTGCATCTGAAACTCGAAAAGCCGACTCAAACTGATTAACTTCAACGGTCAAAGTCTCGGTTCCAGTTCTAACGAACTATAGCGAACTGCGATCAGTTGAGAAACAAACGTCGAGCCGAACACAAGTTGAGCAATATCAAGCAAAAAATATTTATAAATTGTCCGAAATTAAAGAGTGTTAATTGAAAATGAATTTGACTGGTAAAAATGTGGTTTACCTCGGCGGCTTTGGTGGTATTGGCCAAAAAGTGTGCGCCCAGCTGCTCGAGCGCCAGATCAAGGTGGGTTCTGCAATCGATTGAGACGAGTTTTCCTATTCAACTCTTTTTGGGCCTTTTAGGCGTTGGCCATATTCGATCTGACGCTGAACGAGCAAGTCTTGGCGGCCTGGCAGACGCAATATCCAAATGCTGATATATTCTATCAAAAAGTGGACATAACCCAGAAACCGGAGATCGAGGCCGCCTACAAAGCAGCAGCTGAACGCCTGGAGCACTTTGATCTGGTTGTAAATGGCATGGGCCTGATGAACGACAACTTTGTGGATTTGACCATTCAAATCAATTTGGTGGGACACCTTGGGCAACTTATCTAGTCTTTCAGCTAATCGGCAGTTTATCTTGCAGCTGGGCTTGATCCACAGCTCCTTCATAGCCCTGGAGTATATGGATAAGAGCAAGAACGGACGAGGTGGAGTTGTGGTAAATATCTCATCGGTGGCTGGAATTGAGCCAACTTCACTCATGGCTGTCTATTCGGCGGCCAAGCACGGTGTGACGGCCTTCACACGTGGACTAGGAGTACGTATTATCAGGCCAAGCTATCAACTAAGATTTACTCACTCACTCTCTTTACACCTCTCAGGATTCGCGCTACTTTGCCAAAACTGGCGTTGCCTTTATAACCATTTGTCCAGGGTTTACGGACACGCCTCTACTCTTCGATATGATGAACAAGATGACATTCAAGCCCCACACAACCGTCACCAAGCACACGCACAAGGTTCAATCGGCCGAGATCTGTGCCTCGAATCTCATCAAGGTCATTGAACAGGGCAAAAATGGAGGCGTTTGGCTGCTAGAGCTGGGCGAAATGAAGGAACTCGATATGCCCGTAATGTGGAGGCCAACGCTGCAGGACCAAGCCTAGTCCACCTGCCATAAAGAATCTTTTAAAAATATAACAACAATTTTCCACACTTGTTAATTGTGCTAATTTCTCAAATTATTCGGAAATCTTACTCATAATCAACCACAGCAATTTCTATAAGCAACAAAATAAAACCACAAGAATCGAATGTCAGACTTTGCTCAGATAACATTAGCTGAAAGTGTAAATCGACATTGAAAAGTAGTATTAAATTTATATAATTATTAAAAATTACTTGTTCTACAGCGAAGTAAATACCCCTCAATCTACGACTCAGTTCGTTGTCCTCAACAAAAATATAAAATCCTTTTCTGCCTGCAATTAAGAGCGCGTGCACGACTAGCAGATACCCTAAACCCAGAGCAGAACTTTCCACACTCTCCCACACAATAAGCTAACGAGCAACTTCTCCTTTTAAGCTCATTTTTTAAGTTTCGAGAGTTCTTCTCTTGAGTTTTTTGAGTGCTATAGATTCAGTTCAAATTATTAATCTAACTTCTTTTCTGTTAGGTTCTTTATCTTTACAATCTTCTCTCCTCTTATCAGTAAAGTTCTGCTACATTTATCTATACTTTAGGAATTCTAAAAAACCCCCTAAAAATAAATAAAAATTTGCACTTAAGATCAAATTCTTCTTCCACTCGAATAGCTGCCTTTACATACAGTACTTTATTCAAGCAAATCAGTTTTTAGTATTATTTAATAACGTTTATTGAGAATTCTCGCACACACACATCAATTCGTTAATTTTTGTTGAATTTCTAATACATTTATATTTTTGAGTTCTTAGGAAAATTCAGCACACAAAAATGACACACAAATATATAATTAATTGAGTTGATTTTTAGCCCAACACTGGAACAATTACAAAAACAGGACAAAAGCATCTGTCAGATACAATATCTTGTAGTTTCAACTTTAAATAATATATATATGCACGTACATATATTACTTGTTTAAGATCGGTTATGTTATGCTGTTACAATTAGTTAGTTAGTTTAAGATTATTATTATAATAATAATTAGTACATATCTATGGAAATATAAAGACATTTGTTTGTTCTCCCATTAAACTGGGAGTAGTTCATATGTTAACTGTAAATTTCACATCATCACAATTTAAGAATCTCCAACTATAATAACACAAATTTATGCCTATTCTATATATTATTAATTTTTTTAATTTTTTTTGTACATATATTCAAAGTGTGGACATTTCTTGGGGTTTCTGTTTGTTTGTTTGTTTAGAGAGCTGGCAAAATTTGTGTATAGCATGAACATGTTTATCCTATTTTTGTTGGTATTTTTTTAGTATTTTCGGTATTTTGGTATTGTCCGTGGCCCAACACATTTGATGCGTCGGGTTGGAAGCGTATATACTATATATGGATAGATAAACTATTGTAAGTCACTTGGCCAATTGAAAAGAAGCGCACGAGCTACTTTTTTTCGTGAAGCACTTGAGTAGAGCGTAGATCAGCTTTCTATATACTATATATATAATGTATATATATAACTATTACACTCAGATTGCAAAGTTTTGTATTCAGTTAATTTATGTTTTTTGAACGTCACTAACCCTAATCACAAGAGGAACAGAAGCGTCTATATCAAATAGGCATACATATCTATATATATATACATATATATATATATATATAATTAGTATTAGTATATATAACTATATATATAACTTTAGTTGAGAATTATGTCTCAGAACTTTGAATCGATTGTCCATAACTAGTTTACTGTTCACTTAATCATAGTTAACTTCGGGTGGTATTTCGTTTTTTCATAGTGGGTGGTGGTATCGTTAAGTTTCTAAGTTTTCAATTAGCTAAATGTATAATCGGCTCTGATATGTTGCACACACACGTTCTATTTAACACTCATATATAAATATGACTTATATCTTAGTGTTAAAATCAAATCAAAACTAAAATCAAAATTCAATTGAAAAAATTTATTGGCAAAATAAAATAAATAAAAATTGTTTTTTTGTTTTTTTTTTTTTTTGGGTGGGTTAACAGAAATCGAAATAGGCTTAAAATAATATTTAGTAATAATACAAAAAATACGTGTATTAAATATAATACATATCATAATGTATAGCATATAGAAAATAGTTCGTTTTTCTTTTCTTTTCTTTTCACGATTTGCACTTGGAACTGAAGCATAAAATTCTTCCCAGCAGATATATATTTTTATAAGATTACAAAACTTCAACAATGACAGTTATGAACCCATTGGGTTTAGACTTAAACTGCACCACGATTTTTCTTCACATTCAATTTCCCAATTTGCAAGCGGTGTCTTTTAAGTACACAAAAGGATATATGCGGTTTGCTTAGTGTTGTGGATGTGTGGGTGAGACCCAATTGGTTTTGCGAACAAATTCCAAATACATGTTACAAATCTCATTCGTTTTCATATATACATGTATACATCTGTATATATATACATATATCGATCGCATTTTGTTTTCATTGTTTCATTTCTGTGCTTCTTACATTATATAGTATTCAATGAACATATAGGAAACATATATATAGGTACACATTCTTCTTCTTCTGCTGCATATACATAGAATATCATTTTTCTATATTAAAAAACATAAATAAATATGTATGTATTGCTTGCATTAACCAAACAGAACACAACTCTGTTTCGCATTAACAACTGAGAAAATTAAATATACATAGGATCGATCATCTTGTTGTGTATAGGGTTTCTTTGTTTTCTTTTAAACATATCATTTTAACAACATATTCATTTCTAATATAGATCAATTTGGATAAGTTATATATATATTATGTATCGTTCGATCTCTGCTATAGGTAGGTATGATAGGTTCTTGACTTTTGCTTAAAATATATTTAATATTTCTATATAAAAAATCCATTTTAGTTTAGCATTTAGAATTGAAAGTCTTTAAGCAAAAAAAAACTAATTTTTGTTTATCGCTCTGATATTAATATATAATATTAATTATCAATTAAAAATATTAACGCATGTATTACATACGTAGTTAATTATCGTAGTTATATATATTTATATATATATATATATATATCAATTATTTATAGTAATTTGTAGTTATTTTTATAGGGCTGCAAGTATACAGTTCAACGAGTACAACGTAAACGGGACATGATTTTAATTTATTTTCAATAAATTTAATAATATAGTACAATAGTTAACAACATCGCACAATAGCGTTATTAAAATTTCTTTAAGAAATATAAACATTTATCCACGCATACTTATATAAATTATCAAACGTATGTGGGCTCCCCCCTTCTCCTACCCCTCAAATCTAATCCCAACACTCTAGTACATATATAAATATATATATATATAGATAGATATATATATATATATATTTTAAATCATTGTTGCTTTCAGTGTATATATAAAAATAGTGTTTCGATTTCACATAGTTAATAATTAAAAAGGAAAAATTTAAGAACAAATTAAATAAAAGCAAACTAAAAATTGTTTCTCTTTTAGCTTCAAATGGAACAGTCACGCCTACATATAATGCCCGAGTCGACCTCGGAACTACCCACATCATAACAGCATTATGTGGGTTGGCTTCCGCACTTTGGCATACGATTCCAATACATTATAGAGGTTGCGTACTCTCATATATCTAGATCTAGAGCTTTTAAGGCGGGACTCTTACACGGACATTGCGAATAATTTTCCTGCAGCTTGTTTGGCATTTTCTTCTTCATTAGTTTTATCTATTTTTGGGTTGCAACTATCCAATATCTATGGAAATTATGAATATTTAATTTTTTAGCAATTTGAATATATCTATAAACTAGATCTATATATTATTGTTGTGCTAAAAGATCGTGGCTAGTTATAGACATCAAGTATTCTAAACACTATGTGAATCAATTTTTAAACCCAAATGAACAATAATACGGACTAAAGTTCGATCATTCCGAACATTATATATATATATAGAGCTTGACAACACCTTTAAATAGACAATTACATAGTTACATTTTAAAATTCTAATATCCCCTACCCAAATTTGTTTTTTTTTTATATTCTGTTTTGTGTTTCTTTTATCTTTCTTTATGGACCGATCGAATAATGATCAACCTTTAACTATTTGCTAGAGTTAGTTAGTTTGAAAAATTCTAGAATTTTTTAAGCTGTGCGGTTTACAAACCTGTCGAAATGTCCCCTAAATGACATTTTGTAAAATGATTGCATTATGTTTCCACTCGATCGATCAAACAAACGAACGACCGAACGATGTTTTGTTATATATATATAACATATATATCCTTGGCTTAGTCCAGCTTGATGCCGCTGTCATCTGGATTCGACCAGACCTCCACAATGTCCACTAGATTCTTTTCTAGCTCGCTCATCATGCCGCTATCGATGCCACCCTCCATGCTATCCTCGGACATCAGCATTGGCTTCTTATCGGGCTGCTTCAGTCTTTCCGCTGGCGTGCTGCTTGTGCTGCTGTTCCAATAATTGGTCGATGGGCTGCTGGCATTTGCATTCAGTTCGTTGTTCCAAATGAACACGCTATCGCGTCCAGCGACGTTCTGTGAACGGAATTGATTAACTCGGAAACTGATCTAAATTGTAAGCAATAGGACTGTACCTTATTGGCATTGGTGCTGTCATTGTGCTCTGGTTTATAGCCTGGCTTAGGCTCATATCCTGCATAGCCTGTGCCCTTCTCACTGAGGAACTCGTTATTATTCTTCGACTCATTCTCCATGAGCCAATTGTTCCAATTGTTTGCCATATTGCGTTTAGGACAAATGGGACCATAGCGACTGTTTATCGATGAGCCGGTGGGCACATCAAATGTGGATGATTCGTCATCCAATATGGAGTCGGAACGCACAAAGTTCGCCGAATCCTTGTTGCTGTTGTTCCAGAATATCAATGAGCTGTTGTCGTTGCTGTTGCTGTTGTTGTTGCTATTGTTGTGGTTGCCGGTGTTGCTGGGTCTAAACATTGGCATGGATTCGGCATTTGCTGCAGTCTCGCTCATCGGCTCGATGTTAACATTACTCGGCGGTTTCTTTTCATAAAATGAGGTATCAGCTGTTGAATGTGAAATTGTCGACATAGCTCGACTGGGATTTTTGCTGGACGGCGGCGGCGGCACTAGCGTCGGCATATATGTATGCTCCCATGGATTGCCGCCTAGTTTTTGTGACATTTCGACGTTGCCTTTGGCCTCGTTGCCAAAGTAGGGCGTATGATAAACATCCGCTGGAAGCATGCTGCAGAAGCTCTTATTGTGATTATGTAGGTTACTGTTGTTGTTGTTACTGCTGTTGTTGGTGCTGTTATTGAAGTTCGGTGGGTTAATACGCGCTGCGTTGCGTGGCGGTGGTGCAAAGTTAAAGCGTTGCTCATATCGCAATGGTGGTGGTGGTGGCACCAGCAGTCCGTTCAGCGCTGCATGTTGTTGCTGTTGCTGTCGGCCAATCGGACTGTGGTGCGCATTTAGCATCTGTGGATGTACGGCACCAGGTGACAGATTGTGTGCCGCTGGCGGCATATTACAATTGGGCTCAAGAAAGCCACGAGTAGGCGGTGCTGGTGGTGGTGGTTGAATATAGCGTATTGGCGATATTGGCAGCATGGCACCAGCTGGCACTTCGTTGCCTAGTGGCAACGTCTTCTTGCCACCTGGCGGCATATTGGACATTGCCATGTTCATGGGTGACTTGATATGCTTTCCACGATTGCGTGCTCGATAGCGTTCCACTTCCTCCTGCGAATGGGCAAAAGTGCAGCTGGCTCCGCGGGGACACACACGTCGAGGATTAAGATCGCGGCACATACTTATCTTGTACTTGGTGTTGTTGTTGTTTGCTGAACCACCGGCCAGATTACTGTCCTGTGGCTTGCGTATGCCATGGTGCTGCAAGTACTGAACCAGACCCATTACAGCATTCTGCACAGCGTCCAAGGCCTTGGACACGTCCTCCCAGGCCGCTACCTCTACGCTCGGATCAATGCTTGCTAAATATTGCAGATGACTGTGCAAAAGTGCCAACTTGGCTGGATCGCTGGTTCGTTGTAACGCAATGACCAGCTCCTGTACGGACTGCGCAAACGCAGACGGCGTCTGTAGCTTGTCAATGATGCTTTGCATGTGGGACTTGTGTGCTATATCGCCATACAATAGCGACGACCATTGTTCGGGGGCAATGCGCAGGCCAGCCTCTGTGGCTATTTGAACAATCTGTGCATCGTGTTCGCGTCTTAGTGCATCGTAGGTGCGAAATTCCTCTTTGAGCTGCATCAGCGATGAGTCAGCCTCACGCTTGGACACCTTGAAGCAGCTAGCGCGATAGAGCAGCTGCACCACATGACCAATGCTTGTCTTCGAGGCTTGCGGGAAGTGCGGCTCCAATCGCTGTACCACAAACATGACCAACACCTTGCGAGAAAGCGCAGAGCCCTCTTCAAGAGCGAGCAGCACTAGCTTGAGTACCTCCTCCTGCATGGCAGGACCTAGGAACTGGCAGCCACGTGTTCTCACCGCTGCCCACAAATTCGAGCTGAGCTGCTGTGGATTCTGATGCTGCAGAATTAGCTCGGTTACGGTACGTTCACCCAAGGAGCGAGCAGCACGCAAGGCTCGCACACGACCTTCCTCCTCCATCAACTGACAATTAACCAGCGTAACCAACTTGCGTTGCATGGGCCTGGTAAGCAAATTGCTGCTGTTCAAATTTGAAAAGGATTTCAAATGCAAGGCCAGAACTTCGATGCATTTCTTGCCCAGCTTATAGCACTTCAGCTGTTCTGGCTGCAGCTTAAGCACACTTGGCGCCAAATCTCCCATCTCCGCTTCCTTGTTGGCAACGCTTTTGCCACCACCAGCTCCACCTCCATTGCCATTGCCATTCCCGTTTCCATTGCTTACCAGCTGCAGCAGCGCATAGTTGAAAGGCAAATTTTCGATGTCCGTTACAATTAGAGTCTAAATTACAAAAATAATTAGTTAACATTTTTGTATGAGTTGCGTATGAAAACTCTTACCTGATCGTAGGGACATTGCCGATTGTAAAGTGTGGTCAGACAGGGCTTGCATATAGTGTGGCCGCAGCCCAGGCTGATCGGCACACGTTGGCTGGCTTCGAACTCATTGAAGCAGATGGGACAGTTGAGAAAGTCTGTCCATGAGGGCGCCTGAATCGGCATGCTATAAAACCAGAGGAAAACATTCGATTCACATAAACATATTTAATCAAATCTATTGTCAATCTATCTATGTATATACATAGGAAGTACGTTGCGCTTTTAACTTGTTTTACGATTACCGATACACCACACCGATACCGTTTCGATACCCCCAACAACGTCAGCTGTCGTCCACCAGCACACACATTCATGAACACGCACACAGTGTATATATATGCACACATTTGCATGCATGCTGGTATTTATACAATATGTCTATGCATGTTTGTGTGTGTGTGCTTGCCACATACCTATGTATATGCAAGAATTTAGAAACTCGAAGCACTTCCTTAAACATTTAACAATGATTTGATATCTTTTTATAAAAAACACACTCACAAATATATGTATACATATATACATATACAACTGTCGTTCATATATCTATATATCACCTTGTATATATAACTGTGGAGAAATTTGTTCGTAGTTCAACGTCATCAGCTCACCGTCTGCTTTCTTTTTCCTTCAAACAAAGACACTTTTCTTGTCATCAGCAAACCCCCCATCAACAGTCCTGTGCTACAGCCAGCGTTACGTATGTACATTTATAGATATATATGCACATATACATATTTAACTGACGGTCCTTGAGCCTACCAATAGGACTGTGCCCGAGCCCCCCTTTTTATAAATGGATGACAAATAGCAAACTGCAAGCTGGAGGCAGTGTTACGTTTCACTTTTCACTTGATTTTTCATTTGATTTTTCGTATTTCGCACTATTTTATTTAGTGATCGTTCACTCACCTTCAAATTGCACATATTATTGCATTAAATTAAAAGGTACGAAGTTTTTTTTAATTTTCATTTGGCGTTTTATAAAAATGGGGAGTAGAACTGGAAAACTATCGATATTTCTTATATTCGATGCATTTTTATACAGAGGTTGTGGTGGCAGCGCTAACACAACTATCGATATTGTCATATAATCGATATGAAGTCAGCTGTGGTACGAAATTCGTTTTTGTCTATTTAAAATAAATAATAATTATAAACTTGTTGAATTTATTTATTAATTTTTATTGCATCATTTCAACGTTTTGTATGTCTAGTGTGCGAGACCTTATCCATGTATTAATTGATTAAATTTGTACCCAAACTGATAGCTTTTAATTCACTTATAGCCAAGAAAAAACATAAAATGGAGATAAGGACTGCCGATAAAACATATCAAGCATAAACTAAAGTTATTTGTGTATAGAGATATATAATTGTGAGATTATCAGCTTGGCTCATTGACTAAACACGCTCGTTAACAAACAACGAAACAATTTGTTTTTGTATTTATACAAGTTAATGTGCGCTCGTTTTTGTGCTCTGTGCACCGTAACTGGAGCCTTTGCTAATTTGTGTCTTATTAATTGCCACGCCCATTAGCCAATAGACTGTAACGAGAAGATAATTAGACATTAATAACTTCAATATATACAGATGCTCCATGCTTACAGATGCCCAGCACAGAAAGCGCCGTAATTAGACCAGTCCAATTCGATGCCAACAGGGACGAAATAAGATAATAGAAGATAAAGGATAACGAATAAGTAGCCCAGCCGGCAAAGTTAAGTAAGCTGCTGAGACGGGGTCCGTATATTTTGAACGGCACCTCCTTAACGCCAGAATTCTTAAAAAAGCTGCCCGTTTCATGGAAGCTATCAATAATACGATCCTTTTCCACATACAACTTTTGCAGCCAATCCGCTGCCTCCTTCTCACCCTCCGGAACTTGCTCGAGTGGAATGCGACGCATTAGCATATAAGGCTCAACGCCTTTGCCATTGAGCAGCGAGAGCATGGTGGGAGGTACCTACAAAAATATAGCAACTAAATGAAGCGCAGAGTAGACTGTAGCCAGTAAATAACCCACCTGCTCATCACTTCTAAAGGCCAAATTGATGTCATAGATGACCGGGCATATGCCACGCAATGTTGGCATGCTGGCTGTAAAACCTTTCGTGCGTGGTATTAAATGATGTTTAAGTGGCGTCATTCCCCGTTCCTGGGCAAACTTAACAGAAGCTTCATGTTTGCCAGGCGTAAACCGTGTGCCCTCTGCATTCAACAGCAACCAAGTGGGATCCGGATAGGAGAAGACAACCTTTAGCTGCTTAGCAATAATCTCCTTATCCTTGTCATAGTCACGATTGAGAAAGACAAACTCAGCTAGCCACCAGGCCCAGCCCATGCAGGGCACATATCTAATGGCCTTTTTTGCATAGGCCTTGCAATTGCCTAGAACTCCAAATTTATCGCAGATCATCCAGCCAGCCAACCAGTCGATTTCATATTTATGGTTCATCAAAAGCAAAACATGCTCGTTGCCAGCATATTTCTTCTCATCCTCGGCATCCATATACACACGCATCTTGCAGCCCGCATACCAATCGGCCACAAAAACGAGCTCTGAGTCATTGGGAAAAGTTTTATATTATTATAGTTATATATATTTAGATCTGTTTACTTACGGCAGTAGAAGGAATAGCATAGATAGTACATTAATTTACGGAAGAGATGTTTATTGAAAGGCTTTACACAGATGTGGAGTAAAAGCTGTAGAAAGTTGACGGTCAGGCCGCTGGTGAAGAAGGTTATAGCAATGCATAGATGGATCAGTCTCAGCTTTTTTAGCTCCTTTAACGTAATCATGATTACGCTTTATATGTATTCTACAAAAAGAAACAGATAATATATATAGAAATCGCATGTTAATAGTTTAAGATGTATATAGAATGTCTCTAGTCCCACTAGCAACTGGCAATTTTACGTAATATATATGTGTGCATATAGCTCTCACTCTATACATACATATTTAGCCACCTTTTTCTAAAATTTTATGACCAGCTCACTTTGAACTGTTAAACGAATCTGACCAAAGTTCCAATCAATTAGCCAGCTGGCTATTAACAGTAGCCAACTTTCGATAGGGAACTTAGCTTAACAAATAGATTGTGTAGTCCATAAATGTGTGCACTATATAATCAAGAAGTGCCTTTATCTGAACAATCCGAAGACTGATAGCGAGAGGAGGGGGGTTGAGGGTGGTCAGATAAGGCTGACAGCAAATGCAATTCGTATAGATTGTCATTGTTATTACTGAACAAAGTCCGTGCATTCTTTAAGTCTAAGTTAAGTCATAAATGAAAATTTATACGTGTTTTGTGTCTTCGAACTGATTTACATATATTACGTATAAAAGATACTTATTTGTGGGAAGCAAAATGTGAGCGCGCGCGCGATTATGTATATCGATATATATATATACAAGTATGTATATACATATATATGTATATATATTTGTGTGCATTTGTATTGTGTGGCTATGACTGCATTCGTGTGTGTTTGTTTTTGCCAACGTGAGAAGTTCATGCTCCAATTACAATTAGTTACACTTTTGTTGACTATTCAGTTCAATGATCTCATGTAATTAATACATTATTCATACACATAGTTGATATTGATGTAGTCCCTATATACACATACAATTCACAATCAATTGACCAATCTATAGATGCTTGACACCAATTGACTTTTTAGGCACCATTTAAATATATATATTTGTACAACTCACGTATATATATTATGCGCGAACTTTACCTTTTGGCAACGTTTATTGTGCGTTTGTTGATTTTTTTATTTATTTATTTAACTATAGTTGTTTTCGTGTGCTTAGCGCTGAACGGCAATCGATATAACTAACGCGCACACCAACAGCAGCACAATCGATTAATCGCAGCCAACAGCTGTTAGTTCCGCCCTGGTTTATGCCTATTCTGTACAACAGCTGTTGTGACATTTGGCGCCAAAATTAAAAAAGCGTAAAAGCTAGATAAACAGAAGTAAATAAAAAAATGTTTTGGTCTGATAAGATTTAATTATTGTTGTGTATTTTTGTTGTTGCTAAAGCTCTGGATGGCGGTAAGTATTTATTAGTCGAAAGAACTCATAAAAGTTTCAGGGAAAAGACATTATCGCTCTAAAGGCTACCAAAATATGTTATACCTCTTTTCGTTGCCTTCGCATATATGTATATATAAACATTATAAATTTTATCTAATCAGCCTGACTCATTGACTGCAGTTATTCAATAAGCGAACAACTCGATAACCAGTCTATGCCAAAGTCCAGGCATGATAATGATCGTTTCTAAATTGATATATAATTTAATGATTTAAAGAAATGTTCCTCACTTTTCATTCATTTATTATCAAATCGTTTATAAAAATCGTTAACTAAAATATATACATGCAAATGCATGTATATAACGCCTAAATACCCGTTGAAAAAAAACAAGCTTAAAACTTAATTGGTTTTCGCTTTGTCATCCGCGACGCCGTAGCTGGATCCTTTGCTGATCTGCGTAATGTTGTTAGCTCTTCTCAGCAGCGCCGAAACTGGAAGAAATCGAGGATATTTATATAAATTGATATAGAATCGATGAAACTTTTAGCACACTTACATAATGCAAAAACAGATACAACAATGATGACACCACACCAATTGGCAGTCAGCAAAGAGAAGATCAGATAATAGATTAGGGAGCCAATCGACGCAATGGCTATAGAGCTGAAGCAGATCAGGCTGATGAGACGGGGCTCGTAGAGGATGCTGGGCACTTCCTTGATGCCCGAGTTCTTGAAGAAGCTGCCCGTCTCGTGGAAGCTGTCGATTATGCGATCCTTTTCCACATAAAGATTCTGCAACCAGGCAGCGGCTTCCTTCTCGTCCGTCGGGATTTTGTCCACGGGGAAGCGTCGGACAAAGATATACGGATGCAGCTTCTCGCCGTTCAAGACAGAATTTAGATTTATGGGCACATCGGAATCCCGCTTGAACGCCAAATTCATATCATAGATAGCCGGGCAGATGCCACGCAATGTGGGCAGGCTGGATGTGAATCCTCTTGTGCGTGGTATCAAATGATGCTTGAGCGGCGTCATGCCCTTCTCCTTGGCAAATTTCAGGGAGACCTCGTGCTTGGCGGGAGTGAATCGTGTGCCCTCCGCTGTGAGCAGCAAGCAAACGGGATCCGGATAGGAGAAAATTATCTTCAACTGTTTGGCAATAATTGCCTTATCCTTTTCAAAGTCACGATTGAGGAAGACAAACTCCGCCATCCACCAGGCCCAGCCCAGCACTGGCAAATACCTAATTGGCTTCTTGGCAAACGCTTTCGAAGTGCCCAACATTTTCAGTTTATCGAGCAACATCCAAAGCACAAGCCAATCCACTTCATAGGTGTGATTCATCAGGATTACGCCATTCTCCTTGCCAGCTAGCTTCAAATCATCGCTGTCCATAAAGATGCGCAACCTGCCGCCGCCATACCACTCGGCCAGGACTACCATCTCTGAAAAGCCGTAGAAAATACCATTAAGAAATGATTCTAGATTCAATATAAACATAGTTACATACGTGAATAGAAGGCATATAGGGGATAGTACGATAGCTTCCTGAATAGTCTTGGGCTAAAGGGCTTGACAAAAATCATGAGCAGACATTGCGCGATATTGCAACCGAATCCGCAGGAGAAGAATGTTATCGCAATTATCAGGTGGGATAAAGTGGTTTTTTTCAGCACATTTGGTATAACCATGTTGGAAGCTAAAGATAAGAAATGTTAGAAATTATATAAATATTTTTTAGATTATAAATAAATTTCAAATTTTATTAGTATAGATTGATAATTAGACTATCAAGCTTCCGTTGAGATAATCGTTCGCTGATCGCCCCATGCGGCAAAAAAAACTTGTTCACTTGACAAAGTTACTTCAATTGCATCAGTTCCTATTCAATTCCCTGCTCCTTGTTCCTACAGCACAAACTAGTTCACATAGATAACTCCAATGGCTCTAAGGAGCTCGTCCATTTGGAATATTCGCTCAAATTAGACCAAATTAAGCTCTACTCAAAGAACTGCTTCACAAGCAGATTCCTTCAATTGATCAAAAAACTAGTTCACGCAGAAAACATCCCAGCTCCTGCTGCCATGAGATTTGTTCAAATAAAATGATCGCCTAACCTTGACGACCTTTACGTAACTAAACATGCATATAACTACACTAACTAAACAGTTATAACATATGTACGTATATACGGACATAGCTCGAGCTAGATTATGTGCGCTTTTAAACTGGCTTTCCAATATGCAAGATCACACTTTCAGTTATCATTAACAAATGACGCACACTTACCCGATCTAAATGGAATTGGTGGCTAAATAGCGAGGAGCGACTTCCTTACTTACACAGCCAGCTGCCGTGCTCAACTAAACGCTGAAGTGTGTTTAACTTTTCTTCCAGTTGTAATTCCATTGACTGTGCGCTGATATTGGTGATTAACAAACTAATCACCCTTTACCGTTATCAATGGAAAGAGAGAACAAATGTCGTCGCTGTCGCCGTCGCCGTCGCTGTTGTTCGATGGGTCGTGTGGCCAAGATAGAGGAAATGAAACGCGCACACCCACATATTTATACTTATGAGTGTGTGCATGTGTGTGTGAGAATAATTTTATGACCCGGGAAGGTGGCTATAGTTCAGTTGAACGAATTCTGCTTATTACACGCTATTATTATCGGTATCATACACACACACAACCACCTGGGGCACTTGTTTGCTTCTCTGTATGTATGTGTAAGTCTATGTAGTCAATATATATTATTCGTTCTGAGACAAATTATTGGTTCAAAACCTAATTAAAATGTTAATGAGCATTTTGCGTTAGCGGCATTTATTTAACAAATTGGATATATTTATGATATGGGTTTACTTTTATTTCGGCTTTTCGCTGCGAGTCGTTTCTATAAATAATTGTATTGAACATGCTTTTGTGGTAGCATGTGCAAATTGTTGTTATTTAAATACTAGAGCTTTGATAACAAGTGCCTATCGTTCTGTCGAAAGCCTTACGCAATGTCGATAAGTTTTGTGAGCCGATACATAATCGATAGACTGGTAATCTATGTACAATAAGTGCTCCTCACCAGCACAACAAAAAATTTCAATCTGGCTGTTAAAATAAATTATGAATCTTTTATCAACCACTTTCTTAAGTTACATTTTTCCCATATAACCAGATTTGTTACGACGTGATATAAATTGGCATATTTAAAAAATATTCTTTACTTCATTTAAATTCATTCAACGAGTAACGGCAGCGACGGCTGTTAATTAACATTCCCAACAGCTGTTAAACGCGGTGTGTATGTTAAATGTCAATAACAGCAAAAACAGTTCTTCTTCTTTTATTGCCATCCTCCACTATTCAGACACGAATAAAAGCCGTCGTCGCCGCAAATTTTTTGCAATGCTAGAAAATAATTAAGAAAAATAAAAGTACTAATCCAATAGCCAAAAGGTGGAGTGTGTGCAATCAAAGAAACATAGTTTTGCCTATAGAGCAAGTGTATATTAAGCATTTGACGACGGCAACAACGGACACAGAAATTCTGCCGGCAGACGCAGACGCTTTTTTCCTGCAAGAGCGAAAAAAAATTTGTGCAGCGTGTAAGTATGGCAAACATACATAATTATTTGATCGTACTACATGTATTAAAGATTACAGTTAACTGTGAGTGTGCGTTGATCTGTTTTGAACCATGTCGAACGTGGAAATTTACGACTCGTCCAATTCGCAACTGAGCAGCGATGAATACAGCCACGACGAAGACGATGATGGATTAATGGATATGGCTGTTAGCAAACAACAAACGCAACCGGCCAAGTCAGCCAACAAATCGAACGACACCTCACCGACTAAAACAGACAGCACCGCTTCCACCACGCCACGAAAACTGTCTGAGGATGTGGATGCAATTGCCGTCTCCAGTAAACCGCCAGCTAATCGAGAGCATACACAGCGGCAGATCAAGCAAATGCAGCGCGATAATAAGGCTAATTTGTATTTCAAGCGGCGCAGCATAAAATGGTATATATAGTCGATTGGCTACATCTATATATTATATATTTGAGTTACAGATCCGTTGAGTTTCTCACTAATTTGCTACTCAGACGAATACTTCAGCTCTTGATCTTGATTAAAAATTTTAAATTTAAATTTAAAGCCAAACTTTGAATAATTGTGCTTCTGTAGGGCACTCACTGAACTCTCGAGTCAACTAGCTATGGCTATCTAGCTTTCACTCTTTAAATTTGAAGTGAAAACACATCTTCCAATGCCTGAGCTGCTGCTAAGTACTTTAGAAAACTTTTAAGCTAGTGAGTTGTACTATTTTTAATTTTTAATTAGTGAACCTTCCATCTCAAGCTCCTATGCAGGACTTATCAAAGTAGCCAATTGAAAAATGAATATTCGGATTCAAGCATTAGTTGCCAATAGCTATTCCAGCTTTCTAGGGTTGCTTAGGTAGTGAAATCGAGAGCTTTGTCGTACTCCAGTCAAATCTGTCAATGCCAAAGAGGTATTTGGCAAGCATTCTATCATCTTCCGTCAATCAGAAAGCAAATCTTGTGACAAATGTCTTGTCTGTAAATTTGAGAGTGAGAAACCGTAACGAAACATATTATTTCTTGAATTATACAACTTAATAATTCTCTTTGAACAGGCTGAATCAACGTTTTACCCATAAAACTGACTACATGAGTCAGTTGCAGCGGTCGTTGCCCAAACGCCATGCACAGGCCAAGCGCATGGTCGAGTACCGAGCAGCCAAGCGAGCTATAGAAATGGAGCAGCAAGCACGCCAACTGCAACAGCAACAACTCCAACAACATCAGCAGCAGCAGCTGCACCAGCACTTACAACTGCAACAACAGCAACGTAGACAACGCACTCCTAATCGGAGTCGCAGCCGAAGTCGCAGTCACAGTCGCAGTCGCAGTCGCACGGGCAGCCAGTCGCCGGATCTGATCTGTATTGATGATACCGAGAATGAGGATTCACCAGAGAAACCCAACGAAATTCCAGCTGCCAACTTGCAACATCAGCAGCAAAAAGTGGCTTCAAAGACACCGCCGCCGTTCGCCTTGCAGTTGGAAATCCAATCAGAGGCAGAGGCTACTCCTGCTGAAAATGGCTCCGTGCTGGATGAGTTCCTGACTATAAAACCAGCTATAGCAGCAGAGCCTGTTATTGAAGAGGCAGCAGGCTGCAATAACAGCCAACAGCAACAGTTGCAAGAGTTGCAGGACTTGGAGCTGCCTGCACTAAAACCTCAAGCTTGCTTGGATATGGTTGTAGAAGATGCCACACTCAAACGTCGTCGTTCGGTCACACCACCAGCCGTGGAGGCACATAATGAGAAGCGCACCAAATCTTTGCCAACTGAAGATTTGGATGATGAAGTTATAGAATTAACTCCTTATGCAGAGCCTGTAAAACAGGCACAACCAACACCAACACCTCTAACACTACAGCAAACACCGACAGCACCACCGACAACTCCGCTGCATAAGCCAACCAATAGAACCAATGTCGAACCCTTAAACGCGTTCAAAGCTGGCGCACCCTATTCGTTGTCTCCGTCAAGTGGCATAGAATATTATGCACAAAAGAAGGCGATCTGCCAGCAGCATCAGGCGCAAACACAGCCAGAGAATATGGCGTCTATATCGTTTAGCCTAGAGACACCTTCGCCGTCCACCGAGCCCATGGAAGTAGTCTTTATTAATCAGAAGCAACTGGACGCGCAGAATGTGAAGGCAGACGTCACAGTTTTGGCTCAAACCGGTGTGCAACAGCAGCAGCAGCAGCAGCAGCAGCCTACAATTGACTTGAACTCTTTTGTCACGCCCTACACACTACAGCAGCAGTCTCCACAGGCACAGCAACAGCCGCCTCAGCTTCCACAGGTACAACAACAGCTGCTACAGCAGCCACAACAGTTGCAGCAGAATCAGCAGCCGCAGCCGCCGCCGCAGCCGCAATCACCACGTCCCAAGCAACGTGTTGCTGAATCCAAGCAAACGCAAACTCTTCAGGGTACTTCCACTCGCAATAAATCCTCTGTTGATATGAACAACACCAACAGCGACGCAGTCTTTCATCAGCGTGTCAAGGATCTCTATACAGAGCTGGACGAGATAATGTCGGATAAGGTACGAGCTGTTAAGCCGGAACTCAAGTCTTATGGTGAGGAAAAGTTGCGCATCGAAGCGGATCTCAAGACGCTGGATAGTTTGATTTACCAGAAAGAGGAGGAGCACAATCGTCTGCTACATTTGCGTTCCATCAAGGAGGAATTGTTAGCGCGCATCGAGCGCAAGGAGCGCATACTAATAATGAAGGAGATTCTGCCTTCCATACTTAACAAGAATTGCAGCACATCGGAACTATACGAAATGCATTCGCTGCTGCATAGCGAACAAAATGCGCCAATGCCATCGAAGTACGGCGTCAGCGCCTTGGAGCAGATGATTAATAGAGTGGAGAATGGACTGGATGATATCAAGATATTGCGCGGGTATATATAAATCTGTGTTTCATTGACTATTATTTGTTACTTATAAAGATTTCTAATATCTATCCAACAGGGCCTTGGGTCTGCAGAACAAGGCTTCTTCGCTCGCCGAGTTATCCATGCCGCCACCTCCACCTCAACATTGTGAAGCAGTGTCGCAGCAGAGACGTGACTCATTGCCAGCTATGCGTTCGTCCTCGCTACCCAATCACTCAACTGTATATGCACGATCATCTGGCACGCGTGACGATTATAAACACGAACAGCTAGAGGAGCTAAGCAAGCGTAATAAGCCGCCTTCTCGGTAAAGTCAGAATATGTTTTTGATTATGTACACGCCTCTTAAACATATTCCATTTGCAGTTATCAGCAGCTGATCAATGAGTCCAAACAGCTGACTGGTTCTACGGCCGATCTCGCTGCCTCCTCCACATATCGCCAACAGCAACCAATCGACACGCAACAACGCAGCCAAACGCACTCCCTGGACAACAATCGTTTTGATAACGAGGTGCCACTCAAGCCATTGTTCAACAGCAGTCCCCTTGGTGCTAATCAGCAGCGCAAAAGCAGCGATACAACTACGCAAGTGGGTGCCCTGAAGTTTTAGCCTATCCCAAGCTCTGTATAAAGATATATATTTATTTTAGTTAAGCGATCTACATTCCATGTATCGTTCGGATCTGCTGCATGGTCTCGATTCGCTGGATCGTGCCGTGAACCAAACAAATCGCAATACCATTAACAATCGCAGCAAACGCTTGAGCGTTGCTACGAATGGGCCGGATCTAGAGGTGGAGCGTCGTTGCCAATACTGTGAACGTTTTAAGGCCACCTACATGTGCGCCAGCTGCCAGAATCAATGGTACTGCAGTCGTGAATGTCAGGTGAGCGAGGACTGTCTATATCCTAGCTCCATTTAACAATTCCAATTTGTTTCAGGTACGCGCCTGGGACACACATTGGGAGTCGTGCCCCAATTAGGATATACTCGCTGTATCAGCATTACTACTACAATTAAATACATACATATATATATATATATATATATATATATATATATATATGCATAGTATAAACCTAAATCCAAACCCCCTCTATTGCATACATATATATCACACACTCATTCGAAATCGTAGTTTCGCTATCGGAACTTATAATTGCAATGCATTAAAACTAAAAACGTACATGCAATTAATTTACAAACACACAGACACACACGTACACACACACATATTCCATACATATTGAAGTGTCGGTAATTGCAATAGCTCAATATTCGTAAACACCATTAAAAAATTTAAAAAAATATATATAAACATGCTATACTCAGTGTTAAATTAGTTATTTTTGTAGATGTACTTCAATTCTGGCAGCTGTAACTACACCTGCCTGTTTCTTGATTGACTTTAGTTGATATGACCCGAACGATCAGCTATACATATACACGTCCCCATTGCAGTCGCACACAATACAATTAATTTTATAATTTATTACAAATTGCTGGCACATTAAAAATCTTTGTTATCGAGACTTTTATATTAACTGCAAGTTTTACTGAAATTAATCTTATTCAGCTTTTATTTTCCATTGCATATTTTTGAGCACTTTCAATATATACGCTAATTGTCAAAGCTGAATAGATGCAATCAATATATCATATAACTAAGATAGGAACAATCGTACAGCAAATGTGTTTTCTCATAAGATCAATTTTGTTTATAAGTTTCCACTATCTTTTTTACCTATGTTCAACATCTTCGTACTATAACATAGTTCGTCCATAGTAAAGATTTTTGGGTTTGTGGATAAGTTTTAAAATTTATGATATATTACGAATTTTCAGCGCACTAAAGATTACTGTACTTTTCTGTTCAATATTTTATTTTCAAAGAACTAAATTTAGGATTTTAAAGAAATTTCTTTATAGATATTAATTTAAAAATAAAACAAAAATTTTATTTATTTATTTACTTCTTTCTTTTTCATTGCTCAAAAGAGAGCTCACAAAAATTAGAACATATTTGCCAATTGGAATAACCTCTATAGCTGCAGCTAATTCCAATTAGCGAGCGAACACTGTATACGTTGACCTACATAAGTATACTACATAAAATATAGATAGTATACTATATTTTTAAATAAAATAATATTAATTATTGTATAATAATTGAAGTAATCAAACTGTACATAGTTACATCTGATATCTCGATAGATAACCTAAGCAATTATCATATTATATATTTTTTTCATTTATAGACTTTTTGGATAGATATATCTATGATGCCTTTTGATATATAGCTCTATTATAAGCTCTATAAATTTAACTTATACTGACTTCAATGTGAGATCTAATAAGCTCAAGCTTTATTAATAGAGCTTCTGCTAAATTATCAGAGCTACATATATCTATAGGCTGCACAGTAATATGTATCCTAAGACTTCATGTATAGATGAGTCCATAAGCTCTCAGCTCAGGTGTTTCCCCTAAGCTTGATGTAAAAAGCTGATAATTTTTGACGAAGGAATATGAATAGGAGTTCAATAGAGATCTTTACACTTACCTTTTTATGCGAATATTTCTGAGTAAATTACTCTGTACATACCGGTTTTGATCTATTCAATAAGGCATATAGCTTATAAAGATAAGTATATCTTTACATATTACTTAAGCATAGTTGTTGATATAAACATTATAAAACATCTAGTTGCCTATATCAGTATCCCTCATGATGATACACCATTATAAACTATATATTCTATAAGTAGCCGATATGCTTACATAGAAAAATCTGTCAGCACAGGTGTTGCCTAGCCTTGATACCTCATAGAGTGCTTTTAGATACATTTGTACAGGTGTTGTCTAGCCTTGAAACAGCCCATAAGGCGCATGGCTGATTTAGATATACCTTAACATGGCCTAGGTAAGCAGTCCACCTTATAAGCCAAGCAGCTCCTACTTACTGTAACCGCGCACCTGGCACACCAGCTGAATGTCGGCAATGTGCAGGTGTAGCGGCTGCCTATTCGACCAGCGGATGCGTCGCAGCTTCCGTATGCGCAGCTGACGCTTGCAGTGCAGCTTAAACTTCAAATTCGGGCTCCAGATGCCATCGCTGCCACGTCGAGTGACACACTTGAAGGCATACTGCCACCAGAGGCGACTGTTCTGCTTTGTGCTATGCTGCGAATTGAGGGCAACACAGCAACAAGAGAAGAAAAAAAAGCGAAAAAAACAGTTTCATTAGCTGTTATATTGGCATAATAATTTATATTTGTTTTGATTTGTTTTGGCTTTATGAGCACTTACCATATAAACGGGCAAGACGTAGAAGCGTTTGCACTCGCGCCTCCTAAAATTGAAGGCGATCGGATGCCGCTGCGTGGTCGACACCTTTGTCAGGTGCGAGCGTATGGCGCTCGAGTGGGTCGCGCGCTGATGTTGCAGTCGGCCCTATTGTAGTTGTTGTTGTTGTGCGTTTGGTTCGCCAAATCGGTTTGTTTATGGAATTACAAAATGGGAAACGAGACAGGCGCGCACAGGTACGCGCAGCTAATTAATTCAATTTCAACCTTTTTTCATATTTTTTCAAACAATTGAACATATTTTCTAGCTAAAGTTTTTAATACCCTCACAGAGGGTACTACTGTCTGCTTGCTGAAAATGTAACTATATGTGATGAGAGCTTAATTAGACTTTATTATTCTATGAGAACTCGAATCTTTTTAATGCAGGCATGTTTATGGAATATATATGCTTATTTATGCTTATTTATTCGTAGATGAAGAACAGGTGGCATAGAAGAGGCATGAGATGAGCTGAAGGCAGTATCTAAGATCGAAGCGGAGTTTGTAGATAGGAAAAAGTAGCAATATCAGAAAAAGTTGTGTACTAGAAAAGTTAATATGCCAGAAAAAATAGAATAACAGAATTCATATTTCAGAAATTTTACTTGACCAGAACAAGTTGTATACAAAAATATAGTATGCCAATAGATAAGTAGTATACCAAAAGAAAGTAGTATACTAGACAAAAAGTAAGCTAGAATAAGTAGTATGATAGAGATGTAATATGCCAGTAAAGTAAGTATACCAGAAAAAATAGTATGCTAGAAAAAAAGTAGTATACTAGAAATTGTAGTTAACTAGAAAAAAAAGAAAAAAAATTAGTATACCAGAAAAAGTAGCATACAAGAAAAAGTAGTATAACAGATAAGGCAGTATACCACAGAAGAAGTATACAAGAAAAAGTAATATACCAGGAGAGATATATAATAGATAAGAACAGTAGGTATAACTGAGAAGGTAGCATACATGAAGGAGTAGAAGGAAAGTACACAAAATAGATAAAATGCACATAAGAGAAGGAAGAAGAGGAAGTATATATAGGAAAGAGGTACAAACAGCAGGTTTGTCTATAAGTACAAAGACCACTTTAAGCAAAACGAGTACAGAACATTAAGTAGTATATAAGAAGATATGGCATAAGGAAAAATGTAGTATACAAGATGGTTCATAAGCAGAGTTAGCTCAGATTCGTAGTACTTAATAGAGGACATCGTAGCTAATTGGTTTATATAGAAACAACAAAACGTAACATAATGAACAGCAATTATATCAGCTGATATTGTCTATAAAAAATGTATATTTGTGGAAAAAGTTGTTTATAAGAAAGGAACCATTCTTAGAAAAGATAGTATTAAAATAGAGTCAATATGTAGTGAAAACTTATCATAGAGCACACTTAAGGCAATTTTATGACAAGTATAGATAGTATATCTTTGTATTCGAACTATGGCACGACTCAATATTATCTTTGCTCTATTCAAACTTTGTCCATACCCAACACTAGGCTGAAACTCGTATTTATTTTCTTTTTTTCAGCTGTCCAAGCTTAGAAAACTCATCCGCTGTTACCTGATATTAGATTTGTTCTATGAAATGGAAGGCCCATGCCAGATATAATAACTATCTATCGCAGCTCGAGACAAGCTCCAGCTAGACAAATATTTTCTATATAAGAAATTAGTCATATATTGATCTTAAGTCTTAATGATCTTTATAGAGCCCTTATCACTGCCAATCGTTTGTAAGTGCATCTAATCTTCTGCCTAATCCTCAACTTTTGCTCAACGTTTAATATGTTTGTTGTCTCATTTCTTAGGTTGAAGAATTTTTGCTGCTAAATTTGGATTGCAAATGATTCAAAAGCGAAACGCGCGAATGTTTACAGCTGGTTGATAAGTGGGACTCCATTGAGATGGTGCTGGATTATGATTGACTGCGGGTTCGGTTCGGTTCGGTTGCGGTCTCTAACTCTCTGAGTTCGAGGCGAAGCGTGAACCCGCGGCCTTGGCCCTGAACTTGCTTATCAAGGCAGCAGTGATTAACTATTTGTTATTGTTATTGCTATTGTTGTTTACATAATTACTGTAAAAAATTACAGTTGTAAAATCGTTGCTGTTAAACAAATGCGAATTGACAAGTAGCCGTTGCAGTCGAGAGCAATTAAATGCGCTTATCAGAAAGCCGTGGCTCCAATTAGAACACGCTGCCCCAACGACTGCAGGTTTCTCAACTTGGGCTCGGCTTTAGCTTCAGCTTCAGCTCTGGCTTTGACACGGGCTGTGACTGTATTGGTAAACCGTTTTTACAAGCCGCTAACGTTCGAAAATTGTTGCTAATTAGTTGAAAACGCGCACGCCGGCGCACCAGACCTTAAAAGCGCCCACGATAAGCCGCCCCAAATGCAGGGCGTGGCGAGGTGCCAAACGGTTTTTTTTTTGTTTTTATGTCCAATAAAATTTCATAGACATATAGATATAGAAACATATATATATATATATACACATATATTGAACGTCGTCGTCAAAGCGACATTTGGGTGTCATGCTAAAGCTATCGGAAACGGGTTGAGCGATATGATTTATATGATAGAAAGATAAAGATATGATAGGCGAGAATAGCAACTGGAAAACTGACAAAAAGCTAGCTACTCAAGCTGAATTTAGAGACAGCTGCAGAAATTAGCTTAATAATAAACAATTAACTGAAATTAGTTTAATGATATTTGTCTAAGCAGTTAGAAGTTCAGAGTTTCGGAACGCAAATTTCTTATGAAATATGAATGACTTAAGAGCTTCTGAGTGGTATATAAACAGTATGTATATAAACAGAAGCGTGAAGTGATTGAGGTCTGGCATGGAATTTCTTAGGGCATCAATTTACCTAAACTAAGTTTTCCAAACAATCGCGATCAGTCGTTCGACCTGTAAAGACGTGAATTCGAACAGCCTTCGCTTAAGCTCTACTGCTGCAGAGTTCTAAAAATAGAACTTTGCGGTGCATTCTTCAACGCAACAGCAACAAAAACCGCACACGCAGCGTTTTCTTATCGCTTGCTTCCGCGTAACTCAATTGCTTTAATTGCAATTTACGAAATTTCGTCGCTTGGCGCGAGTGCGCCTGCACTCAAAAGCACAATCCGCGATGACATCTAATGTCAATAACCTCGCTACAGCTGTAAAGGTAAATGCAGAAATGCAAGCCCAGCTTAACGTTGTGATGGCAAATAGGCAAGCCTCCATCATGCCAATAAACTCAAAAATAGATATCGCCTCCGTGCAAGGCATCACTAACAACAAAAACACGAAACGTAAACAGCCAAATTCACCAAAAACCATCAAGAAAAGGCTCATCTTCGACGAACCAAGCACCAGCAATGCAGCATTAATATCAGAAAATCGATTTTCACTGCTCGTAGAAGAAGATGAAGACTACAGCGAATCACCTGTAGCTCCAGAAGCCCCAGTATTGACCGACCAGCAAACTACTCCGAAACCTCGTCCGCCCCCCATATGGTGTCCAAACATCAAGTCTGTGGCCCTACTTCAACAGATAATAGATAAAGTAATTGATGCTAAATCATACGTAATTAAGCCAAAGAAGAATAACATAGGTGTATTAACCCAATGCAGTGAGGACTATCGCAGAGTTATAGACCACTTTACTAAGCTGGAATTGGAGTTCCACTGCTACCAGCTTAAGGAGGACAAACCATATAGAGTCGTGTTCAAAGGGCTTCACTCCAGCACTGATACAACACTAATTAAAAAGGAATTGGAAACCAAAGGCCACACAATTACAAATGTGCACAACCCACTGAGCCGTATGGACAAAACACCGCTAAATATATTTTTTGTTGACGTGGCTCAGGCCCCCAACAACAAAGAAATTTTGGACATTCGAGTTGTCTGCAGGCAACGCTGCACAGTGGAACTGCCAAGAAGATACAACGACCTGACACAATGCCATCGCTGTCAAGAATTTGGACACACACAACGCTACTGCCACAAAGCTCCCAGATGTGTGCGTTGCGCCGGGAAACACGCATCCAAAGACTGCACCCGCGAAAAGGACCAGGCACCAACTTGTGTGCACTGTGAGTTACAGCACCCAGCCAACTATAAGGGCTGCCAAGTATACAAGCGGTTGCGCAAATTGCAATCCCCAGCACAAAAAAGGAGTCCCACACAAACACCGTCTACGGGTCCGAGTACTGCTTCCGAAATTACAAGGCCCCGGAGCATTACCCAAGCCACGAGCTTTGCAACGCCTATTAGTGGTGTTTCTTACGCACAGGCCGCTAGAGGTGGACCGTCAAATAAGAATACCACAAGTGACACTTTGTTCACTGAAATGCTTCAGCAACAACAACGTCAGTTTGACGCAATTAATGCCGAGCTCAAAGCGATGCGAGAAGTACAATCCCAACAAGCAACCATGCTAAACAGTTTAATGGCCATCATAACCAAGCTTGCCTACAAATAATGGCTTTACGTGTGGGTATCTGGAACGCCAATGGCCTGAGAAACAAGACTCAGGAACTGGCTGCGTTTCTCTCACAAGAAAACATAGATATAATGTTAATAACAGAAACTCATGAGTGCCCCACTACACAAATTTTCGGATACGAACACTATCAGGCTCATGGTGAAGGAGCAAACTGCTTTGGTGGATCCTCAATCCTCATACGAGCAACAATACCGCATACACCTTTACTGCCAATTTGCAACGCAACAATGCAGGTCTCAGCCATCACCCTGCCTACGTCTATTGGAGCGATCGAAGTTGCGTCAATTTATCTTCCGCCAAACACTGGTCTGTGTGATCATCACATGGAACAGGTTCTAGGCCAAAGGTTGAATAAGACCCTCATCGGCGGCGACTGGAATGGATGGCACCCATTTTGGGGAAGCAATAGTGCGAATCGTCGCGGAGAAGTCATATTTGAGGCGATTCAAAACTTACAATTCAGCATATTGGCGACTGGAGCCCCCACCCGTTACCCAATTAATGGACACAGGCCCTCGGCAATCGACTTCGCTGTCTACAAAGGCATCTGTGACCGGCAATTGACCATTGAAGAATCCTTGGACCTATCCTCTGACCACC